GAAATCTTCCGTGCGACTCCCGCCGACAAGCAGGTCATGATGTTCAGTGCTACCCTCTCCCAGGAGATTCGTCCCATCTGCAAGAAGTTCATGCGCAACCCGCTGGAGGTCTATGTCGATGATGATACCAAGCTCACCCTCCACGGCTTGCAGCAGTACTACATCAAGCTCGACGAGAAGGAGAAGAACCGCAAGCTGAATGAGCTTTTGGACAACCTCGAGTTCAACCAGGTCATCATCTTCGTCAAGAGCACCCAGCGTGCCAACGAGCTGGACAAGCTGTTGCGCGAGTGCAACTTCCCCAGTATCGCAGTTCACTCTGGTGTCAGCCAGGAGGAGCGGTAAGTTCATCCGAGTTCGCCATTGGCCGCAGCGATTTGCTGACCTCCATCTAGTATCAAGCGCTACAAGGAGTTCAAGGAGTTCAACAAGCGTATCTGTGTTGCCACTGATGTCTTCGGTCGTGGTATTGATATCGAGCGCATTAACCTCGCCATCAACTACGATCTCCCCGCCGACGCTGACTCTTACCTGCACCGTGTTGGTCGTGCCGGTCGTTTCGGTACCAAGGGTCTTTCTATCTCCTTCGTCAGCAACGAGGATGACGAGAAGGTTCTTAAGGAGATTGAGAAGCGCTTTGAGGTTGCCCTTCCGTAAGTTTCCCTCAATTCCAATTCATGATGCCCTTTGACAAAAGGCTAACCCTGTCCTTCACAGTGAGTACCCCGAGGCTGGTGTTGACTCCACCACCTACATGGCTTAGGCGTGTCTAGGTGAAAACTTTGTTGATTTGAAATTTCTTTTCCTTTTTTTCAATTGTTATGGCGCACTAGCTCGGGTTTTGATATGTTTTTCTCCGCCGTTGGGACCTGCCTCTGCCCTTCTGTGGTTTTGAAGTGAGGCACAACCCTTCCATGTATTCGAAAACAGCAATGGAAGCAAGAATGGGTTAGCTCTGCACGACTGTCCAACCGTATCCTGACTGTATCCTGACAGGGACCTTGGGATCTCAATGTGGAGTTGCGATGTCATAGTTATCGACGTCTGCGAGATAAGTCAAAGCCGGAGACAATCAGATAGAAAATATGCACCGCGCTGCGGTCGTGGTGTCAACCAGACGACCGGAAGACCCTGCCAAGATCCGATCACAGCCAAAGTGGATATACACCAGAATTCAATCTCCCATCATTTTGACTGTCAGAGCCGGTCCATCTGTAACACTAGGGGCCCAGGAATAAACGCCTACCATGCAATGTGTCTATAACCTGAATGTATGTAGTGGTTGTGGTTCCAATCTGACTTGCATAGCCTTCGTAGCAACATTGATCATCCATTACCCGATCCTTGTATCAGCGACGTGGTTTTGACTGATGCGGGGCATCACGTTGACCTGGGTGAGATATGTGTGCTTTAGGGTACCTGCCAATTAACATAAACATGTACATGTATGGTTAGCAAGGCCATACTGAAGCCCTGGAGGGAAATCAGGACGACTACGAAGCTGAACACATGCATATGAGGAAACCGCGATATTCTTGAAGGGCAAGTAGTAAGATATGTACGTAGATGAAAATCAAGATTATCTACTGTGAAATGCCAGGTGCCGTGTGTACCTGAGGTAACGTAAATATATATATGGACGGCATAACTCGAAGCTAGGTATAAAGCATAAAGCATAAAAGCACAAAGCACATAAAAAGACCTGCCCGATAAATTACAGTTACCTAATACATTACCCTGTTTGAGGCGAAAATCAAAGTGAAAACAGACCTTAGCCCCAAGCACTAGAGAAAACCAAGAAAACAAGAGACAATGTCTCGGATCTTGAATTTTCAAATGTCCAGTCTCGCTTTAGAGCTGTCGCGAGTTATGAGTCTCATAAAGTTGTGCAAAGTCTGCATTCAATGCATGATTTGGGGATGCTTCATATTTGTAAGCTACAATATGCACCTGGGCACCCAGTATCGTACGGAAACCATAGCTCTTCTTAACTTTGGGAGCCCAATCAACGAGACACAAGAAATAGCGTGGAACGGGTCGATCAGAAATTATGATCGGCCAATGGCTCTGCATTGATACGATCAAGGGACCCTCTTAGTACAAACGTGTTTTTCTGTACGAAGTACGAGTACGATTCACAATTCTCATCACTTTTTTCCTTTCCTTTTTATCTTACATCCGCGGGGTTCCGGAAGAATTGGACCATAATCGACTTGTGCATGGGCTCTAGGCTTTATGGAAGCCAGGGGCCGGGGGTTTCTGTAAGATTAATTTGGTTTCAGTGAGATGATGTGTGCATTTGATATTGCTAATCTATGGTAAAACGTGGTATTTAATATGGATATGGGTACTCATATACGGAGTACGGAGTACTCTGTATCCAGTCCAATTTCAGGCCCAATTACGATATTCATGGGGCGCAGTCATGACATCTGTGGCTTCCCCCCCCAAACACCATAGAATCATTCAAAGCGAAGACCGATTGTGGCTGAGAACACAATACATATGTACTCCGTATGATGCTCTTATATTGAAGATCTGCTTCCGGGTCTCCGCAAACGTGGTTCGTGCCCCTGCCACCTGTCGACATGGCCACATATCAACATTTGAATGGATATATGTATATTGTCCGGAATTGAATAGAATATACCATCCTACTTAGTCGGTTCTGTCTATCTCCGGCTCCGAGAGAGAAGAAAGAGAGGTGTCGAATGTAGTGTCATCATTGCGGTTCCACCTGCACAAGGGGTTATTATTTGTGCACATGCAAATTTACTTTTATTATTACATCGCATGTTCCGTCTCCCCCAGAGATCTGGACTGGTCCCAAGTGATAAACCCCAGCCTACAGGAGATGTGATTAATCCATGTTCTAGCCCTTTCATGTTGGACCGGAACAGCACATTGCAACTATTGCAACTATTGCAGCCATTGCAGCCATTGCAGCTACTGCCTGCATTTCACTGCTTGAGCATGCCATAACATACCAGGCCTATTTTTTATGTCATTATCAGATTGAATGAACTAAAAGAAAATTCCCCGATATCAAAAAGACTCTTGGGGACGATCCCTTGATGCGGTCCAAGCTGCAAGCATCATTGCTTCGGCACGCGCGTCGATCATTACTTTGGTATGCTTAGATTATCAACTCCGCCTCCCCCTTCCAAGGCATGCGGACGGTCGATCCTGGACATCCCTTGGAATCCTCTCAGCCTCCCGCCTTGTGCAGGATCGATTGGTGACCTATGTCCCCCCCAGTCAGGTAGTTTGAACGAGTCTAAAATCAAAGGTCATGAATATCCTTGCCAAAGTTATCAGGTTTGATGCACTTTTTCACTCTTTTGTATTACCACAGGCTGTTCCAGAAATACAACATTCCAAGGTTCAAGAGAATGTCACGATGGTGGGGAGGAAGAGGGGATATCGACCCCTCTTACCGTTGTTCCAAGTCGTACAACATACGATGTACAATGCCCAGTGGCCATTTTCTGTGGTACATCAGTCCAGTTGTCAATTGGATGTCGATCAGGGATACAAAATTGATGCGTTCATCTGCATGTTGTGTGAACCACTCCAGGTACCGTATACATGCACACTTGATGCCGTATGTGGGATTAGAGGGAGCCAAACTAGACCTATCCCCTTGGAATGATTCAAAGAATGTGCCCGATATGTTGTCTTCATCTGAGCAACTGGAGATACAGGTTTATATTGTATGCTGTCTACTTCGGGTTTAAAATGAAAATTATACCGGAAGATAATACCTACGGTCCATGTCTCCAGGAACAAAGTACAAAAGTACTGCGTTGGTGGGATTCCCGATTATAGGATTATCCTTGTTGACAGGTCTACATCTTGCCCAACATGAGTTCCGGCCGAGATAGACAGTGGGTTGAATGCCCTTAGAGTGGAGGTAGATGACGAGACTAAAGACGCGGCATAAAACGCGTCGTTTAAGTGAAAATCCCCGAGAACGAACTTCAAAAGAGCAGTACAATACGGAGTGTATACCACGAAGTACATAGTAGAGGGGGGGAAAAAGAAAAAAATACAAGGCCCGAAGCAGATCGGAGAGACCGTTTGTGGGCCAACGAAAATCAATTTGAAAATTACCGTATTTCTCGGTATGATCGGAAAAAGAAATCAAGTTAAATATAGCATCAGACTATCAAGGCATATGTACTCCGTACTCCGTACAGTGCCCAACCTTCAACTTTAGCTTATACTAGTACACAATATAGGTTGCTATATATAATTGAGGTGCAGATACCAACTATCCATGTGTCTAAGTATCTACTAGTTGTATGTAGGATATGAGAAAAGAGCTCCATTATTTCTATTGTCATATTAGAGAGCCTCAAACTGGTTAGATGAGGTGGAGGCTGGATCCTTACTATGTACGGAGTACGGAGTAGAATGGGAGTAGAATGGATAGAGTGTGTATCAAGATAGACGGAAAAAGAGCAAAAGAAAGAAGATCACGAACAACAAGGTCGAGAACATCTGCATCCATCTCTTTCCCGTCGTCAAATATTCTTATCGCTCCTTGATTTCCGTTTCCGGACTGAGGGGATCCACGATCATTGAGGGCTTGCGAGTATCAAGGAGAAAAATAAAAAGATATTTTGTTGACCGATCGCATTCAATCGTTTTTGCTCTCTTTCTCTTTCTTTTTTTCTCTCTCTCTCCTAAAGCGTGAAGTCAAGAGTGAGAGTAAGAGGGAAAAGAGAAAGATAACTAACACGGCAAAAATAAACTTGAACGTGGACAACCCTGTCTTTTCCTTCTTCCCCCAGTCTAAACTTCCATTCGAATTTCATCCTTCCTGATTACAACTCTCCTTCCTTTTTTTTTTTTGTCCCCCCATTCCTCTTCCCTCTTCTCTCCCTCAGTCACCCTTCGCTCTTTTCTTCCATTCTCTCGTTTTCCTCTGTTATAGGGCACCTGGACCTTTTTGACCTGGGACTTTCCCGCCCCCAGTTCCTTCCAGATTTTGAGAGATGGCTCCTCCTCCACGTCTGCGCATTCTGTCCGGTGAGTTCAACTTCAGCCTAGATTTCAACGTCTGGGATACTACAAAAAAAAGAAGATGGTTCGTCGTCTAACTAGAGTCTGTGTAGTCGGCGGCAATGCGATCTCTGCCTTTCTCTCATGGCGACTTCAGGCGACAACTTCCTGTGACGTTACGCTGGTCTGGAAATCCGGATTTGACGCTGTGTCTCAATACGGTGTCTCGTTTAAGTATGTATCCAGGTTCTTGTGTCACAGACAGATGGCTAATTCCCTCCGCAGATCAAAAGCATTCGGCAACGAACGATTCAAACCCCGACATGGTGAGATTCGGATTTCACCACTCGGCCTGAGCCCTAGCCAGGACCCCGGCTGACTTGTCCCAATTTATAGTTGTTCGTGCTCCCGAAGAAGCCTCATCCCGTGAAAATGCCTACGACTATGTCATCCTCTGCGTGAAAGCCCTGCCGGATGTCTATGACCTTGCCTCCGTTATTGAATCTGTCGTCACTCCCCAACACACCTGTATCCTGGTGAATACCACAAATACCCTCGGCATTGAAGCCCACCTTGAGCAAAGATACCCTACCAACGTCATCCTTTCTCTCGTCTCCAACGTGGAAATCTCCCAAACGGGCCCTAGCGAGTTCGAACATTTAAGCTCGAGCGAGATTTACGTGGGCGCAACCAACAAATCTTCCTCCATCCCGACATCAATCCAGAGCGATATGGCAGCGGCATTAGCAATGACTTTGAACTCCGGTCAGGTTGACTGCAAGGTTTCGGATAATATCAGACAGGAGCAGTTCGACCGAATGATAGGGTGAGTTACTTCGGATTCGCTTGGATCTAGAATTTGCATGCTAAACGTCTCCCAGCCCGATCGCCTTCCATCCCGCAAGTGTCGTGTTCGAAACCCCAAACCATACACAACTCCTCGAAAAGACCGGTGTTCGTCCACTAGTAATGGGCATCATTGACGAGATGATGGAGCTGGCCTCTGCGCACGGTTGCTCATTCCCCAGCGATTTCCGGGATAAGACGGTCCAAAGAATGATCGCGTTGGACTCTCCGACCACAATGTACTCGGATTTCCAGGGCCGACGCCCTATGGAGGTTGAGACTTTCCTAGGGTCACCAATCAAGTTGGCAATCGAGTCCAATGTCCGCATTCCCCGAATCGAGACAATGTATGCAATGCTACATCACGTCAATATCACAAACCAGAACAAGCCCCGGCAGGAGTCTCCACCTGCATCCGTCATGGGTCAGCCGCCTCCCCGATTGTCTTCCGCACCTCCACAGCAGCGACCCATGATGAATGGTGGCCCGCCACCTATGCGTGGAAGCCGAACACCCTCGGGCATGGGCATGCCCACGCCACAGAGACGAGGCCCACCCCCTGGTATGATGCCAAGAGGCCCAGGCGGACCGATGCCGATGCCGCCTCCCAACCGAGTTCAGCGCGACCCATCATTGGAGGGACTCGAAGAATTCAGCCATTTGGTTGTCTATGACGAACAGGGTGAACCAACTATACCGCATCAGAATGGAAATGGGTACCCCGAGCCAGCATCTGGCCCTGCTGCCGAATTGACATTAAGGGAGCGAGAGCTGGCGCTTCGTCAACGTGAGCTGCAGCTGCGTGAACAGGAGATGAGCATGCGCAGAGGCCCCCCGGCCCAGGACGTCGTGGACCGGTTCCCTCCCGCCCTGCTACAGCCTTTGACGAAGAAGATGAGGATTATTTCGATCCAATGGATAACATGGCGATCCCTCACATCGACCCTGACAGTGTCGATATGATGAGCATGACTTCCCGCCGTGGACGCAAGGGCCCCAGCCACAGCCAGTTGCGTAAAAACCCCGAATTCGGTATAAACACTCCTCCTCTGGAGGCAGCCGCCCGTCCTCATCAGCCTTCAACCGCTACTTTGGCAGGAAACGCACGAGCGAACGTGTGATGCAAGAAATCCCAGGTCTCCATGATTCGCTCATGGACAACCCCATGATGAGCTACTCATCCAACAGATATGGAGCCGTTGACCGAAACCAGATGCACGTGGATTCTCGAGCCAATTCTTTAACGGCCAGCCATATGGGCGACTACCCACCTCGACCCTTCCCACAAAGCCGGCGAAACAGCCAGACTCCTATAATTCCAATGGGCGGACCTCCCGGACCCCCTGGCCCAGGAGGCCCCCGGATGGGTCGCCCTCCAAATGCCCGTGAACACAGTCTTGGCCCCCCCTGGTGGACCTCACAATGGCCAGCCATCGCCTCCTGGTAACATGCGTACGCCGGTGCCGCGGTATCCTCCGGGACAAGGAAACGCGGTAGGGCCGCAGCAAGTTGAGCAACACTATGGGGTGAGCAACGCGTTCCCCGCTAAAGGTCCTCCTAAAAACCAGAATCTGACCGGAAGTGCGAGCGCCAGCGCGGGGAGTGGTGATAGTGGAGCCAGTGCAAATATTGATTCCGAACCCTCGTCTCACAGCAGTCAGGTCAGCCTCGGCGGCCAGGGGGTCGCGGCGCCCGTTCGCTAAGAAGGAACGGGTTTCCCTCCGCTTTTCCCAACGCCTGACCGGCGTTCCATGATTGAATTCCCTTTCGGCATTGCATTCTTCCTCGGCGTGGACCGTCATCGTCCGCTGAAAATTGGTCATGTTTGGACCTTTTTGCATCATGGTGTCATTATGCGGGGACTTTATTCTTCGGTCCCGTGCTCTCGAAGCACTGGTTAATACTGGGCTGTTCGCTTCTTTACATATACATGAGGGACATAGGGGTATTCGTTGCTCTTTTTTTTTTTTCTCTCTTCCCTTTTTCTTTCCGGTTTCGGAGTGTGGTTGGTATAACGAGGTGTGCGTGCGTGTTTTATTTCCTTTTGTGTGATTTGCTCTGCATCGATACTCATTCTGTTTCGCGGCATTATCGATTTTTAATGAGGCCACTACGCGAGCCTAGACTGGGACATCCTTATCCTTGCTGTTTCTCTTCCTACCTCCTTTTTCATCTTTACAGCATGTCGATATAGCGTCGTCGGCCTCCCTGCCTACCTTTTCATCTCTCTGCATGACTGTATACTACCAGCTGGCGCATTCCTTTCCCCTCCCATCTAGACTCGTATACGCCTATCGTCTTCATTCTGTCTGTTTTATCATCATTCGCTCCGCTCCCGGGTATCCCCTTCATTTGTCCGTTTTTTCCTTGTCTCTCATCCGACTGGCTTGATGCAAACGGCCTCGTCTTTGATTTTGTGGTCTGGTCTCTGGCGCATTCCAAAAGAGCGGGGGTTGAATTTATTCGGTTCATTGAGTTGTGTTGATCTGCTTGCTGGGTTCGCGCTTTGCTGAGAAAATGAATGAAGGGTGCACCGCAGTGTTCAGTTTCGCTGCGTCTTTTGAACAGCACTTCATTCTTTTATTCTTCCAAGGAGCACACGAATTGATAGACCTTTCCGTTATATCGTTGAGGTAGCTACAGTTTATTGCATGCAAATGTTCCAAGTACCTGTTTGACAAACAACATGAGAGATTCGGATGCCAACATAATACATCCTTGGAAGTATAAATTAGCGTATCTTCACGTGACCACCTGATAGTAAACAAACCCGCGGTCAAATAATGTCAACAAGCACCCACCTCAAAACAAAACATAACCTGCACATAAAGAAAACCCATACCCAGCACCACATTTCCCACCCAATCCAGTTTTCAAAGTAGATCATACCAAAAATGCCACCCCCTCCAATCCATCGCCGCCAAGAATCAAACACTACCTACTCCCGCCCCTCAATACTCCCAGGGAGCAACTACAACACTACAGCAACCCACACATTCAACACAAACCCGAACACTACATACACCCCCAACTACAACTCCAGCGCCTCGACCCCATCCATGTCCGCTGCTAAGTCGCGCCAATACGCCCACCTCCATGCCCAGCTCGCACAGCTCAACGCCAACCTCGCCGACACAGAGAACCTACTCCCGTATGACCGCTGTGCAGGCGGGGGACATGCGTTTTCTAGGCGGGTATTCTGGGGCCCTGTTTATGGGGTCTGCGAAGATTCTGGGCGAGGAGGGGGTTAAGGGAAATGCGGATAAGGATAAAAAGGCCGATTCCGAAGACGGGGGAATAAAGAGGGAGGAGAGTGATGAGGATTGAGTTGATGAATCGTCAATGATTGAGACGGGTATTGATTTGATATGATATGGTCAGTCAGATTGATCATGATTGTTGTTGTAGTGCTCACAATGTGCCGTGGGTGACGGGCTCCATGACTTATGCTAACATATGTCTAATGTCTAACAGCAGAGATATGACCTCCTTTCTCCTATGTTCTCTCTATCCAACCAAGGTGTTATCTTATTCCACCACAAATTGACCACCCAGAATGATTGCTGGCTCATCGATGTTATGGTGTTCATAACTATTTTCCCAGTCATGTTAGTTATGCTCCAGATACGGCAGATGGGGGGGGTTTCCTCTGCTTAAAGGGCCGAGTCTTACCTGAGTGTGCCTATACCACCAGCCTCGAGAATCAGCGATGTTTCCGTCAATGGCTTTCCAGTCCATCGCATGGCAAAAGCACGCAGAATATGGCCGTGCGCAACAATAAGGACATCGCCCTTGGGGTCATCCGGGTTCTCGAAGCAAGGACGCTGGTATTTGTTTCTGATTTCGTCGATCAGAGCGTCAAGGCGGCGAACGACGTCCTCGGGGGATCTGGCAGGAGGGGAATGCATGTTAGCATGGGAAGATAACACCACAACAATGTTCAATACGTAGCTGGAAGCAAGGCCTAGAATCAGAAGACAATGAAGAAAAGAACCACTTACTCTCCACCGGGGCATCCATCAGTCCAAATATTCCACGGCCCCTCGCCTCTCTCAGCCCGCTGCTCGCGGATCTGCTTGCTCGTCAACCCCTCATAGTCCCCGTAGTCCCACTCTCTAATCGCCTCCGTAACCTCCACCTCGGCCTCGGTCCGAATCGCCTCCTTGTGTTCAGGCTTCCCCTGTTCACTCCAAGGCATTCTTCCTCGACAGCCAAGCTCGAGCAGCTCTAGGGTTCGCTGAGCGCGGGTGCGGGGCGAGACAAAGCTAGAACGGCGTGTTAGTTGTCTTTGTCTTTGGAGTGGAATAGTGAGTCAGCAGCATAGACAGATTATTTCTTACACATGAACGAGCTTCTTGGGAACAACTAGTCTGTCGTTCCCGACGAGGGCTTTGCCTGTTGCTTGAATGCGCTTCTCTCCATTGGCTGTCAGTGGTAGATCGGTGAGACCAGTGTGTCGGCCATTAAGCGACCATTCTGTCTCGCCGTGGCGGATGATAAAGCACCGGGGAGCCATTATATATGATTGAATTGAATATAGAGAAAGAAAAGGGGAAAAAAAGAAAAGGAACGAAGACTGGGAGAATCCGGTTCAAGTATGTTCAGCTCCTCTCTTTGCGTCATGGTGGACCCCGATAACGGGCTTATCACCTCTTTCTATGGAAGTTGCCAAGGTACATTTGCACATTTGCACATTTGCACATTGGGCTTCAGCTATTTGGGATTTCTTTTTTTAGTAAATTAGACATCATGTTATCTTTTCGGTATCCAACGATATCCATTGTAGCTGAATAACCAACCCCCAAACCCTGGAGGGTATCAAGATATCCGACAAGAGACCTCAAAACTGTGGGCCGTCTTCTTCCGCGAGATAGGCCTGCACTTGGTAGTGGTTCCAGTCTTGATCTCTTCGATCATCGCATGTCGTGAACACCTCTTATCCCGGAACAGTTTCACCTTACAGTTCCGATCGATATTGACATTGATGAAGGCCTCCGCACCTCCATTCTCGAGATTAGTGCGGCAGCCCGTTGACCCTTGTCCCGCGTAGCTGACTGTTGTTCCGGCGCAGTGCTTGTTGTGAAACAGGTCAAAGGTCCAGTTGTGTTTGTGGTCATGGTGTTCTTCGGTAGGAGGATGAGACGTGGGATAGCCAGCTATGGTCGCTGGGAGGAGGGTTAGGGCAAGGAGGAGAAATTGGATCAGGTTCATTTTGTATTGGTGGATTGTTTTCTTTCAATGGGGCATGCGAACTGGAAGAGTTGAGAGGATTTATTCTCTTTCGTTTTGGTCTGTTGTGTTTATAGCATCTTTTTATGGTTGCGTAGTGGTGACTCCTGTAGTCTTACCGTGGGTTGACGCGCACATCTTGCACATGGGCCATAGGGACACACTTGGTACTTTTCAATTCGTCTTACAGGATATTTTGCATACATCCGTGGATCTATGACAAGATTCAGAGTTCTTTTTTTGCCTCAATCAACTAGTCTACACAGCAACTTGGCCGTATGACAACCTTGAAATGGCCCTCTATCGTTTGTCATAACGTCAAAGGCTATGCTTGACCAGGCCAGGAATAGTACCGGGGCCATTTGACTACAGAGTGTGCCACTCACCCTTTTCCTGGCCATCCAAAATGCTTCTTCTACCTAGGTATAGATAGACTCTGCCGCCTTTCTCTCCGCCCTGTTTGTACTCTTTGCATCCAATTGAATATTCTGCCAGGCAAATATAGTGGAAAGCCTAATTCCCTGACCCAAATGAGCCTTGAGGGAAGCCATCCATCCCCCGGGAGAGCAGGTCACTGAAACTCTCAGCCCTATTTGCTCATCTAAAACGCCAGTATGGAACGCCGACTCACATCTAGGAATGTGAGCCTGGACTGGGTTGAGCGAGGCCATCAAAATAGGGACATTGTCTCGGCCCATCTCATTCAAAACACATACGCCCGGCTCAAACTCCAGTATGCAGAAAAGTTGCGCCAGAACTGGGTTGAACAACTTGAATCACCCAACCAAGCCCTGGAGCAGTTATCTCTCGCTGCATGTCTAATTGAACTGTGGAGGAGCATGTACGGCGCTCGACCGGCAACAGAACAAGAGCAGTCATTGAAAAACACAGCGCCGTTCCCAGGGTTCGTGGATCTTGCTTGTGGAAATGGTATCCTCGTGTATGTACTTCTCATGGAAGGATACAAGGGCTTAGGCTTTGACGCCTGCCATCGAAAGTCCTGGGAGACATTTCCAGCCGAGATACAGGAATGCCTGGAAGAGAGAATTTTCATCCCTCGGCCTTTTGTGGATGTACTGGACTTGCAAGAAATTGGCGTGGAGATACACACCGGCGATTTCCCGGATAATACATTTATCATATCCGACCATGCAGATGAGCTAACCGTATGGACTCCTATAATGGCCGCCCTATCATGTCCTTCGTCGCCATTGCCATTCTTTGTGGTTCCGTGCTGTTCTCGTTCACTTGCTGGTTCGTCGTATCGATACCCCCCGCCAAAGGAGCGTGGTCCAATGCAGAAGAGTCTGGATGGGAACCCCGAGGCAAGGAAAGTCGATGGTGCCGTAGAGCAGAATCCACAGCCTGCGTCTGGTGACTTGAGGGCACTTCGTGCAATCAAGATCGAAGAGAAGACCGAGAGCGGGTTTCTGAATTCAATGATTGGATCCCTCGCCGCAAAAACAATGAGTGTTGCCGAGGAAATTGGGTTCAATGTTGAGAAGACATGGCTACGCACTCCGGGTGCGATTAACATGGCGTTGATTGGAGGTCGACAGCAGGTCACAGGTGAATGGCCAAAGAACCGGGGTCCTAGAGATTCTCCAATGGAACAGGACCAAGCAGGTGCTGTTTTGAAAAAAATCATGGAAGTGGTTGAGCGTGAATGCTCCAAAGATGGTGGCATCCAGGTAGCTGCTAGGCTCTGGGTTGAACGGACGAAGAGTCTTCACCAAGGACAGGCGAAAGTGCACCAAGCTAAGTAAGGATACCAAAATGAATATAATCTCCTGTAAATAGCATCCATAATGATTGCAACTTAACGCCTTAGTGTCCCAAGTCCGGAATGGGCAAGGCGTTGGTAACCAGAAAAACCCTCATACTGACTTGACGGAACCTCGAAGGCAACAACTACTTCTTGGTAGGGCTGCTTCGATCATTAGCGAGACAAGAATACCTCCTATAGCCGTATGGTGAAGATTCCCCCAGAGAATTACCGGGGCTAAGCACATGGGTGTTGACAGGGTACATTGTAAGAAAATCTTCCAAGGTTGATAGAAAGATCAGCAACTACTTAGCTCCAATGAAGCAGGTCAGAGGGCCTTTGTCAAGGAAAATGATAATTAAAGACGAATGGTATTGATATGTCATCAGATATTCTCTAGATCTATTCACATCTAAGCGAAATATAAAACATAGAGTGGGGGAATAGAGAAAGGAGTGTGTTAATGTACAAAGATTTTACAGACCTCTTCAACTCCCTTGAGTTGAAGATCTAAATCAAAACGCCTGGGCTCCCGTTACAACGCAATCAAACCGTCAGACATACTTCAATCACTGCGTATCATGCATCAGGCTTAGTACGACCTTCGGGGCAGACAGTCTCTTTCCCATGATCGTTGCTCTTTCCCGCGCGAGCATTGTTAGAGGCCGTAGCTGATGCCTGCATAGTAGCCTGGGAATTGGCAGGTGTCGATTTTGAGTTTCTCGATGCAGCTTGAGCGGCAGCTGCAGCTGCATTCTCTTTGAGACGTCTTATGCGCTCAGACCGGCCTTCTCCTGGGAGACTGCCCCAGACCGGTTCGATCGAATCGGCCCGCCAGTTATTGCGATTTCCACCGAGTGCGCTGCGCTTTGGGGAGAGGGGAGCGAAAGTAGAGCCTCCCATGCCGGACTCACCCCACATGCGGACCCGTTGAAGCTTGCGCAGTTTGGCGAGACCGTAGACACAGACAATACCAGTCAGAGCAAAGCAGATCACGGAGACACCGCCGAATCCGAAGTCTGATTCTTCAATGAAATTCTTCAAGTTCATGCCGTAGAGAGCAGAGAATAATGTTCCTGTTGCGAGGCCGAGTGTTCCAATGCTGAATTTGAGATCCATGAGCATGAGCGAGTTGCGGTTGGCGTCGAGAATAGCCTTGACTCTGAGTTGTGTTAGAGGTGCTTTCCGCATAAAATGAGCGATCAAACTTACACTTCTTCCGTATTGCGAATATTCGTCACCAAATTGCCACTGGCCTGAACAATCTCATCACACACTTTGTGGTATGACTCCAGAAGCATTTCCACTTCTTGATGGTCATGCTCTTCTCGCTCTTTGCCGACCGATCTCTCAGTTAAGTACATTGCTGCCAAATCGTCATCGGCCTCCAGCAGATCATCAATCGCGTCTCGTACCAAGCGAGCTTTCTGCTCAAATGTACCGAGCTTCTTGGAGTAGATCAGGAGGTGCCGGAGCTTATCTCGGTCGATGTCCTCTTCGAGTGCACGAAGAACCCGCACGACGGGATCTCTCACTCCGTTAAACTCCTCCTCCAGGCCACTCGTGACACTAATGAGAACGGCTTCCAGCGCGCGAAACTCGTACGGCAGCGATTGACTAGGCTGAGCGGCCCCTTGGGATTGCCTCTGGCGGAGCTTTCCTTCTAGATCGTATATGAACAGCGACTGCATGTATGAGTCTGTCGATCCGTAGGCGTCGAATACGAGTACCCGGTCCGCTTTAATGAGAACTCGCAGATGCAAGAGATTGATGAGAATTGCGCTAGGTCGCACCAGGATATGAGGGAGAGTTGACGAATCAATCTTGCGTAGATCTCGAGGAAGAAGGCCATACTGTATCGTGATTCACCAGTTAGCAAATATTAAACTCGAACTCGAGTCCTTTTTACCAACCTTGGCAATCAGCTCCTGCTTTCGGAACTCTCCGTTCACGAGTGTGACATCTCCATTGATATCAAACTCCGTGCACCGAATTCGCAGCTCATTTGACGCCTTGGCTGATAGGCTGCGGCCAATATTGAACATTCCCTCCGTCCCTTCATCCATAAGCCCGGGGCCAGCGGGGCCTTGATGCTTGTAGTCGGAGGCCTTATTCCGCTTGAGATCAAACAGCCGTCGGAGAAAAGGTCGGCTTTTGGTTGACGCATGACGGGACAATTTCAGCTGCGTAGGCGCCAAGGGCGAGGCCACTGTTGCTCTAGTGGGGTTCGATTTTCCATAGTGGGTGTCGCACAGTGTTGTACCAAGTGCTGCGGTGCTATGGGGAGCATTGAGACGCGTCCAGCTTGAGAGTTTCGGGGATGGTCCTGTCGAGAAGCCTTTGTCGCGACTAGCAAGACGCTTCGGATAAGCGCATGCTGATGGTGCGGTTAGGAACCCAGACTGTGATCGTAGGAAGCGCAATAAAGAGGCAGAAGGTGCAGACAACCTCGGAGACAGCATGTCTCTGGATTATCGACCGAGCTGTATCGCAGGTTCTCCCGATCAGATCAGATACGCTTTTTTCCCGTTGCATGGAACAATGTTGACCCGAGAACCAGAACTATACAACCTTGGAACTGTTGTAGAACTATAACACTGTTAGCTGTTTCTCAAATGCCTTGTACTGTGAGATTGGAATAATGATTCTATATTGGTACCGATTAATACTAATTGCTTAAGTCAAGCACTTCCTTCTCGGCTCAGTGCCCAGTCAACCAGGTCATTACCCTTGTCCTCCTCCATTATCTCCCTTTTGCATCCAATCACCCAGATCAAGTGTGTCTCAATCAGCTCATAGCTATTGAACCACATATCATCGCGAGGGTTGCATTTGAAGTAACTTCGATATTCGGAACCCATGTTCTCCCATACGGTAACCCACTTACGAAAGCCCAGCCACAATGTCAAGATATCACTGAGGACAATTCTGAGATAGTTGTGGTCTTTCTGGACTTTTGCAACAACAAGCTGAATGTCAAATAGAAAATGTCTAGCCTCAATGACGTCGCTTACCTCCTCAAGCCGTCGGTATCGGCTTAACAGCGTCTCCCAGCCACCCAAAAGCAGATACCCTAACCGCTGTCGCTCGCTATCCAAGCAGCAGTCCAACCAATTCACAAGTACTTCACGAAGCTTTTTGTGCCCCTGATCTTTAGCAAAACAATGATTACAGGACAAGCCATTGATGAAACTTCCGGTGATTTTAGTTTTGTCCCAGTTTTGGAGCTCCGAGGCAGAGTTGGCGGTAGGTGCCCAGTGATTGAAAGCCGCACCAAGGCGAAGCGCACGCAATTCCTGCCAGCGCGAACATACTGGACACCGCACCATATACATAGTCCAGAAAGAATCAGAAGCGTTGTTGCTATGCACGCGTTGAACAGGGGCATTTGTGGTTGGGCACACACTGTTCATTATGGCGGAAACACCTGGGAAATATCGGTCCAAGGCACTGGCAAATGGTAGACGACGGCTCGGTACTATGGGTACCTTATTTGTGCCTCTCTGCACAGTAGACGAAAGCTCACGACGCCGGAAACGGCATTCGTTGCACTTGCGCAAATGCCGCTTGAAGCCGCAACGCTCCCTCTCAATAAGGCGTGCTTCATGGTCCAGAAGCACCTGTTCTTCCTCTTGTGTGATACTGCAGTATTCGTCCAGACTAAAGCCTTGGAATGTGATCATGCCGCTGTCTTGAAAGCTGGCCAATCTTGCGCCCCTATCGCGCACAGGATGGTTCGGTCTTAATGTGTTGCACCTAGATGCGAGACCATATCGACGCCGTATTTTCCGGTCCTCATCATTGGAATTAACTTGTTGTTTGTGTATATGGTACGGTCTGCGAAGTTTCCCATCTCGTGTTGACTCCCAGCTCGTGTAAGATCTCGCTGCCGGGGATCCTGGCAATGGCTTGCGGTACTGCAGTCGTAGAATGTAATGGTTGTCGAATGATGTATGTGGAAGCATCTTGAGACAGATGCTACAGGCCCAGCGCATATCATACCATTCTTTTGACGTGAAGTCAGGGACGAGGTGGTTGTCCTTCGATCGAAAGACGGGCGTGACCCCTCCGACTTCTTCTCGGCATTCAAGTTCAAGCAACCTCTCCAGTAAATGAGTTCGTTTTGGCTGAATCACTGTGCGGAATTTGGAGTTCGTTTGGCTGATGGATATGAGCCCAATAGGGTCCAAGAGACGGAAGATCGAGCACAGAATCCCAACGGGCAAAGACCCAAGAGATGGAGGATCAAGCTTCATCTCGGATCAAGAGCGGTATTTTTGAGGCGAAACTCGAAACCTGTGACTATGATAGAGGGACAGTCTTGGAGATAATGGTAAAAGCTATGGATGCCCGGTTATGCCCAGCCCTTGGCTATTTATGGTGGCGATCCACGGGTGCAAGCTAAACTCCACTTGAGCATAAGCGTATGCATGTAGTCGGCATCAGACTAAGACAGATAATGAAAAAGAAAAAAAAAAAAAAGACTCATCTACTTCCTTGTGCTGAGACTATCTCTTGCATCCACTGAATCTACCATTGAAAGCTATATACAGAGTGCATTGCCCCTCTTTTGTTAACACTTGTGAAGCCAAACTTTTAGGCGAAACGCTGGACCAAGAAACAGAATGCTCGATGCTCGCAGTAATGCGCAAAAGCCATTGGTATCTTGGAATACTTGAACAATCCCACCGAAAAGTAACTGTTCACCAATCGTCGTCGTTGTCTTTCTCGTCATCTATCAACATGGTTAGAATATAGATCCGCATTTACGTGCTGGGATTGGCATACCACTTCCGCTGACTCTCTGTTTTCGCTTGTTGAGAGCATCTTGCAATGCGCCGGCCAAACCACCTTGCGGGGCGCCTCCTGCATTGGGGCTTGTAGCTGAAGACTCATTAGCACCACCGGGTACCATGGCTTTACTTCGATCGTTCTTTTCCGTATCCTTGACCTTGCGCAAGCCTCCGCCTCCGGAGCCACCCGAAGCCCGGATGGACGCTAGCAGATCGTCACGCCCTCCGGTGGGCTTTGGCAAGGGTGGTGCAGCACCACCAGGGGGTGGAGGTGGAGGAGGAGCACCACTTCCAGGCGCCCCAGGTGGTGGAGGTGGCGGCGGTAGTCCACCTGGTGCCCGCGAAGCAGGCGCCGGAGGAGGGGGGAGGGGGAGGCATTGATGGGCCACCACGGCCCGGAGGCGGAGGGGGGGGGGGGGCCACCTGGTGCTGCAGCGCCAGGCGGGGGAGGGGGCGGAGGGACGCTAGGAGAATACGTAGGTGCCGAGGGCGGGGCGGGGGGAGGCGATACTGGTCCTCTTGGCGGAGGTGGAGGAGGAGCTGCGGGAGAAGACGGTGCAGCTGGCACGGGTCGAGGCGCTGGTGGGGGTGGAAGTGGGGGTGAAACGGGGCCTCTGGCGGGTGGAGGAGGTCCGGTTGTAGTGCTCATAGGCGGCACTTTGGGCGGCAGTTGAGGTGGTGCTGCTGGGCTCGCTGTGCGAGGCGGCGGAGGGGGAGGGCCCCCTGGTGCAGGGCTACGGCTGGGGGGTGCCGGTGGCGCAGACACCTTGCGATCACCAGAGAAAGGTGGTGGTACTCCAAATCGAGATTGACTCGATTGAACATTATGACTATCATCCATCGGTGTCTTTGGTGGTCGCGGGGGCGGCGGAGGCCCAGCATTGACGTTCGAAGTTGCGCGTGGACGCCGCGGGGGTACAGGGCCAGCAGGCTCAGCGAACTTGCCTGCGTCTGGAAGTGGAGGCGGCGCATTGAATCTTCGCGCAGGCGGAGATGGCTCACGAGGGGGAGGGAGACTGGTTCTTCTGGTGCTTCAGAACGTGTTTTCCGTGACGGAGGGGGCGGCGGCGGTCCCCGTCTGCTTGTTGAGCTTGAACCCGTGTCTTGAGGACTGATCGAGGTCACTTTCGGAGCTGGGGGTGCAGAGGGTGGCGGTGGAGGAGCTGCCTTCGGCTTATTCTGATCTTCAGCAGGAGCAGACTCGCCCGCCGCCGCCTGCTTCTGGTCAATCCAAGCTTTGATGAATTCAGAATTCTCGGCGATCTGGTCTTCGGTAATTCCCATCCCCTTGAGCTCATCAAGTAGTCCTTTCCAAGAGGGGTCACTCGTGTCAAACGGTAAATCTGGCTTAGCCGGTGGCGCGCTTGGGGACAGCGTCGGAGGTGGAGGAGCAACCTGTATTGAAGGCGCAGGTGCTGTCGGCGGTGGTGCACTTGGAGCTGGGCTCGAACGATGCAACAAGCTGCCAAACAAAGACCGTCCTACTTTCCCATTGGTAACAGGAGCAGGTCCCTGGCCTCGAGTAGATGCGAAAGGAGTCTTGCTGGTCTCTTTGCTGGCATGTTTCTCGCGCTCATGCACCTTCTTGATAAAGGTCTTGGCCTCCTTTTTCGTCGACAAAGGACAGGCCGGCGGGACAAGCTTCGAGCTCGAATGTATGAAAGAAGGTTCGATCCTGGTTGTAAGCGAAGTTGTCATAGATCTCCTGGTCCCAGATCACGCCCCTGCCAGCCGGCTTCATAAAACAATGCATTTGTCAGCACTTCTACTCTTTTCTTCAACACCAGTATGGACCGCCTACCGAGACATCGACTATTTTAAGCCAAAAAGTCCTCCCAACAAGGTCATTGCAGAGGACAGCAGCCCCTTGAATTCCGGTATATGTCCATTTCTGTCCATCCGGGTAGGCGACGTAAAGTCGCGCGACAGCTACGGCGAGGATCTTGTTGGCCGGTTTAGGGACATTCCGCTTAACAGTCTCCTTGTCGGCGTCACTGAGTATGGAGGGCATGGTGAATCGAAGTGGTCCCCCACTGAATAGAAAGGGGAAAGGTGATAGTTCGAAGGGTGGTTAGGTGGGTAGAGCACACATTGCAGCCGGGCGGGTATCTTCGAATGATGAAATAGCGCCCTCGACGCACCGACTGATACGGCAGTGGCGGGAGGTAAGGTTTCTTTGTAATTGATTAGATTCGAAGGCCGAGGTGTTAGAGAGGAGCCGACCGGCGGTTGCCTTGAGTGTTGGAGAGGTTCGGAGGTGAGAAGGCGTAGGCGGGGCGCAATACACCGAAGTGACCTAGGCCTACCGCAGCACCGCCATACCGGCACGTGGTACTTGTCTTGTACTATTTAAGGTATGACTAACGGTCACTACATACTTATTTAGGATTCTTTCTGTTTGATATTTGATATGCCAAATCTCAAAACAGACATTCTAAAAATACAAATTGATAGAATATTGTTGACATGTTCATGAGTGACGAGGATTGTGGGCTGCAGTTCAATACGCCCATTTCAATGAATGTCCTATATCATACTTTAAGAGGCGAGCTCACTTCAATTTTAGGTGATTGATTATGCGGTGTGTGACCGTGCCCAGATGGCTTTCTAGGAATAATATGTACATGTAGGATGTGTAAATATGTCAAGAAGACCTTGAGAGTATGGTTTTGACTACATGGTAATACTTTTAACTACCTACCTATTTTGACTATGTATGGATGGATATGGATGGATATACTTGTTGCGGTAGGATGCCTATGTAGTATTTACCTTTCAATAAAGAGCAATTTGCTTTATCATGCTTTTCAACTCTTCATATTACTACTATCTTGATTATACCATAAATTCTAATTGAATCATAATGTACTAGGTAGCTACAGCATGCCCCTAATTGTGCTCCTTACACCCACGGCGCCACTGTATCCACTAAACATAATCAACAAATTATACCTACATATGTAGGTACGGAGTAGATATAAATGGATTGCATTTGCATTTAGTTCTTGTTTCTTCTCGAAGTGAACGTGTTTAGGCAACTAGGGAGTATATCATGCTATTCGTTGCAATCCGACCACCGACGTCATCCCGCTTGAGATCTATAAAGCAGGCATCCAACCAACCTTTAAGACCTGTTTCTTCAACTCACCATCAACGAATTACCAGATTTATTTGATCTATCTACCAGTGAACAAGAGCTACATTAGCTAGTGACAGCCCAACAAGAAACTCTTCTATCTCTACAAAATGCCGGTCATCCCCGAGTCGTCAGACTTCCCATCTGTGCCCCAAAAGGGAGGAAATGAGGCCGAGAAGACACCAGGGCAACAACCCCAAAAAGCGACTGCAGCGGACTTCTTGTCAAAGGGACCCCAGATTCCGGACAGTAAGTTGGCTACTAGATCTACACAGGCCCGCGACTGACACTTTGTAGATATGCCTCCCAAGGCTTCTAAAGAGGAGCTCGAGGCACGCGCGAAGGAACTAAACAAGCCGTCTAACTGAGAGACTATTGATCAACAATCTTTATCTATCTGTACTTAATACAATACCAGTTTCTGCCATTCAAGGCAACTTGCTCTTGTCGAGTATACCTATAGCGGGTTATGGCCCAAACTAGGTCCATCAGCAACATACGGAAAGTACCTAGGTAGCCGCTTGATAGTTATTAAACAAACAATACTGAAAATAGAATAAGTATACCATTTGGGATTCAGCTCCTTTCTTAGGCTGCGTATACTTCCAAATGAGCACCCGTGGACGGGCTCACCAATCCATTACGTCATACATCATAGCACACGTGATCGCGCGATATCTCGTCGACCGGACCCTTCACTGCTCAACGCGTTAAGAAGTGGTCCCAATGCCTCCAGAACGGTCTAGTGTGCCGGTGAAGCTGTCCCTACCACTGGTAAGTACCCTATTACCCCGGCGCAGGTTTCCCGCTAACCCTCAGTAAGCAATACCAGCAGGAGCTCTTTACCGAACTACGCGCCGAAGATGAGCTTGTCATCCTTGCACGAGGCCTCGGGCTTCTACACCTAATATCGAACCTCCTCCATTTTTATGATGCAGCGGGGAACAATCTGGTCCTGGTAGTGGGTGCAGATGAACGTGAGAATGAATGGATCGGAGAGGGTATGTGGATTGGTTTACACCCCAAGTCGGACGCTGGTGTTGGAAGCTGATGGACTCTGAAACCAGCATTGGCGGAGCATTACACTACCAGCAAGTCCCCTCTTGCTAGGGGGTTAAGAGTGATCAATACCGAGAAAGCTACGGTGCCGTTGCGGTGGGTTTCTCGTTCTGCCATGTCGATTGCGACGTATTGACAAAATGCCCAGAGAAAGAATGTATGGCGAAAGGGGGTATTCTGAGTGTGACATCCAGAATATTGGTTGTGGACTTGTTATCGAGTATGCATGTTTAGTATAATGGGCTCAAGACACTCGCTGATCTTTCTAGGACTTCTTGATCCCGAGAAAGTCACTGGGATGGTCATTTTGCATGCCGATAAGGTCTTGGCGACATCCCTCGAAGCATTTATTGTCCGGGTCTACCGGCAATCGAACAAGCGTGGCTTCTTGAAAGCATTCTCCGACTCTCCGGAGCCATTTACTACGGGATTTTCCCCGTTGGCTAATATGCTGCGGAACCTTTTCCTACGCAAGGCCTCACTGTGGCCTAGGTTCCACGTTTCTGTTGCTGAGTCCCTAGAAGGAAATCGCAAGGCAGAAGTGATCGAATTGGAAGTTCCCATGAGCGACAAAATGAGGGAAATTCAGAATGCTGTTCTGGAATGTGTAGAGATCAGTATCACTGAGCTTAGGAAGAGTAACACGGGGTTGGATATGGAAGAGTGGACGTTAGACAGTGCTTTGCACAGGAACTTTGACATGATTATCAGACGTCAACTTGACCCAATCTGGCACCGTGTGAGCTTTAGGACAAGACAAATCGTCAGCGACCTGACAGACCTACGAGCAATCCTTCAGTGTGTCTCCCATGTGTCTTTCCATTTATCTATACTAACAGTTCTGCAGTGCTTTACTCAGTTACGATGCGGTATCTTTTGTTAAGTACCTTGATACTATCGTGTCTGCGAACGCTCCGCCTCCCGGCTCCAGCAGGCATAGTTACTCACCGTGGCTTTTCCTTGATGCTGCCCATGTTCTTTTCCAGACCGCCAAATCGCGAGTCTACGAAGGCAAATTGAACAACGAACTGACCCGGCTTTCATCTTCGACTACATTTTCCTCTGAGTTGAACCCAGCTCTAGAGGAACTCCCAAAGTGGAGTGTCTTGTCAGAGGTCCTTGCAGAAATCGAACACGACGCTTACCTCCATCCTGTGCGGATGGATCAATCGAATAGTACCATATTGATTATGTGTAGTGATCAACGAGTATGCCGCCAGCTTCGCGAGTACATTGGCACCATGCATGCCAAAATTGCTCAAGCGTCCGAATCCGAAGACGGTGATCCGAGCGATGACAAGCCTTCTGCGGAGCTTATGATGCGCCGTCGGCTGCGAGAGTACCTCAATTGGAAGAGGTCTCTTTCAAATGTCAACAAAAATCTGTCCCAGTCAGGGGAGGACGACAGGTCTGGAAAACCTTCTGAGTCACCAGCCGCCCAGAGTGCGCATCAAGGAAGGCCTCCTCCAAACAAACGTCGTCGAGTACGTGGCGGCGGCGCAGTCACCTCGGCTGCAGGTCGTGTGCCAAATAGCAGTGTCCAAACCGAAGTTGAATTGCCCGGTCAGGTTGTCAGCTTGCTAAGTGAGATTCAGCCCACTGAGGTGGAAGAAACGCAGAAAGAGGAGGTTATTCTCGATGAACTGGAGGATATGGAAGATTTCTACGAATTATATGATATGAACGATCTAGTCATGATACACCCTTACGACGGTGACATGGATGAGCATATACTCGAGGAAATGCGTCCACGGTATATTATCATGTACGAACCCGATCCCGCGTTCATTCGAAGGGTCGAGGTATATCGCAGTTCCCATTCAGGGCGAAACGTGAAGGTCTACTTCATGTATTATGGTGGCTCTGTTGAGGAACAACGGTATCTGAGTGCTGTCCGACGAGAGAAAGACTCATTCACGAAGCTGATCAAAGAGAAGGGGGTAAGCTACCCAGCTACAACACTTCCGAATTGCTAGCTAACTCGATTTTCAGAACATGGCAGTCACCTTGACGCACGACAAAAAGGCAGAAGACCCCCAGGAGCAATTCCTCCGGACAGTCAATACTCGTATTGCTGGAGGAGGACGACTGGCAGCTACAGCATCTCCTCCTCGGGTTGTAGTTGATGTCCGGGAATTCCGAAGTGCCCTGCCATCTCTCTTACATGGGAACAACATGATTGTGATTCCCTGCCAGCTCACCGTGGGTGACTACATTCTCACTCCAGACATTTGTGTCGAAAGGAAATCGATCCGTGATCTCATAAGCTCTCTCAAGAATGGCCGCCTTTACAATCAGGCTGAGACCATGCTCCAGTATTACAAGAGCCCATTACTATTGATCGAGTTTGATCAAAACAAATCTTTCACTTTTGATGCATTCGCCTCCGTTCCAACAGGGCCCACGTTTATGACAGACTACGGTTTCTCATCTTCCGGCACTGCAACCAGCACAAGCAGCAGCTCGCTTGCCAATCCGTCCAATCCAAAGTCCGCTCAGCATCTACTTGTGCTCCTCACCCTCGCCTTCCCACGCCTAAAGATAGTCTGGTCTTCATCCCCTTATCAGACAGCTGAGATTTTTGCTGAGCTCAAAAAGAACGCCCAGGAACCAGATCCACTCCGCGCAGTTCAGCTAGGTCTTGATATTGATATACCTAATTCGCCTGGCTCGTCTGGCTCCGCCGACCTCATGGCTGCCGCTGGGATTGAGCACCGTACTTTCAATCTTCTTCCACAAGACATGTTGCGAGCTGTTCCAGGTGTTACACCCCAGGCTCTAGAGCGGCTGATCATCGAAACCGACAATATTAGTGATATTGCCAACATGGAGGTCGAGCAGCTGGATCCACTGGTTGGCAAAGAAGCTGCACGTAAGATAGTTGCTTTCTTCCAGAAAAGCGTATTTGATTAATAGAGAATTCAGCCTTGAGTCACTGGTGCATTCTCAATCAAATTATGACTTTGATGCAATTTAAATAAAGTACAAAAAACTTGCTGTGTACGTCAACAAATACAACCAAACTACATGTGCATCATCCCATCACATCTCCATACATGTATTCTTACCCAAATCATCATACAAATACAAATAAAAGCAGCAAACAACTGAGACATCTGCACATGTGGACTCTCAACCAATTTGAACCTGGCCTACTCCGTACCCCGTACCCATAAGACCTCTTTCCGCCTTGGCGACGATCTTGCAGATCAACTAAAAACAGAACAGCCCAGTCAACAGCCGAAGCAAGGACCCCTGAGAAAGAGTGGAGAAGCGAATGGGTCCCTTTGAGGTCAGAATTATTATGGCAGGCCCCTGACATCTCCAACTTATCACCATGCATCTCAAGACTGTGTTGACTCCGGTCGCTTTGGCGGCTGTTGTTGGTGCTGCCGGGAGTATACGCGATGTTGAGCCATGTGCTCAGGTTAGCAAGTTGGTGGAAGATGCCAATAAAGACCAGAGTATGTCATGGACTTAGAATCGTGAATTAGCTGATGGCTAACTGTCGCAGCAAATGCCATTGTGCCTCATGAGATGGCACATCAGTGTCTGTTATCTATGCCCTTTGACTCGGACCGTGCCGTTGATTTCCTGATTCATGTTCGCAAGATCCTCGAGTTCCAGTCAACTATCGATATTTTGAAGGGTAAGTGATACCGATTTGAACGAGAACTTTTTAACCTGGCTAACTTATATTGTTAGATCCGCCATCTGGGTATACAATGCCCTCCACCGATATCATGAAGGAAATCGATACAATAATGGGCAAGGCCAAGAGCAACAGCTATACCAGCCAATTTGAGATGGACTTAGAAATTAACCGCCTTATCAAAACAGCCCATGATGGTCACTTGGCCTTCCAGCTATGCTCGCAGTCAATCTTCACATATCAAATCGATATGCCCCTGGTGTCAATCTCAACAGACGGGCTCGCGCTTCCTCAAGTGTACGCTCTAGGTATGCTCGGCTCGATATCTGTATCAAAACCTCAAACTAACATGCCAGGTGATGCAAAACTGCAGAAGGTCGACCCAGACGCCGTCTCGCCTCTGGTGTCCATCAACGGCACTAACGCGGCTACATACCTTGAATCATATGCCAGTGATCAGAACCTCCAGGATCGTGATGCACAGTGGGTATCCTTCTGTAACTACAGTATTAAATCACACTAACTGTCACAGGTACAATCGAGTATTCCCTGCGCCAGCCCGCAGTGTCACGAACACTCCTACTGGTGTGAATGGAATCTGGGCTTCCATTGGAGACTGGACTGATGGCGCTCAGCTGTCCCTCAAGTTTGGCAATGGCACCGAGAAGACTATTCAGAAAACGGCTACACCGAGCGAAAAGTTCTTTTCTTATGGAAACGGCACGCGCCTCTACGATATAGCGTGCCTTCCCCGAGACTTGTCTACAGCTTCGAGCAGCCCATCTGGCGCTGAAGAAGCCTCCTCTGAGATGAAGGGACTCCCCAGCACTACCTGGCGCAGCTCAGCTAATTCGATTGCTGGATATTACTCCAAATTATCAGGGCTAGAGGACACAGCAATCATCTTTCTGCCCACGTTCTCATCCAGCGCATCAGAGGTCTCTAAGATTGCGATTGACTTCTTGCAAAACAGCACCGAATCTGGGAAAAAGAACGTCCTGATTGACCTCTCATCCAACCCCGGTGGATATATGTCTATTGGCATCGACCTGTCTCGTATCTTCTTCCCCAACGCTGCCCCATACACAGCCACGCGGTTCCGAGCACACGATGCAGCCAAATATCTCACTAAGGCATACTCGCGTGACAACAGCACGGACACAAGCAATGTTTTTGCATACCGGCAGATGGTTCGGCCTGACCAGAGAACCGGCTTCAGCTCGTGGGAAGATCTCTATGGGCCGCATGAAATTCTTGGGAGCTCTGCTTCTAGCCTCCTAGCCAACTTCAACTACACCTCCACCTCATCAAAGAACTTCCCCATCAACGGCTATGGCCCAGTTCCGTTGAACCCAAGCAAATCACCCTTCTCGGCAGATAACATCGCTATTGTAAGTGTTTGTCCCAGGAAAGGATACGGAAAAGAGAAAAGCAAACTAACGCGAGCTCCAATTACAGATCACAGACGGCGACTGTGTCTCTACTTGCGCGTTTTTCGTCAAGCTGATGAAACGCCAGGGTGTCCGCACTATCACCTTCGGCGGCCGTCCACAAAAGGCGCCCATGCAGGGCGTCGGTGGCGTCAAGGGCGGCCAGTCTCTTGGGATCAACTACATCAATGGGTATATCGAGCAAGCGAACGGTCTGATTAGAGACTCGACCAACAGTGGAGCGCCACTACTGACATCTGCCGAGTGGAAGGCATTTAATGAGTCCAGCCCGAGCACAACAGCGTCGCTTCAGTGGAGTGGCAACCTGAATTTGCGGAATGAGTATGACCCGGAGGATGACCAAACACCGCTACAGTTTGTTTATGAAGCTGCTGAATGTCGCCTGTTCTATACGCTGGATAATTATTTGGAAAGGGAGACCGTTTGGCAGGCTGCGGCGAAGGCTATGTTTGGAGATGGGCAGTGTGTAGAGGGATCGACTAAGGGGAAGGGTAGTTTGGATTCTTGATCTGATTGATATTTCAGCAGAAAGACATGAATACTAGAATACATAGTAATTAGATTGAATTGTACGTGAACACATCCAAGATATACCTGACTTGTACACAACAACATGGGCTGAAATTGCGCAGATGGCTGGGGCTTGGTTACGATATTCACTTCCCAAGGTTCATTTGTCTGATTACTTCTTTGAATTGGTCTACAAAAGAAAATATGTCTTCTAAAAATGATATTTTCAATTCTCGTGGCCCATTTCATGACTCTATCATAAAAGAACGAAAAGAAAAGCAAGTCGAGGCTGAGCAGAGTAAACACACCGCATGCAATGCAATGCAGGAAAACAAGCACACAGGTCCATGATGTGTGCATAGCAATCATTTTAGTCTCTGTCATGATCCCAAGATATTTGCAAAAAGGACGAAAATGGTATCGAGGATCGATCCACCTTGGAGAATCCAAGATCGCCAATGGACAAACACCGAGGGTCCTCTGTTCGATGGCTTTAGGCCCGTAAAAGTTGTCGCAGTAGCGCCAGAATGGAGGGGTGTCCTTATCCTCATGCAAGCCGAGTTGAGGAGCAGCGCCGTAGGCTGGGGAGGCGAGTGATGCTCTCGGTCCCATTCAAACGAATGTATAGAGGGAATCGGATGTCCAAAGTGCCTCGCGTGGCAAGTAGTCAAAGGCATTTTTCGGAGCAGATGAGCGACGGCACTGTGCCAAAGGTGGCGAGTAGGAGGAGAGGGATTTGGCGAACATGGAGAATACCGAGGGGGATGTATCCAGGGTATTCTTGCAGGGCAGAGCATCGAACTCTGGGAGTAGCAGGGGATGAGCTTAGAGCTCGTCGACATCGATCTCCTTCTCGTCTTCGCTTTCGCGATCCTCGTCGAACTCGACGTTGTCGTCCAAGCCTTCACCGCCATAGGTATCGGTCTCGTTGATCTTAGCGTGCTCGGGCAGCTCGCCGTAGGCCTTCAGAGAACGGGCCTCATCGGCGGTGTACTTCATGATAACATCACCTTTCTCGTCCTGGTAGTCACGGAGCGAGAGAAGAATGATATCACCCTGGTTGATCCAGACCTTCTTGCGGAGCTTGCCACGGATGTGGGCCAGACGCTTCTCGCCATCGAAGCAGAGTGCCTCTAGACGACCGTTGCCCAGCATCTTCACGACCTGAGCGTACTCCTGGCCCTCCTCCTTGAAGACAAGTTCACGCTTCTCATTGTCGTTCTCGTTCTTGCCGCGACGACGGTTCTTACCGCCCTATATTTGATTGTCAGAATATGTCACATACAGTAATATCGCTTTCGAAAAAAAAAAAAATCTTCCACGAGTCCAAAAAAGTCACCAGCTCGAGGGGTAGGTGGCTACCCTTGAGCGGGCGACGGTGGATGTGGCGAGGAAATTATCGCCAGGAGGGGGGATATTTTGCAAGCTTACCTTTCCCTTGTTCTTGGGCATGACGGTTGTTGTGACCTTTTCACCTAGGTCAAGTCTCTCTGGTGTAGATTTTTTCCTTAGATCAACGAAGATCTGAAGAGGCCTAATCGAAAGTTGATTAGGGAAGTGAGAGTTGAAGAAAGAAGGAGGTGGGGGTTCTGCGCACTGATATTCAAATCTTTCTTATTATATAATCAGGCACTCGCTGCCCAGTGGCGTCACAGCGATTTCGCCCCCGCTTACGGCAGATTTCTGCCTTGATGCCTGGTTTCGGGGTAAAATTTGACCGCCTGGTTTGATTGGCAGAAAAAGATGAGGCGAGAAAGACACAATCCATGGATGCCAAGCTTGGAAGTTTGCAAGGGCATTTCTGAGGAAGAATCTGAGGCCTTGCGATACAAGGTATTGTCAGGTCTGACAAGAGCCTGAGGATTCATTTCAATTACAGCTGTCTTGCCCTCTGTGTGGCGTGTCCTAACAAATAAGCACGCGACTGCTTTATCGACACAATCTCCGAAGATTCAGCGCCTCCCGAGTACATTCACAATAATCTGTTATACTCTCCTTGGTGACTCGATGATATCTCTTTGGACCTCTGTTCTGAGCCTCCAATTGCCCCTTTGAGGTGTTCGTAAACCTTCACCGGCTCCGGCTCTGTTTAATAAACATCGTGGTGTTCAAAACCCGACATGATATCAATGTCCTACGACCCTCCTTATATTTCGCCGCCCAAACCAGCATACCCTTACGACCACCGATAGACCTCTTTTACCATGGCAGTGAAATTTATCACGTCTACAAAAAGCTTGGTGCTTCGGTATTGGCCGAAATGCAACACCCCTCCAGTTGCCGCACGCTACCTGAATTCCCCTACCCATCCGCTCCGGCCCAAAATTGTCGATCTCTGTGGACATCGTGAAAGAAACACATTATGGTGGCGGGTTTCGGTGACACAACTCCAGCAAAGCAAGCGGGTGGTTCGCTCCTGGTGCGCGCGCAGAGTGCGAATTGCTGTTGAGCAGGCTTTGAGGCAGCAAGGATTGGATAAGCTGGGGAAACCGCTCATTTCTGAGTCCCCTTCGCGGAGCAAAAAATTGTCAGGAACCATGGACATCTACATTCAGCCGCCATGTGTGACACAGGACTTCGAGGTGGTCCAGAAGGATGTACATCATCTAATATCCTTGCTTCTGGATCATGAATCAGCACGGAAATGACCTATTGTCGATGAGCCACACTCGAAAGGCGAATCGCGGGCAAGTCATGAACATCACGCGACCCGGTGAGATTCAATGTATATTACCATTACCATAACATTTTGTATAATACTAGCAGTCGACTGATGGACTGTTGCTGTGCATTATCTGGGAGACCTTGCGATTATGGCGTTTGGGGGAAATTGGTTTGCATCTGAGATTCAAATTATCTCAACTCTTATTCCTTCTGTTCATTATACCCTCCAGTTTTGGAAATGATTTATTGTTGGCTCTGGGTTACAGAAGTAAATATAGAAGCGCGAGTATCTTAGCTTCCCGATAACTCGCTAAATGCCGATCTGGCGGAATCAACGACCCGAGGGTCTAAAGACTCACTTGACAACCACCACCACTTATCCTAAACTTCCCCTCTTTCATCCTCGCTATGTTGGTTTCCTTGACAGTTGGCAAGGTTGACGCGGGTGTCGCCGTGCTCCTCACCCAAGACAATCGACTCGTAAGCTCAAACCCCTGGTCGCCTGCTCCCTACTCTCCAGACATCGACGACCTGCATTTCTGCAGAACGTCAATAGCAAACAAGTATGCTTTACTGACAATTTTTCGCGCAGATTGAATTCCCCTCAGTCCTCCTTCCGAACAACATTAGCTCAGGCAGCATTGTCGATATCACCGTTTCGCGCAACCATGCCGCCGAAGCAGCGAGCGCATCTGCCTTCCAATCCCTCCAGAAGCGGATTTTAAATACCTACGGTGTCAAGGCCCCGTCGCCACCCGTTCTGCGCCTGCGAAATGCAACCCAGACCTCGCTCGTTCTCGAGTGGGACCCAATCGACCTAGCCACTGCATCCCTGAAATCGCTATCCCTCTACCGCAATGGCTCAAAGGCCGGCTCCATACCACGCCCGCTCGAGACTCGCAGCACAAAAATCAGCGGTCTGGCCATTCACTCCGAGTACTCATTCCATCTGGTTCTGCGGACTACGGCAGGCACCTACCAGTCGGAGAAGCTGACGTGTCGCACACACAAGATGACCGATCTGTCTGGCATCACCGTCACAACGGGCATTCTCGATCCACAGCAGAAAGAGGCACTCGGTGCTGCATTGGACCGCATTGGAGGCAAGATGATCGACTCGGTCCGTATCGACACTACTCACTTCGTCTGCACGGAAGGACGTGGTGCGCAGTGGGAGAAGGCTGTGGAGATGAACATCCCTGTTGTGGTGCCGGAGTGGGTGGATGCTTGCGAAACAGAGGGGACCATTGCCGGCGTGCGTGGCTACTATCTCAACGCAGACCCCAAGGCCCGTCAACTCGGCGTGATCCACGGCTCGTCCCACCAGCGTACTACTTCTACTCTTTCAACTGCGACAAGCGCCAACCAGGGAAGACTCAGCACTCAGCCCCAACGGAGCCCTGCGCAAGAGCAGGTGCCCGAGGAGCCTCCTCTGACTCCATTCCCTGGGGGTGAGACGAGTAGCCAACCCCAGACCCAGACCCAGGCACAAGAGGTTGGATCACAAGATGGGTCAGATGACCTCCCACCTCCTCCGCCCCCGCCCAAAGATGAATCCGAAGATACAAATGAGCCTGTGCAGAACGGTGAGGCAGAAGCGGCACCTTCTCCGGAGGCGAAGAACGAGGAGCCTGAAGCCGAAGCTGCAGAGGAGAGCAATGGAGATACAGAGAAAGAGCAAACCCTTCCACAGAACAGACCCGAGGATGACTCCGAGTCGACAAACCTCGGAGGCCCAAAGGGCAAAGGCAAAGAGGGTGAGGGTGACTTCAACGAAGTGCCTCTCTGAATGGCCCTCTGATGACATATTCTGCTCTGCCCTTGCTTCGTGGTCAATCACTTGACATCCTTACCCTGCTTTTGTCCCCATTGTCGACCAGCGTCTACGACTTTATCAGTACAGTTTTACCATGTTGTGGTTAGTGGCGTGTCTCTTCACTTAAGCGGACAAACCATAGGACTCTTACGAACGTGCTCCGACTTTGATTCATCTTTTTCCTTTCTCATGTTCTGTTTACTGTTATATGTACAGTACGCAATTTTCCTAATGCAGCCTTGCTCATTGACTTTGATCCGGTTTACCTAGATATATGTTGGAAACCAGATGATTACATTGTAGGTAAGAACGACAAACTGCACGTGTGGCTATGGTTCTCTAAATTGGAATTCTATCTCATGAAACGTCGTAAATCAGATGGGCCCGCCAGATGCAAACATTTGAAGTCAGTAGTCAACCGGAAAAAAAAAACTCAGCTCCTTTTGAGAGACTAGAATGCATATCGAGGCAGACTAAACAAAATGAAAATTCAAAACTAATCCAGTTCGGACTCATTCGAAATTTAGTTCTCGTTGCGAATGACATCGTCAATCGCCTGTGCGACGTAGGCGACGTTTTTTTGGCTCACTGTGCGCAATGTCAGCTTGTGTTTATGAGTATCTGTGATTGGGGGTCATTACAGCCGCTGATAGATGCTCGGCCTGACTTAAGCAGGTAAATGTGGTATTTGTCCTTCAAGGCGTAGACTTGCTTGGGGGTAAGGCCAGTGTAAGAGAACATGCCATTCTAAGAAAAGAATTAGTACAGAGCAAGCTACATGTATAGCAAAATCCAGATCGCTTACCTGCTGGATGATGTGCTCCCAAGTGCCCGGAGTCTGCAGACGGACCAACTCATTGTACAGAGCCTTACGCATGGTCTTGATGCGCGAGCTCATGACCTGCAAGTCCTGGTGCCAGTCGGCAGTAAGCTCCTCGCTGGTAAGAACCTTCTTAACGATGCTGCAGCCAACACGCGGGCCCATGGAGAACTCGCCACGGATCAGGTGGCATAGGTTGTTCACAACGATGTCGCGCAGGGTGGTTGAGGCGCGGTTGGTACAGTAGTGGAACGCACCAACGCGCTGGCCGTACAGGCCGAAGTTCTTGGAGAAGCTCTGTGCCACACACATCTCCATGTCCGGCTTGTTGTTGAAGAAGTAGCGGACGGCCCAAGCGTCCTCCTCAACAGAGCCCGAGGCGAAGCCCTGGTAGGCTGAGTCAAAGAAGGGGAAGAGCTTCTTGCGCTCGCAAAGGTCAGCGATGGCAACCCACTGCTCCTTGTTGGGATCCAGGCCGGTTGGGTTGTGCGCGCAGGCGTGCAGCAGCACAACATCGCCCTCCTGCGCCTCGGACTCGAGGGAGGACATCATGCCCTCAAAGTCGAAGGACCGGGTTGCAGCATGGTAGTACGGGTATGTCTTGCGGGGCACTCCGGCCAGCTCCCAAATGGTCTGGTGGTTGGCCCAGGATGGGTTGGACAGCCAGACGGTGGGGGGCTTCATGTGGTGAGCAAGGAACAGGGCGCCAAGATGGTTGGCACCGGTGCCGGCGACGGTCTGCACGGAACCAATGCGTGCCTTGGCCTCTTCTTCGCCCTGCTTGCCCTCGAATCCGAACATCAGATCCCGCGCAATTCCTCAGGAAAGGCACATCGCCCTCGATCGCAGTGTATTCATGGCGGAAGAGGTCGTCGTCTACCACCAGCTCCTTCTCGGCCTTTTGCACGACGGGAAGGGGCCATGGCTTTCCATCATCTGTCCGGTAGACACCCACGCCCAAGCTAACTTTCTGCGGGTGGGGATCGACTGCGTAGGCTCCGTTCAGGGCGAAGATCTCATCCGGAGGCACTGGGGAGACATTAAGACGGGTGTCGATTTTGCTCATTGTGATGTATACACGCTGCAATTGGGGTTCCTAGGATCAATTTCAGGCAAAATGTGGCGAGGCCGCGGCGAGTATAAGTAACCTTGGAAGTAAAGATCAAAACTTTGGGAATCGTCCGCTGAGTCAACCCGATATCGCTGTCTTTTTGCCCCGCGGGAAGTCCCGCTTAGTAGCGGATTCCGGGGTCCACGGGTGTGCTTGCAACGAACGCAACTTGCAATGCCTTCATCTTCGTTTGATTCAAAGGAAGAGATAGCCGTTAATAGCCTTCTTGTTTTGACCATGTGCTAGTTGATGAATGGCCTTTGAAGATACGTTATTGACCTCATCTTGGAGGACTAAACTTTAAACATCAGCATGGAATGTCATCGGAGGTCTGCTGACACAAATTATAAACGCACTGTATTCTCAAGAGAATAAATGTGAGATTTTCTTGTGTAGCACTCCATTCAAGAGGGGTTGATGATAGCTCCTGGTGTGTTGTTGGAAAATAGTCGGAAGAGGCGGCCGCGCAGTAATATATAGTGGGCGGGGATATACATCTACGTTCGATCCTTATTTATTTCTTCTACGACATTTTATGAATCTTTCCCTTCTAGTCCCAATTATTCTTTCTAGCCTTATAGATATATACCCTCAATGCTTTCCCCTAATGTGCAAAAGCCTAGACACGACTAAATCCTTCATTGTATGGTGTGCTTTGATCTATATCCGGTTATTTCAAGATGAACACATAGGAAATATACTTCAACAGGAAACAAAACCAAACATACTAAAAGGAGAGGTATTTTGAGCTGGCCATAACTTGTCAGACTTTCTTCGAGCCACTGTTTGGTCCTTTGACATATATTGGACTGCAGCCGATGAGGGTAAAGGCGCTTGGACTAGGGATTCTACCACTCAGCTTGTACCGTGATATCAAATATTCTGATGACATCCAGTGCATATCTGCCTAGGGAATATAGACCGAAGTTGGTACATTTATGTATGTATCTAAATAATACCCCGCGATCTGTACTACGTGGACTTCGATAGGCTGCTCTAAACCCCCTCCTCTTCTGTACCTCGTTCTTTAAACGATCCATCCGATATCCCAGACGGCGTGCTTTTTTTGGTTACCAATATGGCCTCTCAAACTGTAGCTGCTGGTAATTCTGAATTGCATAAGTTTCGGGTTCCAACTATTGTCCAGCCACTTCACAATAGCATCCCCTCGGAGCTGCTCCCTCGGTATGACCCAATCTACGTCGAATATTATAATAAGTTTAATGCTGGGCGACTACATACGCACGAGATCCCGATTGAAGAATTCCGCAAGAACCCTGCCCGTTATACCATTTCCTATGGCCGGGCTCCCGGCCCTGATATATTCCGCATCACAGAGCAGAAATGTCCTGTCGATGGCGGTGAAATAACGGTACGAATATTTGAGCCGGCGCCCCAGTTTGACGATCAGGGTCAGCCGAAGAGGAGAGCAGCCTATGTCAACTTCCATGGTGGTGGGTGGGTGTTTGGTGGACTAGCCTACGACCACGATTTCTGCAAGCGAGTTGTCCATGGTCTTGACGGGGACCTTGTCGCATTTGATGTGGATTACCGGCTGGCCCCCGAGAATAAATATCCTATTCCCCTGGATGATTGTTGGACTGCATTCAATTGGGTAGGAACCTCTCGGGCGAAGACCTCGAATGGGAACCAAGTGCTGACAAGGTAACGTCTAGATCCGCTCCCACAAAGCGACTGAGTTCAGCCTAGACACAGATAGGTTTGCAGTGGGCGGCGCGTCAGCTGGAGGCCAGATTTCGGCCGTCATCAGCCATCTCTGCCGTGATGAAAACATTCCTCTGCGCTTGCAAGTCTTGACCGTGCCGGCGACAGATTTGCACCGTGTCTTCACTCCCGAAGGCGAGTTTGACCGCGAGGGTTGTCCCTACGAGTCATACCGGGAGATGGAGTTTGCTCCAGCGCTACCAGCAGCGCGCATGGCATATTTCCATCGACAATTCCTAGGAGTCCCACGACCAGCAGAGTCTGACAAGGTGAGTTCGGACATGGAGTAATTGCAACTGTGATGCTCATTTGACTAGGATTGGAAGATATCGCCCATTCTCGCACCGAACTTCCAGAACTTGGCCCCTGCGTTGGTGTCTACGGCGGAATTGGATCCGCTGCGCGATGAAGGAGAGGCGTATGCAGCTAAGCTTCAAGATGCTGGGGTATCTGTAGAGGTAGACCGAATTGCAGGTGCTCCGCATGTGTTTGCTGTACTCGATGGAATTTTGGAGGGAGGTCAGCGATACAACGAGAAGGTGATTGCAACAATGAAACGGCACCTGGGCAGCTTCAAGGGATAAGTTCAACTCGTAAACAAATAAATTTCATAGTACTAAACCAGATAATACCGAGTATTACCGAATATTACCAGCCTCACTGCCGAACAAGCCGTCTCCCTTCCGTCCTGCCGATACCGGGAAATTTCGGCTGGGGACTCGGAGAGTCGAGCTGAGTTCAAATTTGCGACTTTTCTTTAAAGGAGACCAATCCTCGATTTCACTTCCCATAGAAGCTTCAGGAGCTTGGTGTGAGCCTTTGCATACCTTATTTGGTACAGCTACAGACCCAATTGTCATACAATGAATCCAACTTCCTCCCGAGCCGCGGTGCGCTCTATGGCCACCCTGACACATGCGGCCAGAGCCACCCCCGCAGCTCGCAGCGTTTTGTCGCCCTTTGCTACCCGGTCTCTGAGCTCTAATACCCGTCAATTCGCTCAGTTCCCCCGCCTTCAATCCTTGAACACTTTCTCCAACAAGCGAGCCTTTGGAACTACCGTCAGAATGGTATGCAGTTTCGAAGCGCGGTAGACAAACAATTCCAGACAAACTGATGTGTGTGATCTAGTCTGTTGACGCTCGTACTGAGAGCGATGCCTTTGGTGAGATCCAGGTGAGTTAACAATGACACAGCAATGGTGCCGCACCGAGCTAATGGTTTTCTCAATAGGTCCCTGGAGACAAGTACTGGGGTGCGCAGACCCAGCGGTAAGACGCCCCCCATCAAATCGATACGTTACAATGGACAAAAGAACAAGGGCGCTGATGGATACAGCTCCCTGGGCAACTTCGACATCAACCAGCCTCAGGATCGCATGCCTGCCCCAGTGATCAAGGCCTTCGGTATCCTGAAGGGTGCTGCTGCTGAAGTGAACATGAAGTACGGTCTTGGTATGTGAGACTCTTGCGGAAATCAGATGTTGCCAGTTTTATTGACTTGCATAAGACCCCAAGATTGGTGAAGCTATCAAGCAGGCCGCCGCTGAGGTCGCTGAGGGTAAGTTGCTGGACCACTTCCCTTTGGTCGTCTGGCAGACCGGTTCCGGAACCCAGTCCAACATGAACTCCAATGAGGTTATCTCCAACCGTGCTATTGAGATCCTCGGTGGCACCATGGGCTCCAAGAAGCCAGTCCACCCCAACGACCACGTTAACATGTCCGCCTCCTCCAACGACTCCTTCCCCACCGTCATGCACATCGCTGCCGTTGTCGAGATCGAGCAGTCCCTTCTGCCTTCCCTCAAGGCCCTCCGCGACGCCCTCCAGGTGAAGGTCGACAAGTTCGAGCACATTATCAAGATCGGCCGCACCCACTTGCAGGATGCCACTCCCCTTACTCTTGGCCAGGAGTTCTCTGGCTACGTCGCCCAGCTCGACCGTAACATCGAGCGTGTCCAGGCCACTCTTCCCCACCTGCGCTACTTGGCCCAGGGTGGTACCGCTGTCGGCACTGGTCTCAACACCTTCAAGGGCTTTGACGAGGCTGTCGCTGCTGAGATCACCAAGCTGACCGGCACCGAGTTCAAGACCGCGCCCAACAAGTTCGAGGTTCTGGCTGCCCACGATTCCATCATCGAGGCCTCCGGCTCCCTCAACACCCTGGCTGCCTCCCTCTTCAAGATCGCCCAGGATGTGCGCTACCTGGGATCCGGCCCTCGCTGCGGCCTGGGCGAGCTGAGCCTGCCCGAGAACGAGCCCGGCTCTTCTATCATGCCCGGAAAGGTCAACCCCACCCAGTGCGAGTCCCTCACTATGGTCTGCTCCCAGGTTATGGGTAACCACGTCGCTGCCACCATCGGTGGCATGAACGGCCAGTTCGAGCTTAACGTCTTCAAGCCCGTGATGATCTCCAACCTGCTCCACAGCGTGCGCATCCTCTCTGATGGCATGAACAGCTTCCGTTCCCACCTGGTGGAGGGTCTGGAGGCTAACGAGGGACGGATTAACTCCCTTCTCAACGAGAGGTATGCGCTTAAATCCCCCCCTTACTTTTGATGGCAAATTCTAACTGTATGATAGTCTGATGCTCGTGACTTGCCTGAACCCTGTCATTGGTTATGACATGGCCTCTAAGGTGGCCAAGAATGCCCACAAGAAGAACCTTACTCTGAAGGAGAGCGCTATGGAGCTCAAGGCCCTCACCTCGGAAGAGTTCGACCAGTATGTCCGCCCCGAGCTGATGCTGGCTCCCAAGGAGTTGAAGTAAATGAACAGCAATGCTGTCCTGTGATATTATAGACCATTTCCAATAGCATGTGTACAATGAAAGAATTATATGTTTAATCACCTTGTGTTGGGATGGTAGATACCTAGGTAGTTTTTTGTATGTAGATCCGAACTTCTTTTCGAGTTATAAATAGCATCTTCGATCGCAAAGCCGATCGTAGAACTAACTCTAGGACTTGCCGCGATCACTTTAATACATTAGTATGTACACTTTCGTAGACTTCAGATTTTTGAAAGCAGAAATAAGCAGATTATACTAAAAAAAAGAGAAAACCTAAAGAGACAAAACAAGAGTCCACTAGTGGTAGAGTATTAATAGAAAACCCCCCCCTTAGTGGCGGTGTCTCACATGCAGGGTACCTGAACCTTTCAAAGTCAAGTACGGAGTACTACTTATTTCTCAAAATCTTAACCTCTTTTTCTTTTTCACACACTCTTGTATCTCTCCTCAATTACATATCAAAGTCCGCCTAAACAAACCCAACTTACTCAACCCCAAGGCCGATCTACCTTGCGACCCCCCCCCCGCCCCTGATAAACAACCCGCTCTCAACCCTCAATCTCTTCAACACTCCCACTCTCCGAGTCTCACAGTAAAGATGACCGCACATGCCATTCCAAGCACCACAATTCCCGAAGCCGTCAAGCCAATCATGAACTCAACCGTCACACCAGTGGACGCCGCAATTGAGACCGTCTCCGACGGCCCCCTTTCCCTCCACCCTCATCTCCCCTGAAGTGCTCTCCCTCCTGCCAACAGACTACACAATCCGGCCCATGCGCCGCTCGGACTACCACCGCGGCTACCTGGACGTTTTGCGCGTGCTGACAACTGTTGGCGATATCACCGAGGACGCGTGGAACCAACGGTACGATTGGATCACCTCGCGCAATGATGAGTACTACATGCTCGTGGTCTGTGATGGTGCGGACCGAGTTGTCGGAACCGGCAGTCTCATCGTTGAGCGCAAGTTCATTCATTCGCTCGGTATGGTCGGACACATTGAAGACATTGCTGTTGAGAAGAACCAGCAGGGCAAGAAGCTGGGCTTGAGAATTATCCAGGCTTTGGATTATGTTGCTGCGCAGGTTGGCTGCTACAAGGTATGTGTTTTTAACTATTCATTATGTCTAAGGTTCTAGCTCTGTATCACTGTTCATTGCTGACTCGTTTACAGAGCATTCTTGACTGCTCCGAAGTCAATGAGGGTTTCTACGTCAAGTGTGGCTTCAAGCGAGCCGGCCTCGAGATGGCGCATTATTACTGAGCGTTTCTTAATCCATGTATTTTTGGTTAAATCCGGTTGAGGCCGGTTTTTTGATATGGCGTTTGGATCATTTGGGTCAGTTAGTCCGGCGAGACTTCGGGGAAGCGCCGTTGTCCACGAGAGGAACTTACGCGAACCACGCGATCGTTGCATTTGAGAGAACGGGAGCTGCACATGACACTAATCCATCGTGATTAGTATGGCCCTCGGCACATGGCAAGGAGCAATTGGGGCATTTCTAGCATTTTCAACCTGCCCTCCACTACTGGCGACTGAATTGCGCACTGAAAGTCCCAGGGCTGGGGAGTGCTTGGTCTACCAACCATTATCATAGTGACGGTGCTTCTGCCATTGCGGTGATCCTCGTCTTACCTTGTAACACTATTGATGTTGTCTGTATTGTCTTTGATTTCTTGAGAGTTGAAACCAATGCTTGCGGAGACGGAGACCCAGATGGTCTAAGTATAGATGTGCATGAAACATGACAATTCTAATTATATATCAATAGCATTCAACTTGGAAGATCATCGTCTGCTCAAATATATCTGAAAGATATCTACAATAAATCCGAAAAAAGAAGGCCTGAAAGACCACCAAAGAAGACAAAGAATGGAAAGGTTCGGTTTAACATCCTAGATTAATTCCAGCCACTCTAAAGATGCCAGAAAGAGGCTATGTACTAAAGTGGCTATTTCTCATCTATCTAATGCCAGGTCAGAACAAAACAAAACATGAGATTCAATTGTAGATCGGGAGGCCGGATCTGGACTACTTCGTTGACAAGATCCGACAGAGATACATACCCAACCACTCATGAGTAGGGCTGGTAGATATGATATCTCGAGGAAAAAGCAAGAAACGTTCCATTGCTGGAGGTTGGATGAGATCATAGTTTTAATACTCGCATGGGGATTCATTTTTTGATTCCTTTGTTCCCATTTTTCTGCATGAAATTGTATTGCATAAAGTATTTCCAGAAACAAGGTCAAGGCCCAAGGCCAGTCCTCACAGACAGTACTCCAGCTCCGGTGCCCGTAAGTTCCATCATATCGCAACCGTCACAGCGCTGCTCCGTTCCGAACACCTCCATTCCCAACTATCTCATAAAGAAATTTAGCGGGACTTGGCGGCGACCTTGGGAGCAGAGCCCTTAGCACCCTGCTTGCTCTGGATGCGCTGGGCACCGCCCTTGGAGGCGGCGATCTTGGCCTTCTCAGCCTTCTTGGCGCTGGCGGAAGCAGCCTTCTTCTCCTTGGCGTCCTTGATGGCCTGCTTGCGAGCAGCCTCACGGGCCTCGGGGCGCTGGGAGCGGCGCTCCTTGATCACATCGAGGGAAGCACCAACGATGGCACGCTGGTTCTTGACAACACGGCGGGTGCGCTTCTTGGCGACCTCCTATATATCCAAAAAGATAACCCGGTCAGTAATCTGTAGTCGCATTTTCCATCATTTGATCCGAATCATGGTGGTGACGTGATAATCCCTCCTCTTGCTCCGTCTCATGGTTTGGGCGTCACCATTCGATTCGGCCTTTTGTCCCTCCACACAACCTAACAATCATCCAAGGGGAAGGGCGACCGACCTCAGAGATACCCTTGCGGTGCTGGCGACGGAAGAGAACAGTCCATGCGATGCGGCGGGGGTTCTTGCGCTGAAGGAAAAGAGACTCGGACTTTCCACGCTGGAAGCGGAAGATCTTGCTGTCGCCACGGACGAACAGCTTGCCCTAAAACATTCAACATCAAAGATTAGCTTCTAGTAGCAATAAAAAGTCGGCGAAATTAATGTGCGGCATTTCGGCTAAGACGGAGAGCGACAATTGTGACGGTATTGAAATATCGAAGTGTGAATGTCGAATCCGTGATGCCGTTGTTCCCTCGCACACAAATTCCTCCCAAAGCGACGACGGGAATTGCAAACGCACCTTGCCAGGGTAGATCTTCTGGCCGCTGAAGGCGTCGTCGTAAGTACGCATCTTGACGGATGGAGATGCGCTGACGGGGGTCGGTTGGCGTTGAGTGGTTGTCGTAAATCGTGGATCGCGGTGATGCTACTGACCCAATTGTGGTGCGGGCGCTCGCTAAAGTGCGACACGTGACCGCCTCTGCCCTTTCCGGGTTGACTTATCGATAAGGTCACATGATATGTCTTTCTCTTCCAATACTTCGATTGTTTATGGGCTTTGACCAGGATAGTTGCATATCTTGAATTTTATTACTCGGGCTCTGCTTCGAGTTATATATTGATATGAGCGCAGGTGGCCAAAGTACATCAAATGACATGAACTTCACTTTTTTTTTCGCCAAGCCCATGGTAGACCACAAGGAACACGCTAACGAACCACCTCTGGCCGTCAAATGAAGTCGAATTTCCTTTGAATCTGGACTGCAGATGCAGGTGGAAGCTTTTAGTCGTAGCGCGGCTCAAGCATGATGCTCATATACAAGGTGTACTTAGCCTACGCCTACAAGGTTGGAGTACATCTCTTCTTCAACGGCCCGTTCTATCAGAATGGGAAGTTAGGAACAGAGAAAGTTGACATATATATACAATTCTCGACGTGAGGATCACAACCGTGCACTGCGGGGATTGTAAGTGGCTGGACTACATCAGATGTATGATAGCGATGGCGGATGTGTTGTTAAGAAGACTGATGTCAGTTAAACACGCCGGACGAGGTTAGGCTCTCTGCAACGCTTTCTAGAGAAAGCCAGAATAACTTGAGACAAGGGTAATGTAAGGAGCAGAGAATGTAATCCTACTCAAAGCAACAAGGTTGCCCAATAACAAACGCTTGGAATTCAATGCCTGCTATCGCAAATAGAAAAGGTTGTCCTGCACTTCATGGTCACATAACACCAACGGACTTAGGTCATAGCGTGTGTCCGAGTCCACTCCTTTGCCGTTTGGATCGCAGCAGGCTCATCGTCCTTCCATCTCTGAGCAACATCGTTGGCGAGCGGATCATCGGGATTCGGGGCTCCAAGTAGTGCTTGAATCGAGAGTAGAATCGTACGGATCTGGAGAGCGGGAGACCAATTATCTGAAAACATGGTTAGATATCCACAATTTGAGAACGAATCTGATTGGGTCTTACTCTTCAAGACATCCAAACAGATGCGACCCAGACGATCGATGTTGGGGTGATAGATCTTGGTCAGGAAGCGGATTTTGGGTGGGGTCATAGGATAGTCGTCTGGCAGGAAGAGTTCAAGTCGGAAGATACCACCTGTGAAAAAGAAATATTAGTACTTCAATTGGCACGAGGGTTTATCACCACCAGCATACCCTCATATGGAGATTGCGCAGGTCCGTGAATTGAGACGTCAAAATAGCGGAGGTTATCGTCATGGGGCACAGCATTAATGCCTGGAACACTGTAACCCAAGCACAACATATTAGCTGCTATGCAAGTTACCTGGGCGAGATGATCTGCTTACGGCTCTGCCATCAGACGTTCCGTCTCCTTAATAATTCTCTTGGGTAAAGCCATAGCGAACTGGCTTATCGACACGCGTGTAGGCCTGGTTTCGCAATTTCAGATGATGAGACTGTTGCCAAAGGAGACTCAAAAACTCGCACACTTTCAACGTTGCGTGGAACCACAAGATGTAATTGGAAAAGTCAACAGAGGAAAGTAAACCGCAAGTCAACTAAAAAAACAGATCCCGATCTCGACGTAACCGGCCGAGGGGCTCCTGCATGGCGGGGTTATTTCGCGTCCCGTATACGAGATCATGTGATGTCATAATCTCACCACGACAGCCACAGCACCAGCCACGCCCTTGTCCTTATCGTGTTATCGCAACCCAACTCTCCACATGTGCGGTCTTCGCGACAAGTGGAGGATATAAGTCATCTCCAACCATGAAACAAGGATAGCAAATGCCATTGTGGAAAATGGGAACAAGTACATCATTCCCAAATACATATGGTCTTGCGTTATATGCATGTTTAGACCTCTGACTCCCCGGTTCATGCAAGATCGCGGCCCGACGAACACCGGAGATTAAACAGAGCGGCAATCGCAGTCACCATGTCTAGCTCCATGGAACCGAGGCCTCTCACCTCGGCTATGGAGAGCCCGACGTTTGAAGAAGACAGCTCCTTTCATGTAGAGCAACCGGTGGGTTCTATGTCAATATCCCCCTGTGGACGCGATGTCGTTTTAGCGTCCAAAGAGGGTCTACATGTCATCGACCTGGACTCGCCATATTCCCCGCCGCGATATCTCCCCCATCACACACCATGGGAGGTAGCTGATGTCCAGTGGTCGCCATTCGCTGCACGCGATCAGTGGGTTGTCAGTACATCCAATCAGAAAGCGTTGGTCTGGAATTTGGCCATGAAGACATGGCAGAACTCCATCGAAATTGTGCTTCACGCCCATTCTCGAGCAATTACGGATATAAATTTTTCGGCGTTCCATCCAGATGTCCTAGCGACCTGTTCCGTGGACAGCTTTGTTCACTGCTGGGATTTACGTGCTCCGTCGCGACCAGCCGTCTCATTCTCGGATTGGTTTACTGGTGCAACCCAGGTGAAATGGAATCGACAAGACCCTCATGTCATTGCAAGCTCTCATGACCGGTTCCTTCGGATTTGGGACGACCGCATGGGTGCATATCCAATCAAATCGATTGAAGCACACAACACCAAGATATATGGAGTTGACTGGAATCGTGTTCGGCGCGGTGCTCTAGTTACTTGTTCCTTAGATAGAACTATCAAGTTCTGGGACTACACCACCGATTCAGATGTTCCAGAGAAGCAGATTCACACACCATTCCCCGTGTGGCGTGCACGCAATACACCGTTTGGATGGGGTATGCTCGCAATGCCGCAGAGAGGCAACAATGATCTTCACCTTTACAGCCGGCGAGCCGGAGAGGGTTCAAATCCAGAGGACGACTTGCCTTTGGTACATACTTTTCCTGGACATAAGGGACAAGTCAAAGAGTTCTTGTGGAGACCACGCGGAGGGGTAGCGGATGGAATTGACCATCGCGAATATCAACTTGTTACATGGGGAGCAGACAGGGAGCTTCGTCTGCACAAAGTTGACCCTGAGATTCTGGCGCGTGTCGGGTACGAAAAGGGAAAGTCCTTTATTTCGACACGAACTGTGACACGGCTTGGTGCCGTATATCGGAGTTTCCGTGATGTGAATTCAGATTTGGATCTTGATGACGTCGACGTGGCTTCCTCTGTTGGGCATCAGAACCAAAATACTGCAGCAGGTACTGGGATGAACGCCATTACTGTTCCTCACGCTCGGGGTTGGATCAAGGGAGGCCATGTTGATCGAGTTGGCATGCAACCGAGGTCAAATTTAAGAGCCGACACAAATCCGATTGCTTGGATGCGCGGTGTGAAGATCTCCGGCTGGGACATTGAGACATTAGGGGATGAAATCAGCCAGGTCGGTGAAAAGTTTACTAAGGTAGCATTTGATTCAGTTGATGTGCGACAAAGAAAGATTTCCATCTCTCTCAACGGGCCCTGGGGTGCGGATGGGGCCTCCTTGTTCTTGAAAGTTGATATCAAGTTTCCAATGAGCTACCCCAAGACTGCTATCCCGACCTTTGCATTCCAAAAGACCGCAGCCGTCACAGATGAGTGGGCTGCGAAGACTACTGCTGAACTGCGCACAATTGCTGAAACCTATATGTCCCGAAATCGAGGGTGCCTGGAAGGTGCTGTGCGTTATCTTTTAGGTGAAAGCAGCCTGGAGGACAGCATCGCGTGGATATTGGGCGAAACTGGTGATACCCTCAAGTCCCCCTATCAATGGTGAACTGGAAGGTGAATCCAGCGACGAGGATGAAGTTGGCATGACTCAGAGCCAAGAGCTGGGGATGAGTTCTGAGCTACTTCGCCCTGTCAATGCCAACGTCATGGTGCCTGTGGCCAAAGCATGCGGGGCGCTTTGGGCAAATGACGGCCGCCTCATATGCTTCTTCCCACCGAAACAAAAGAAGGATAAATCAGCCGAGTTGTTTGAGAACATGGGCTTCAAAGAGATGACTCGCTGGTCTAGAGGCGATAAAGTTTTTGAAGGCTTCGGCCGGTTACATACCAACTCACCCGGTCCACGCGGAATGGGAACGATAACAAGCACAGATGATGGTGCCTCGGACGATTCAGACGACTCGTACTCAGACACATCGAGCTCTTCAGGCTCCTCTGACGTTCTTTCTGGGCTACCGACACGTTTCCCAGCACCTCAGACATGGCGCAGTGCCGGCAGCTATGGCATCCACCGGCCCCGATCAACAGATAATTCTCAGCGATCGACTGGAGGTGGAGCGACAGTGAAATCAGAGGCACCCCAGAATATCGTATCTATCCATGACCTGAGTGATATATTACCAGTCAAGCGGGAGTTGGCGAGTCAATATCGCATTTGTGGCAAAGGAACAGATGTATGTGCCCATAACGCGGCTGTTGCCCTTGACGCTGGCTGCTACGAATTGGCCCAAATCTGGGGTCTGATCAAGTTGATATTGCATGTCCGGAAAAGCCCTGGCACTTTGCCTGAGTCAGGGCCGTTGCAAAGGCGTATACAGAGAAAAGGCAGCAGAATTGGCAGTCTGGGGAGAGATGGGCTTTATAGAGACTTAACGGGCAGCATTATTCGCTGGGGCGACCACCCACTTGGCAGTCATTGGCTTGTCCCTGCTCTCTTCGAACACTTTGAGCGCATTGGTGATGTGCAAATGGTGGCAATGCTCTCATGTGTACTGCTGGAAGCCAATCAAGAGGGTTATTTGGAGAGCCAGCAAGCCAAAAAGACACCGGGGAAACATGATTTCCCATCGGATTTCTCCCCTGTCTCGTCAGCAATTCCAACCAAGCCACCAGTTGCGACGCCGGCTTCATCTGTCCCCAAAGAGGTCCAGGCTATGCCCGCACCACAGACATCAGCACGCTCGTCAAGTGAGATCTGGCGCCTCGATTCCACTCCCCATATTCTACAGGCACTACGCCTCCATTTATGTCTCGTCCGCGAGGCATTGCTGCTGACCGAAAAACTCCGAGCCAAAATGTCTCCATGGCTGCATCGCCCGACCAGCAATTCCAGACACGAAGTGGATCTGGGTTTGGATCGGTGTTGGCATCCTCCCTATCTCGTTCATTTACATTCGGACCGTCATCTGCGTCACCACCGACAAGTAGGTTGGACAAGAAAAAGCCGACTCCTCAAAACAGCCCAGGTGTAGCAACCGGACAAGTGGTGAGTAGCTCTAATCTTAGTCCTAGATGGCCACGAAGTCTGTTCTGTCTGACCTCCATTGCTCTCTAGTCGCAAGCTCAATCCGACACTGAAAGCGATCACGCACCCGAACCTACACCACCCGCAAGATTTAAGGTCACATACAAGAATCAAAGTGCATTCGAAAGCGATGGACCAGCGCAAGACTCTTTTCTTGACAAAGATGAGGAGCTTTTGTATAGATCATACCGCGTCGCTTATGCCAATCTATTGTCGATTTGGGACCTCCCCGTTCAACAAAGCGAGGTGATAAAGATTGGAGCTGTGGCTGATCGAGTGGACGACCTGACCTCGAGCCATTACTGGAACAGCACCAGCTCCAAAGAGAGCGCGTTGAAAGACCCACACCCGGAGTCAGACTCCCAAGCTCTTGACTTCCAGCGTCATTGCGCCAGCTGCGGCCACGCGTTGCAGCTCTCCATCTTCAATAAAGAACCCCTAGCCCCGAATACCCCTCCAAGCGGCACCAGCGCAAACCATCAGGCCGCCGATGCCCTAACTGCAAGCCCCGGCAGCCACTGCCAACCAAACTACCTTGCGTCATCTGCGGCGAGGTGGTCAGCGGTATGCTGATCCCCTGTCTGAGCTGCGGACATGTGAGTTGTTTCGACTGCCATCGGCTCTGGTTCCTTCGACCGGCCGACAAATTCGACAGCCCATTCGACCACGCAGACCGGAACAAGTTCCTTCCGACCTGTCCAACAGGATGCGGCTGCCAATGCTCTGAGCATATTGCCGTTGATGTCCCCATGCCTTTGTTGGAACCGCCATCCCCTGGTTTTAAGTACGCACCCATCACGCAGCACAGCCTTGTACGGGCGAAACACTCTCATCGTCGACAATCTGAGCCTGTTGTGTCGACTCCGACCCGAAAAGAGGAACCGCGCCCCAAGGACGTTGGCCAACTTGATCATGATCTGGATGTGTGGCAGGATTCGTCGCCGTTTGCATCTCTGGCGCGTGGTCTCGGCGGTGGGCTGAGTCGTGGCTTGCGGACGAAAGAAGATCGGAAGAAGAATAAATCTGTCACCCTGGCATCGAATTTGAGGAATTCTTGATTTTCCGAGGTTGGCGTTGAATGGTGTTTATTCTTTTGCGGATATCCATTGCTTTACTGGGAAGGAGTTTCTACTATTCCAAGGCTAACAACTTGATTGGACAATCTGATCCAAGAAATTCAACGGTTGACACTATCCATATACATTCATTCTCTATGTAGTACAACATACAATCTTCAGTATAGAGAGGTTAATAATCTCCACTTCCGATACGAGTACACTATGAAGTCTGCGTGCTTGGCAATTGACCGATGATCTAGATCTCCGAGGCCTTGAGCACGGACGACGGTGGCACTGGCCTTCAGCACTAGTGCAATATCAAAGCAGCGCACCAATCAAAACAACAAGGTATAGTTCCTAGATTGTACCCTGTTTCTACCAACAAACCATACTCGGATAGAGAGAACAAAGAACAGAAAGAATGAACTCGTGGCTTCATTAAATGTATTTCACTCTTCAGGCAACAGAACAAGCAACAGGGCGATCTAAAAATTCGGAAAACCGCAGAAAGCAGGGAGAATCAGTGTTGGATATTCGCAAAACACAAAATATCGCAGTCTGAGTTCCCAATCACCCATGAAACAACGCGCCAGCCCATTTACCCAAGTCTATTTTCAAAGGAGTGAATTTACAGCTGCTTGAGGACAGCGTCGGCGCTGGAGAGCTCAAGGGTGTTCTTGGCGGCCTCCTTGGCGGCGTAGATGACCTTGCCGTGGTCGATGATGATCACGTAGCGGTAGGTGCGACCCTCCTCGTCAGCCCAGCCGATGCTCTTGGAGAACTTGGCGTCGGGGTCGGAGAGGAAGAGCTAAAGAAGAAGACACGAGTCAGTCAATTGAGTCCACGATTTGTCTTGGGGGATTGGTAGAAATTGGAGAGGTGATGGATCACATACAATGTCATCTCCGGTGACACCGTTGGCCTTGCCCCAGGCGCTCATGACGTAGGCATCGTTGTAGGCGAGGACGGCGACCTGGTCGACACCCTTGGCGCGCAGCTCAGGGAGCTTCTGGATGTACTCGGGAACGTGGTTGGCGGAGCAGACGGGAGTGAAAGCACCTGTAGAGCGGAGTGGCGGTCAGCGTGAGAACCTTGCAGGCAGACGGCAGAGGGGGATTTGAAAAATTTCGAAAGAGCGGTCACATACCGGGAAGAGCGAAGAGGATGACCTTCTTGTCAGCCCACTCCTTGGAGGCGTAGTAGTTGATGGGGATACCGCAAGAGGTGATCTCGCCAGCCTCCTCAGTCCAGGGGATGTAACTGTTATGGTCTGTTAGTTGGAGGGACGCGAATTGGCGGGGGTTAACTCAATAACTCACGAGAACACCACGTCCTGGGGGAAGGCGTCGCCAGACTTGAAACCCTTAGTAGACATTTTGAGTATTGAATTGAGTATTTCGAAGAGAGAAAGATGGAAGTTTTAAGGTGGATACGAGAAGAAGATGGAGGGGAAAAGAGAAGGAGTATTTAATACCACGGCTGACACATATCGGCCCATCGGGATTTATGACGAAGTGGAGACTCGCCCTGAATTTACTTTACCAGTGGGAAGTGAGGTGATCCGAAGAAGAAAGATACCGAACCACATGGATTATCAAGAAAGACCGCCGAGACTGCCCAGGTGAGTCTTATCTGATTTATATTATTCATGACGAATCGGAGGGGAGATGAGTCATCTCGGATCACAGGTCGGCTATTACGGTAATTCGGATTTAGTACTCCGTTATTGTATTCCTGTTCTTAGTTGTTCTCAGGGGTTCTTGGAGAGTCAAATTTTTGTTATTGGCCAAAAATGAGGGACCGAGGTGGGGGATGATGTTACGAAATGCCAGATCCCTAAGGCAGAAGGTGGGATGATAAGGTATTAAGGTCATGTGACTATTATAGTTGTATGTCTGGATGCCTTAGGCCACACATCCATTAACTACAATCTACGTCGTGTACGGAATATACTTGCAAGAAATTGAACATTCCAGGATGATTCCGAGACACACCATACCCCACACCATACCCCCATTTAAGTGAACTCTGCATATACCGCCATTTCAAACTCGCTGGTCAACTCCTCGAATCTGGCATCAGCCTGTGATATAACCTGTGTAAATGTTGCGGCCGCTACACCCTTGGCCCGGTCAATCCACCAGAAAAGATTTGGCCGACCGGCCCATTGCAGCGTACCTGCAGAGCGTTTCCCAGGAATGGCATCCATATACAGTGGGCCGCCTAGCGCCATCTCAATGCGACCGGCATCCATGTCAACCGTAGAGCGTAGGGAGGCGCGGAGCGGGCCCGTCAGCAGCTCCTGAAGGCCACTCGACCCAATGGTCTGCGGTTTGAAGATCTCATCGATACTGGCTTTTGAGAGGATGGATCCACCGTCCGCGAGCACCATGCTGAGGAACTTCGTCCAGTCACGCGGTGTTGACCACAGACCGTGGCCACCGCAGTCATGCTGAGCTGGGATGCGTGAGAGCCAGGCACCGCGCTCTAGACCTTGGCCGTCTTTGCGCTCGTACATCGCGATGAGGCGGTCCATCATGCCTGAGTGCAGCTCAGGATGGAAGGTCGTCGAGGCCATGCCTAGTGGCTCCCAGATATTGGATCTCATGAATTCCTCGAGTGTGGTATTGTTGATTCGCGCGATAGCCTCACCCGCCCAGTCGGTGCCAGAGCCGTACATCCAGCCCTCTCCGGGCTCAAAGAGGAGTGGGTATGTCTTCATGACTTCCTGTGAGGAGTGTTAAATGCACATCGATAATTGTGGCATACATAAGAGGATAGGGAGAAAAGACTTACAAAGTCATTGTCAAAGACGCTGTTAGTCTTGCCATTTTGTTTCGCCCATCTCGCAAGTGGAGGACTTGAATGGTAGCCACACCCGCTTTGATGGCTCATCAGCAATCGAAGTGTAATGGTCTTCGTCCGGGGCTTTATCAAGCATTGGCCCTCCGAATCGACACCATCCAGAACGGGGAGAGCACACAGATCTGGGAGGACCGGAGCTACATCGTCATCGAGGGAGATCTGGCCGCGTTCAACACAAATCATGATTGCGACTGTGGTCATGAGTTTGCTGAGAGAAGCCATTCCGTATACCGCATCAAAGCCAACTTTGGTATTGGAATCTTGTGATAGTGTGCCCTCGGACAGTGCATAGAGTTGTTCACCTGTAATTGTGATGAGTGAGTATATTTCGCATGTGGCATGGAAATCGTATATGCGTACCTTTGTTGTTGACGACTGAGCACACATAAGAATGCATGACCGGCTTTGAATGGGTAATTGCTCTTCTTACTGACTGAGAGAACATTTCCATCTGAGATCCAGCCGAACTGCTATCCACGCCATTAGAACCATTTACACTGGTGGAGCCGTTCACGCCATTAGACCCAAGAGATCCGTTTGAAGTTTCGTGAGTCATGCCATCTACGTTAGCAGTTGGTACTGCAGTATCTGCCGCAGCGGCCTTTGTCTTAAGGGTATTGAAGATAGTCCCTGCTAGACTCTTTGGCGTGCACGAGGGAGCCAGAAGTTGCAAAAATGACATACCAACACCAAACTTCTGGCTCAGCCAATGGATCAGCTCGCTGCCGGACATGCTATCGAGACCAAAGTGCGAGAACGGCCGGCTGATATCGATGTCCTCAATGGGGATGAACATGAGCTTGGCCAGCCGCTGTGCAACAGCATCTGCCAACACGATAACCGCCTTGTCGCGGTCGTCGGGGATGTCAGATATCAGCAGGTCATCGCCATTGGCATCGGCTATCACGCCGCCGCTGCTGCCGGCAGCTTTGCGCGACTCGAGGGTTGTGACCAGCAGCGCTGAGCGGCGATCTTGCTCTATGCGTGTGACCTGCACCAGGCTGAGATCGTGTTTGGAGTACTCGACGCCAGTGAGAATATGACCCTGCGTGAGGATGTCGAAGTGTCTTGACTCATGCTGCGGGTGCGTGAAGCGGTTAAAGTGCCGGATAAACTCCGACTCTTCGGCTTCAATCAGTCCCGACCGCAACAGGTTCTCGGCATACTCGGGCTTGCGGTTCAGCGTGCCCACGCCTTTGATCGGCCCCAGTGAGATTGTCGCTGCTGGTAGGCCACTGTGGATGCGCTGCCGTGCTAGGTTGTCCAGCACCGCGTTGGATGCTGCGTAGTTGGACTGCGAGATGTGGCCAACGTATGTGACTGTTGAGCTCGTCATGAAGAAGAAATCAAGATCCGCGTTGACATTAATGGTGGCATTGTGGAGATTTAGGGCGCCGTTTACCTTGGGACGAACGGCAGCGTTGAATTGTTCCAGAGTCATGGAGTCAAAGAAAGCATCCTTGATGTCGATGATGTTAGACTCGAAGATCCAAAACCCCATGTGAAATCTGACTCACCTGTAGCACCATAGCTGCATGTACGACTCCTTTCAGTGGGCCCATTGAGATGGCCTGAGCCACAGCTCGCTCAACATCTTCCATCTTGGAGACGTCACCTTGGATAGTCACTATATTGACGCCATTTCCCCGTGCTCGCTTACAGAAGGTAGCGATTTCTGCCTTGCTCTCGCTTGATCTACCTAGGAAGACAAGGTTCTTGGCTCCATGCTCAATCAGGGCGTCTGCCATGCTGTGGCCCAGCCCACCATGACACCCTGCGAGCACATAGCTGTTGCTGCTGCTAATGCCGCGAGGTCGGCGAGCACCCTTGAGTTTGACCTTGTTCGACGTTGGGCCGTAAGTTAGCACAACCTTACCAATGTGCTGTCCCTGACCAAAGTATCGAAGGGCCTTCTCCATCTCGGTGATGTGGAATGTGTTATCCAGTCTAATTGGGTGGATTTTGCCTTCTCGGAGGAGCTCTACTGCATATGTCAAAAGCCTGTTTTCACATATTAGTGACTTCGATGCGTTATAACTGAGATAATGACTGGGATTCTTGCCGTTCAGCAATCCTCGGTTTCTCCTCCAGGACAAAGTTGAGGTCAAAGGAAAAGAAGCTGATGCTCCGATCAAAAGCATACAATCCCATATTCCCTTGTCCAGGACATTTCCACGCCCAACATCAATAAGCCTTCCACATGGAGCTAGGCATCTTAAGCTCTCGTGGAATCCGGGACCAGAGATGGTTGAAAGGACAACGTCGACACCGCGGCCTCGTGTTTGTTTGAGTAGTTCATCCTTGAACTCCAGAGTCCGGGACCAGAAGATATGATCGGCCGAGATTCCGCACTCAGAGATGAGATAGTCCTTCTTTGGCTGTGTTCCCACTGTGGCGTAGATTTCGGCTCCCACGTACTTGGCATATTGGATGGCCGCGAGACCCAAACCACCGGTGGCGGCCTGAATCAGCACTGTTTCGTTGGCTTCCAAATGTGCCAGATAGTCTAGCGCATATATTGCAGTTCCATGCGCGATTCCAACGGTAGCCATCTCCACAAGATCAGCATTGTCGTCGAGCTTCAGGCACTTGTGTACCGGGCTGCGAAGGAACGTGTCATAGTAGCCGCGCTCCAGGCAGATGACCTTGTCCCCAGGCTGGAGGTGAGTGACGTTCTCTCCAACCCTAGAAATAATCCCAGTGCCCTCGTTGCTTGACGTGACACTTTCAAAGTTACCCATTGCAATGACATAGTCCTACCATGGTAATAATATTAGTCGCTTTTGACCTTGCATAGTACAGTAGGGATACCATGAACGAACCTTCATATTCAATCCCACAGCCTTCACCTCAATCTCAACCTCATCAACCCCAAGGGCAATGTCACATGTTGGTCTCTCTCGGAAATACACAGTATCCAAAAGACCTGGAGTTTCGAGTGCCAGCTGGACATTACCAAAAACTGGGAAATCTTGCTCGTCTCTCCCTGTTCCCGTGTCTAGAGTGAACTCCTCGTTCAGTTCCATATCGGGGACGACACGACTGATATAAATGACGCCATCCTTGAGAATGAAGTCTGTCTCACACGTCGCTCTGTTTGCGGCTGTGGCAACTGTCGTCCAGACATCTGTAATAGGCTTAGCGAGATCAAACGGCTGAACTGCGCTTGTATAGTCGATATCAAAAGTCGCAAATTTGAGGTTTCGGGTCGAGTTTTCGTTCATAAGGACGGTGTTGATTCCATGGGCCATTGCTAGTATCGGGTTTTTGCCAACTGTCAAGTCGCCTCCAGTAACCCACAGGATACTTGACGCTGACGAGACGAGTTTCTTTAACCCGTCAAACTGCTCCGGCCGCATGTCCACAAGCACGGAGTTCTGCATCTCTTCAAGCACAATATATGTGACTTCACCTTCATCGACCAGTTCGATTGAAGGCATGGATTCAAGGGACCAGTGTGCGATGGAACTTTGGGGGAGGCTACAGCGCATCGTAATCTCATCCTCGATGTCTCGGGCCAGCTCGTATTGTGCTGTTGAATGGATCTGGAAGGGTTATGTTAGGACTAGAAGTAAAAACAAAAATAGGGATAGGAGAATACCCACAATAGCAACACGGCTAATACCTTTCCCATTGCTGCTCAAAGGCTCTTTGATGCTGCTGGCAACCATGACACTCTCCAGGGCCAATGGCTCAGGAAAGTCTGTTAAAACCATGTCTAAACCCGTGAAGCCTGATATTTTGAGCTGTTGCTCCCATGACTGCAGAGTACGGAAGGGCCCCAGCACCCGGTCCGCATCTTTATCGTCAAGACATTCCCAGAAACTGGGCAGCGTACCGAAGGCAAACTGAACGGGGGTAAGACTGCCTGTTTGTGTTATTTCCAGCATCACAAGCTTGCCGCCTGGCTTGAGTAGGCGACTGCAGTTCTGAAGTAGTTTATCCGTGTTTCCTGGAGCGTGCATTACATTAGAAGCGAGGATAAGGTCGTACTCGCCAAGTTCGAAGCCCTGCTCAGCGGCATCTACCGACAAGTCGAATGTTTTGTAATTCATAGGAGGATACGCGCTGAACAATTCCTCGGCCTTCTCGAAAAACGCCGGTGAAATATCGGTGAAGGTGTAGTCATGATAGCGTTTGGCATGATGGCCAGGCATATCACGATCGTAGATGTTGAGCACATCTAGCGCAATGCTAGTGCAGCTGCCTGTACCGGCGCCAACTTCCAACACACGCATCGTGGGATTCTTGTGGGCCAGTATATCCACCACCGACGATAGGTTTTTGCGTGCCGCATCGTGGATTGACCCGTCCGCATACACTCGTGCCAGTATCTCTGCTTTTACAGCCAAGTCGATGCCGGCCACCCTGCCAGTGAGTATGTCAACCATGTTGTCATAAATTATGGCGTTGAACTCGAGCTGGGGGAAGTCCTCCGGTAACTCCAAGAGAAGCTGCGCGATGCGCTGTTCTCGTTGCTGGAAATTCAGACTCGTAGCGTTTCTCTCACACAGACGCATGCGTCCCGCTGTCGCTTCGGTCTTCACGTGGCACATCCAGTTGTAAAACCCGTGAACCCACTTTAAGGATGGATCTGTGGGAAGGTCATCCTGATGGAACATGTCCAGGCCGCCACAGATGTACAGGACTGTCACCGTCTCCAGTCGCGTGCGAATATTGTAGACCTCATCCAGATACGCTGCTCCAGCTCGCGAGTGGAAATCACTGTGGTACAGGCTGTGTGCCCCATCCGTGTCCAGGAAATCTATGTCTGGCTTCCACTGTAAGCGGTAATATGGCTCACGTGTGGCTTCCTTGTTCATTTTTTCCTGGCTTCCCTGGTTCTCGAATTGCCGCCATTTGACATTGCGCGCCGAAATAATCTCATAGCCGCTATCTGTAGTCAGGGTTGAGTGGGAGCCGCCGCTGCGGGCACCCTCAGTCCACGCAACACTGTCGATGGTGCCTGTCTGGTTCCTCGCCCATGAAGATGGGCTAATTGTCATCTCATCAATAAAAACGGGGATCTGGGTGGCTGCCTCTTGGTCTGCGCGGCTGGTGTATACGGAAGCTACACGCCCTTGGAGTACGGCATCGATAGTCAAAGGGTGGATCGCATATCGAGACTCATATAGCGTAGTTTTCTCGGCTGTCTTGAGTATAGGCGCTTTTGCACGAGCACGGGAAGCATGGGGCAGGACTTCAATCTCATCGATAATGCGGAACAGAGGGCCAAAATCGAAGCCGCGGTACTTGAGTCGCTCATACCAGGTATCTTTGCCAAACTTCTGCTCAAAAATGGGTTCCTCGGTCTCATTGTTGAAGGGGATCTTGTTTGTCCTCTTTCCGTGAGTCATTTCGAATGCAACAATACCTTGCGCGTGCTCAATCCATCGTTCATCCGCCACTGAGCAGATTTTGAACTCAAATCTGTTGGACGTTACGGAGGCATCAGTGGGACGTAGGTTAATCATGATATCGGCAGTGCCACTGGCTGGAAGAACAAGCGCTGCTTTTATCGTCACAGTGTGAAGATGAAACCTTGCATCCTCGAAGTCAAATGGTGGACCGCCAAGCATGGTATCTTCGGCAAACTGGGCTGCTGCTTCAACAGCCATGGCAAGATATGCTGCACCAGGTACGATGATGGTGCTTCCAATCTAAATTAAGCCGTATAGGTCAGCATTTTTTTTCGAAATCCCAGCTGGAGTAAAGTTGGATAGTATTCTTACCACATGGTCTTTGATCCAGGGTACATCATCCAGGCGAAGGTAATTTCTCCAGATAGGCTCCATGCGGTTTCCTCCTGGTAGCCGACTACCAATCAAATCGTGACGTGGATGAGTGGCAAATTTATAGTCCTGAGTAGAGCGATTGACGATCAATGGCTGCGGAGTCTCGTGGTTCCAGGGGTACTTGGGAAGATCAAGGATGATCTTGGAGGGACGGTAGGTGGTATGGCCATTGACTTGAAGTAGATTGAGTGGGTAGCCCTTTATAAAGAGGCTAGTTGCAAGTCGCAGCATGTCATCTTCGGCATCGTGTCCACGCTCCAGGGTCTGGTCATATGTCACCTTGGGAGCAATTCCCAGGCTCACATTCCAAATATTTTCAACTTCAGCCGAAGCAATAATCTGGCGAATAGGACCTTTGAGCGCACTATGAGGCTATAGAGGATATTCAAGCATTAGCCAGAGATCGAAAGTGAAATGCCATGGAGACGAAGAAGCCGACAAAGAGAAAAAGAAAAGAAAGTTATTCACATACCCCTATTTCAATGAGGCAGTCAACGTGGCGTTCCTCTGGGCCAAATTGAAGACTGAGAAGGTGCTTCATAGCGGGATCAAAAAGAACAGGACTCTCCAAATTCTTCTGCCAGTAGCTTCCATTAATGTCCCCTGGCTGAAGCTGCTCCAGAGTCACCGACGACACCATCACGGGTCTCTGTCCCTTGTCGTCTCCATTTCCAAGTGCCAGGGCACCATTGCTAGAGCGAGCTGTAGCCTCTAGAATAGCTTCACTGTAGTCTGATCCAACCTCTTTCATGATTGGAGAATGGTAAGCCTTCCCACCAGTAGGCAATCTCTTGCACAAGATTGAACGTTGTTTCAAAATTCCATGAATAACATCCATAGGCTCGGACTTGCCACTCAAAGTGACACTCTCAGGCGAGTTGATGCAGGCGATAACGGCGTCATCTGGCGATATATCATTCTCAGCGAGGATCTTCTCCGCCTCGCTCGCACTAAGTGCTACGGCGATCATGGTTCCTGGGGCTTGAGTGAGCGTCGCATGCACACCTCTCAGATAGGCAGCAATTATAGCATCTTCTGCAGTAATTAGTTTTGCTGCATAGGCTGCGGCAAGTTCACCAGATGAATGGCCGATGGTAGCTTCTGGTTTGACCCCCCATTCGCGTAGCAGATTGACGATGGAAATCTGAATGGCGGTGCAGATAGGCTGGGAGAAGGAAACTTCACCAATCTTGCTAGTCTCCGCAGGCTCTAGCAGAATCTCTATGAATTGGCATAGGAGTATCAGTATACCATAATTCTTAAAGAAGAGCGTTCGCAGGTAAGCGTACCTTCAAGTGTCCATGTTGGTCGCTGTTCCAAGTGGGAAAGTGCGAGATTGAGATTCTTGAACGTTTTTCGCACTGATGGGTAACAGTCCAACAACTGACGGCCCATCTCTGCCCATTGAGCACCTTGTCCCGTGAATACAAAGGCTACAATCGGGACGCTGTTGTTCGTACGACCAGTTATTGGGTCCCCGATTGTCAATCCCTTTTTGTCGCTGATTTCCACTGGGATCATGGCACGGTGAGAGAATCGCGTCCGTCGAGCAATCATGGTATACAGAAGCTCATGGAAGTCGTGAGTCTGACTACCGAACACCAAAGTCACAATTTTCAGCAACCTTTGCATAGAGTACTCATCATGCCCCATAACCGGCAGCAGGAACTTCTTCTGAAGAATCGTGCTATAAGGGTTGAATTCCGGAGCCATGTTGTACGGGTTAGAGAGACCCATGCTCTTGAAATACTCATCAACACCGTCGATGACAACATGTCCGTTGGCACCGCCATATCCGGAGGAGTTGACTGACGAACGTTTTGCCTTGCCTTCTGGCCATGGAATGTTCTTGGTGACCACGGCCAGAGCGCCTCCTTTGAGATCCACTATAGTGTCAGACATGTCAGCTAGGGTTCATACGGTCGCGTGTATAATACTCACAAGCCGGGTTTAGCTTTTTGACTCCGATAGTGCCAGGGATAATTCCATTTTCCATTGCTAACACTACCTTCATGATACTCGTGATTGCTGAGCATGCTTCGCCATGGCCTACCTGTGGCTTCGTCGACCCAATGTATAATGGCTCGTGCCACTCACGATGGCTTCCAAACACATTACCAATGGCGACTGTCTCAATCGGGTCTCCTGCAGGAGTTCCTGTCCCGTGGCATTCCACGTAACCAACTGAATTATAGTCAAGAGGCCCTGAATGCTCATATGCCTTTCGGATAGACAGCTCTTGAGCAAGAGCACTGGGGAGAGTGATTCCGTTGTTTTTGCCGTTGCTGTATGCATTAATATTTCAGTATACACCCAAAGGATAATAATGAGCAGATATAAACGTGAGTAGCTTACGCAGTTAATGAGGATCCTCGAATAACTCCACGGATAGGATCGCCGTCCCGAATTGCATCCGACACACGTTTCAGGTACAGAACGTTGATAGCTTCTCCGCGGGAGTAGCCATCTGCGGATGCATCAAATGCATGACACTGCGCCGTTGGGGAAAGAGCGCCGATTTGACCAATAGCAAAATGATACTCAAGAGTGAGTATGAGGTTGACACCACCCACAAAAGCCGCGGGAATTTCACCGTTGCGGAGCGCTTGAACCGCGAAGTGTAGTGCATATAGCGTCGAAGAACACGCTGTGTCCATAGTAACACTTTGTAAAAAGGGTCAGCTTTAAAACTCTTTGTCCTCATATTGGAAGTCCAGGGGCATGAAACAGGAGAAGTCAAACCTTGGTCCATGGAGGTTATACAAGTAGCTCACACGGTTGCTCACTGTCGTCCTTCCCATTCCCAGAACGGCCATACCCTTCAATCCTCTCAGGTTCTTTGAATGCAAGTGTCTCATAGTCACTGGCAAAGTTTCCCACATAAACACCAGTCATGGTGCTGGAAACATCTTCGAGCGTTATGCCTCCGGATTCAAGACATTCAAAGCAGCACTCGAGCAATTGACGCTGCTGAGGATCCAGGCACAGAATATCCGAGGCAGTCATGCCAAAAAACCCACCATCGAAATCCTCCAGTTTATTGGAGATGCAATAACCCTCCGTGTACCGCATATTCCCCGGGCGTCCCTTCTGGGGATTGTAGAAGGCATCGGCGTTGAAACGGTTAGCTGGGAAAGGGCCGCGGGCGAGCTTCTGGCTTATCAAAAGATCCCAGAAAGATTGGGGGTCTTGAACATCCCCGGGAAGTCGACATGCTGATGGAAAGAGAAGTGTTAGTTGGAGTTGGACACTAGGCGTGGAAAGTGAGACGGGGGCTCTAGAATAGCGGAAGAGCAAAGGGAACAACAAGAGAGAGGAACAAGAGAACGACTTGCCCATTCCAACAATGGCAATACCCTCATCTTGAAAGTCACTCATATTATTGGGTCAAAAGCACCACCAACGTCCGAATTTCAAAACTAGTACGGGGAAGAATCCACTAAGGGCATATGAATCCAAGTCAGGGTGTCAAAGTCCGTCAGATCAAGCTGAAAACGATAAAACTGCTTCAATTTATATACAGCGGATATACCCAGGAGTAGGTGCAATTTTCACTGAATTTACTAAATGCATTTTTTCTTAATTCCCAACAGTGGTCTCCAGCGCCTCCTACCTCGCAGGAGACAACTGCCTATTCTAGCTATTATAATATGTGTATTATTGTCCTTGTATCATAGTTTCGATAGCTGTTTAGTGCAATATTTGCATATGTGCGTCTGAGTATACCACAATAAGCATTAACATGGCATGGCATAAGATATTATTCCGGTTTGATAATGGATCAAGGCCTTTTGATATAGGATGAGCAAGTATTTACCCCTTACTATGAAACATGTCTTGACATAGCCTCAGTACCTACACAATCATTTTGAAAAAGGGGAATCGAGCAATTAGCCAACCGATCAAACCCATGAAAAATGAGTCAATATACCTACGTTGCTACATATGAATACACAACGATATGTAATATATTGAGATTGGCACCAATGTCCTGTAGTATACACGTCGAGCCCGATTGAAATACAATCCTAATGGCCCCAACATTTGAATTTCGGCTACAAGGTGCGAAGTCCTTGAGTACTTTCCTACGAATTAGTACCATATCTCAATATAGACTTATTGGGGATCCCAGAATTCAAAAGAAAATTTATCAGCCAAGGAATCGAGCAAAAACCCCGAGGTCTAGAACTAGAACTTGGGTCACCATACTGCATCACACTGACCCTTCAATGCAACAATATAAACGCAGATAGGACTGACTATACGAGCTTCTCAACACCCTGCATTGCATATGCATGTCCGGGCTGTGAGAAAGATTGGTGAGACACGGGGGCCGAGCCCTACTACGTACACCACGCAATATAACCCCGGTAGCGACACTACTAATCCCAGTATCAAACATTAAACATCCTATGACAGCGATCTTGTGCCTCTGCACACTCGTAGACCCCAGAGAAATAATTTTATTTATGTAATTCTGCAAAGAAACAGAGAAATAGTGACTTGGAGAAGCTGCACGTTCACTGTGGAAGAGCTTACATTTCGTGACACCCCGAAAAGCCACCACTTCAGATAAGGAGACGTTCTAATTTTGCTGATACATTCTGAATTAGCTTCAACACACTCCTCTTTATGCCCAGAGAAATGAGAGAGTATCATGGCTTCTCCTGGTGGTAACATGTTTCCCCTTGATCTTGACTTCAGAACAATATTAGCTGGATTCAGCGCAGTAGCCCTCGGTGGCTTGCTGATATCCAAGTTTCGGACCAAATATCGACTGAAGAATGGCGAGGTCCAGAGTCTTCTCAAGTCGTTTTTGGTTTTCTTCTATGCCTGCTTTATGAAGCCGCATAGTGGCAACAAGAAAGGCACCCAGCAGGATGCCCTAGAGAGTTTCTACAAGACGCAAGCCGGCGCTTACGATGCAACCAGAAAGACTCTCCTCCAAGGCAGGGAAGAAATGCTCGCGTTAGTTGCGGCACAACTAAAAGCTAAGGCTAAAAGCCACAAGCAAGAGGACATAATCTGGGTTGACGTAAGTGGTGACGCATACCGTGCTTGTCGATTCAAACTGACATGATGTACAGATTGGCGGCGGAACGGGGTGGAATATTGAGGCCATGTCCGTCTTTGTTAATGTCCCTGAGTTTTTCTCGAGTATTTATCTTGTTGATTTCTCACCGTCCCTCTGCGAAGTTGCACGACAACGCTTCCGACGTCTTGGCTGGAAGAATGTCATCGTTGTTTGCGAGGACGCGGCCAGATTTCGTCTCGAGAATTATGAAAATGGCCTTCCTGGCAGTTATACGCCCACTTTGGGTGATTCCCACCACAACCACACCAAGCATGGGTGTGTGGATCTTGTCACCATGTCCTATAGTTTGTCCATGATGGTAAATATCAGGAAGAAAAGTCTCAAAGACATTAAGCTAATAATCCATCTGCACAGCCTGACTACTACTCCGTCATTGAGTCGCTGACTTCGCTCATCTCTCCCGACGGTCTAATAGGTGTCGTCGACTTCTATGTCCAGTCCAAAGTAGACTTCGCTTTTAGAAACTACACTGGTGGTTCTCTCGGACGTCATGTGAATTGGTTCCTGAGGTCCTTCTGGCGCGCGTGGTTCGACCTCGACCGGGTAGGTCTCGAGGGTAGTCGCCGAGACTATCTTGAGTACAAATTTGGCACTGTTCTCAATGTCAACACCCGGAACTTTTCTCTCGGTCGCATCCCCTACTACATATGGGTCGGCTGCCATAAGAAACACTTTTCCTGTGCGCTTCTTTCCCACCAGATTATCGAGAAAATTGATGCTTTCGCCACGGAGTCTCCCTACGACCAGAGTCAGGATTGCACTTTCACCGGTGCGATAACGAGACTTGCGCCGAAAATGCGTTCCAAAGCTTTTACAGCTGCGACTCAGAACATTTCTACAAACATGCCCCTGCCCTCATTTTTCTATCAGAATCATCACTGGCGTATCTACTATGATGACCAGCTTCAAAAGCACGCACAGTTCAACGACGAGTACATTTACGCCTTTACGTGGGAAGATGCTCGAGTGGATGAGGGCTTGCTCAATCTGGGGACAGAAGATGTAGTGTTGGCTATTACCAGCGCTGGAGATAACATACTCTCTTATGCGACAAAGAGCCCGGCCAGAATCCACGCTGTGGATCTGAACCCTACGCAGAACCATCTTCTCGAGCTAAAGATTGCGTCTTACGTGGCCTTATCCTACCAGGACTTCTGGAAACTCTTTGGAGAGGGAAAACACCCCTGCTTTCGTACCTTGCTACTCACCAAGCTCTCTCCGCACCTTTCCAGCCGAGCATTTCAGTACTGGTTCGACAACGCCCATGTTTTCTCTGATACCAGAAGGAATGGCTTATATGATACAGGAGGTTCGCGTCATGCGATTCGCGCCGTCCGTTGGATCTCCCTTATTTTCGGCTGCCGTGCCGCCTTCCGGGATTTCCTCACCACGAAGACCCTAAACGAACAACGCGATATCTGGGTCAACAGGATCCGCCCGGTCTTGCTTTCCAAACTGGTATGCAAACTCGTTGTCAGCCAAGAAAGCTTTCTCTGGGCCGCTCTAGGAGTCCCCAAGAATCAACTGGCCATGATTGAAAGCGACCACGCCGAAAGCGAGGCTGTCAATGGCCCTAACCCGACATCTCGCAACACCCGCTCTCATGCAGTATGGAGATACATGGTCAATACCCTTGATCCAGTCGCCGAGCAGACGCATGTCGGTGCTAATAATCCCTATTACCATGTCTGCATGACTGGCGCCTTCACCCGCAGGTGTCACCCAGATTATCTCTCTGAGGAGGCCTATGCTAAGCTCTCTAGCCCAGGTGCTCTAGACGGTCTGCGCATCCATACGGAGGAGGTGGACGAGGTTCTCAGCCACATAACTCCTGATACACTGACCGTTGCCGTTGTCATGGATAGCATGGACTGGTTCGACCCGAGCGGCGCAGCTGCAGCCTCTCAGATTACCAAATTGAATCGCAGCCTCAGGATGGGTGGCCGCGTACTCCTACGCTCGTCAGCACTTGTCCCTTGGTATATGAGGACGTTCGAGACCCACGGCTTTTCCCCCAAACGTGTTGGTGCTCGTCTAAGTGGCGCCTGCATCGATCGCGTCAATATGTATGCTTCATGTTGGATCTGCACGAAAGTGGAGAATCTTCGCTGGCCAACATTGGATATAGACCGCATAGATGACTTGGGCATTAGCAGCTTGTCTTCTGAGGTCTGAGATATCTAGTTTACGGGATACCTAGGGTGCTATTGCAGTGCAAGATACCGCTAGCGTTGCGGAACGGGCCGACCCCGTTTCACACTCGATCCGAAATCTTATAGTCACGGGGACCGTGTCAACGGAAGAATACAATTTTCTTTGGTTTGCATGATGATATAGATTGATATCTTTCAGTCGACTAATTTCTACCTGGAAACTGCGACGAAAAGAGGTCTCAATAAATATTGCAGAACCGAAATGAAGAAGAAATCCCTATTTTAATTATAACTAAGCAGCCTCTAGCTCCTTTTCGCATATTTTGTTTCCAGGGGTTTCCCTACATAAACACCAAAAGTACATACTACGTATAGCCTCGCGGCAAACGAATTGCGATGTGACTACATGTACCCCTGATACGGGGTCCAACATACATACTTACCTCTGCAATGCCAATTAAATCTGGTCCTTAAATCCGTGTCCTCTGTCGGATCAGAAGCAATAGTTTGCTAGTCATCTGTCATAAGAAGTTCCATGGGTGCTATGCATCAGGAGATGGGTAAGCTGACTGCAGGGGTAAGGCTTTTCGGCGGGTTCAGCCAAAATTTGGCATGATAGGGGGCATTGGCAATGCCTTGGGATAATCTGCCGTCTTTCATTGAACAAAAGATTAGCAAAGTCTCCGGAGTTCCGGGGGCGAAAGTTGAATCAAATATTCACCGCCTTTCACTTTTGATAATGCCGTCTTCATGAGACCCATAATGTTTGCCAGTCTTAAAATGTCATTGGTGAACCAGCACTCCTGGTCATCCTGTCAGGCAGAATCCATGGATACCGCCAGATCGCCCCCCCCGGAGCCGTACGCCACCTCTAACTCTCTTTGGACAAAGATCAACACCAGTCTCCCCCTGAAGCGGGTTTGGGGAGCGGGTTTGAGGACCGGATTTCGGGATTCAAGTGTAAGCTCCATATTCATGCCCTAATGCACCGTGATTTCACGACATCCATAGATGTCCACACCATGGCAGAAGTAGATTTACCGTCGAGAGAAAAGTCATGGAAAAGCCATCGCCGGCGGCCGAACCGGTTGTACAAGAGCCTCTTCGCGCACTAGCAGAACAACATCAAGAACATGAAGAAGCACCAACACAATCTAACCATGATTGCCTCACTCCAAACAAAACATGGCGCTTCTGGGCAGTGTTCCCAGCACTATGCGTGACAACTTTCCTCTCGGCCCTCGATACATCCATTCTCTCAACAGCACTTCCCACCATCGCCCTTGATGTTGACGCCGGTGAGTCGTACATGTGGATTATGAACTCATACATTCTGTCATCCACGGTTGTCCTGCCACTGTTTGGCCAGACCGCAAACATATTCGGTCGGAGATGGATGTTGATCATCTCGGTTGTCATATTTGCCTTGGGGAGTGGGATGGCCGGGGGTGCGAAGAACACTGGACTTCTTATTGCGGGACGGACAGTCCAAGGCATTGGTGGTGGCGGTATCAACACCCTGGTGGACATCGTCATTTGTGACCTGGTCCCCCTCCGCCAGCGAGGTAAATATGTCGCGCTCATGGCAGCTGTGTGGGCAGTCGGAACGGTGATTGGCCCCGTTGTAGGCGGCGCATTCGCCCAGTACGTCTCGTGGCGTTGGGTCTTCTATATCAACCTGCCACTTTGCGCTGCATCACTTGTACTGCTAGTGCTGTTCCTTCGAGTCATACACCCGCGCAACAGTGGCACCATGTGGCACCAGCTCAGGCGCGTAGACCTCGTTGGTAATGCCATCCTTACAGCTGCCGTTATCTCCATTTTGCTCGCCCTCACTTGGGCCGGAACAAAGTACGCTTGGTCTTCATGGCGAGTCCTCGTGCCTCTTATCCTAGGGCTCGCAGGGCTGTTTCTTTTTTACGGCCATCAAATGTCGCGATTCTGCGCCGAGCCCTCGATTCCGCTTCGGCTGTTCTCAAGCGGAACTGGGATGTGTGCACTGTGGATTGCCTTCCTTCAGTCTGTCCTGCTGTACTGGGTCGGGTATTTCCTACCAGTCTACTTCCAGGCTGTACGTAGCTCGACTGCCACGGAATCTGGGCTATACGTGCTTCCTATCACTGCCGCAATTGCGCCTTTTGGCATCATCACGGGAGTGATCATTGCTATGACTGGCAAATATCGAGTCTTCCACTTCCTGGGATATATACTCCTCACTATTGCCAGTGGCCTCTTTTCACTGCTAGATGACCATTCGCCTGCTCGCGACTGGGCTGGCTTCCAGATAATCTTCGGCGCTGGTTCTGGTATGATCTTCTCCAGCACTCTGCCTCCGATTCAGGCATCGCTGCCCGAGTCCGATGTGGCTACTGCAACCTCCACCTGGGCGTTTATGCGCAGCTTTGGTTGTATATGGGGTATTGTTGTTCCAACCACTATCTTCAACGCACGTGTTCAGGAACTGCTGTATCGCGTCAGTGATGTGACTCTGCGTGCAAAGCTTGCTAATGGCGGTGCATATGCCATGGCTAGTGAAGGGCTGATGCGTACTTTGCATAATACCCCGAATCTTATGACAGAAGTGCTCAGTGTTTATCAAGATAGTTTACGATGGGTTTGGTGGATTTCGATTCCGTTTGGTGGTATCGGGTTGCTTCTCTGTATACCCATTAAGCAACTGGAGCTCACGGAAGATTTGCATACAGAGTTTGGATTACCCGATGCTACAATACATAGAGAAGGGTGAAACTGGCAGTTTCCGTTTGGTATAGATATCTGTGCCTATTTCGTTACCTTCTCAGAAGTCAGGAGTCAGGAGTCGTCGCCGATGTTCCAAGGTTCTAATGTTTATATTTCAGAAAGGTCTGAAACGCTATCAGAGCATGGGATTAGTGGATCTGTGCTAGTTCCAAGACTTGATGGATAGCGATTGCAAATAGTATATTCTCTTTGCTTATTTGATGCAATGTTTCATATGTGCACATTATTGAAGCCTGCCCTCGGGTCCAATCTCAATGATAGAAACAGCAATCTCCACATCCAGCGTACTCGTCACGGATGACTCCCAAAATAGCAGCTCAATGTCTTGTATCATTAACATGGGGTGTCGTCTCCATCAAACGAGCCAAAGTAACAGCTTCCCGAAGCGCCCGTCCAACATGTCCACGCACACCAGTTTCTTCCATCACCATCAAGCCGCCAATCGTGCAGCCCTCGGGAGACGTTCCTTGATCCTTCAATAGGGCAGGGTGGATGCCACTTTGAAGCATGGTTGCCGTCCCTTGCATTGACTGGAAGATCATGGTATGAGCTAGGTCCCGTGGCATACCAACCGCCACTGCGGCATCAATCATTGCATCGCAAACTACAGCAAAGAAAGCCGGCGTCGATCCCCCGACGGCGGTAGTAGCATTCATCAACCTCGGGTCAATGTGTACAGCCTTGCCAATTTGCTCGAAAATCGATGTCGTTATCTGGAGATACCGTTCCGGCAGTGCAGGCTCCGATGTTTCAATAGCCGTAAGTGATTGAGACACCTGGGCTGCGATGTTCGGCAATGTACGCACCACCCAGGCTCTGCCAGCTGTGTTATCGGCGGTGGTTGCGCTGCCGTATATTGTGGCTTCGAGCTTTTGCCTTGTCCAGCCGGCTGCAATGCTGATGATAAGCTTGTCGGTTAAGGCCTCGCGGAGTCCAGGTTGCGTCAGGACGGTCTCGATATCGGCGGGGTCTGCGCCTAGAATAATCACATCGGCACTTTGTACAGCCTGTACATTGTTGCCGCGAGAAATGTTTATTTTGTCCAAGTACTTGACGAATCGCTCGGCCAGCCTCTTCTCTGAGTTTTCACTGCGCACGCATGCAGTGTATCGAGCAAATGGTAACTCTTTAGACTTCTCTGCGGGTGCATTTACCAAGCCATCTAGGATGGCAATGCCCAGGTTTCCTACAAAGTAGGAGCATTAGTCGATGTATTTTGCGTATGGACTTGCGTACTTACCACAACCTAGGATACAAAGGGTTCCATTTTGAATATCCATGATTTAGTTGAAATTCAATGCAAGTGAATAAGTTATTGGAATGAAACCAAACCACAAGACAACTTTGAATTTTGAAGCACATCGGGGACCCTTCCGAGTGTGGAGAACATTGAATACCCCGCTTGGATCGAAGCTGAGCTTCACGGGTCTCGGGATATTTCAAGCCATTCAAAAGTGCTTTCTCCCAAATTTATACTTGTTTGCAATTATTTCTGAGTCTTCGAGTACTTCCTGGATACATCCCAGTCAATTTGACTATGTTGTATATGTTGTGGAGTTGGTGCCTTGCTGCCTCAGGCATTAAAGAGCTCCCTTCTGATACATAGGGACCAAGTCTGTTTAAGTGTTCGGAATCAGCACCTTTCTATGAATTCGATTTAAGATCGATTCAAGAGATACAAAATATATATAGAACAACAGAATTGGAGAAAACATCGGGAGTGCTCGGGAGTCCTCCCGATCATAATTTCCCCTCTCTTATCTGGTGAGGGCACTTTTCTCCAACTCCGTATAATTTAACCTGTTTGGGGGAAATGCGGGGAGAATATACTATATCAGCTCAATAACCCACAAATAAAAGAAATGCACTTTATTTTACTTCATCATGGGCGTTTCAACATCAGATTCTATCGTTATTGTCGGCGCTGGTGCTTTTGGTCTCTCGGTAGCCCTGCATCTTTCTCTACGAGGCTACACAAATGTCTCCGTGTTCACGAAAGATGATTACATCCCCTTCGGAGACTTGACAAATGTAGTGTGTCCCTAAAAACCGGTCATCTCAATAAAGGAAAAGGGGGAAATAGAATGATTGCTGATGGCTATATTGAAATTTAGGTCTATCGTGCAGCACAAGATGCAGGCGTGCGATTTTTCCTGGGGCAACAGGTCGACCAAATATCCTACGTGAGCACTTTGGCCGGTAAAAAGAACGCTGGTATCCGCACAAGGAATGCTGGATTCTATCCCTCGTCGCTCGTCATTATCGATGCGGGAGCTGGGGATACCGGTACATCGGAAATTGGCCAGTTGCATGCGCCCGACTCCTTGGCCATACCCCTTTCTTGCTATACCAACACCCACCCGAATTCCTTTGTGGAATACGTGCCACACACATCTTCCTCGGTTATACTGCTGTCGGGGAATTTGGTACAAAAGTCTAAGATGTCTTTGGTGGGACCACTGGTCGTAGATCTCTTAGAGGCAACGAGCGGTCAACCAACTGCGGCGATTCCACATCAACCCTTGTCTAGGCTGTGAAGGGGTTTCGTCAAGGATCGAACGACAATCGATATATTGAGGATCATTCCAATAATCCCCGGTCCTCGAACCGACTTGGACTCCTTGGTGTCGAGACCTACGATGTACAATCGAACTATTTCTAAAGGCCCAACTTTCAAAAATTCAACCTAGGTCTACTATGGTCTTTAAAAGTAAGACAATTGCACTTTATTTACGAATCATTTTAGACGCTAGAAGTCAGATTAGGAAGCCCATGAGTCAATATTTAGCGTTGCCGACGAGGCCTATCAACCCGCTCAGGATCAAGCAGTTCAGGAGCTCCCGGAATCAACACAGCCCAACCAAGACAGGGACGACAAAGACCCATCGCAAAAGCCTCGGTGATACGGAGGACAGGACGTGGATTCGGGCAAGGTACTCGCCTCTCACGGGCATTCGCTGCTTTGCAGCGTTCGATCCACACTGCTTCTGTGTGCCCACAACCACTGATGCCGCAGTGGCCGCGGTACCATTTATAACGCACTTTGCACATGATGGATAATAGGTTTGCTGAAAAAGGTAGAGTTCTGTGGTAAGTACTTGCGGTACTGGCCTTGGGTGGGAGAGGCTGTAGGAGAATATGGAGTTTGGAAGTAAACCCATGTATTTGTAGAATATTAAGAAAGCCCTGGAGCTCAATGAAATAAATGGCGTTGGATTTGGATTACTTTCATCCTAGACTTTGCTTTGTCCGAGACAAAGAGCCCTGCAATGATGATTGAGAACAATGCATATACATGTACTTTTGTCCCAAAAATATGTACTGTTCTTACATTCTCAACTTCCAATTGATTTTCAATCTACATTACGATTAACTATATTGATACAATATTGTCGGTGCTTCATCCATACTTGCTAATGCTACGGAGAAGGTCAAAGCTAATATGAAGGAATAATGTTTGTTGTTGCATTTCTTTTGCTCTCTGTAATTATATATCGAGAGCCCATATATCATTTATAAAAAAAAAAAGAAAAAAGAAAAAAAGCTGGTCCAATCTGTAGCGTAATTTGTTAGCACTTCCGAACAATCCAGTGCGTCAAGAAAAGAGAAAAGGAATCCACGAACATAAAGAATATCGACGTAATAATATGTAGGCATGTATATTTTCAGTTAATAGTATATAGTATCTATATTTTAGTATACTCAAGATGCACAATGGACTTACCTGGTGCTAGCCATCACCAGCACCGCCTTGGGCGGCTCCATTGCCTCCGGCGGGTCGCGCGCCTCGGTCCGGAAGGGGGTAGTAACTGTAATTTCTATTAGTGGCCAACGTTGGAAAAAGTGCTGGAAAGAGTGCTGGAAAGAGTGCTAGAAAGAGTGCTAGAAAGAGTGCTAGAAAGAGTGCTAGAAAGAGTGCTGGAAGAGTGTGCTGGTAAGTGTGCTGGCAAGAGTGCTGGCAAGATTGCTGGCAAGTGTGCTGGAAGAGTGCTGGAAGAGTGCTGGTAAGAGTTCTGGCAAGTGTGCTGGAAGAGTGCTGGCAAGTGTGCTGGAAGAGTTCTGGCAAGTGTGCTAGAAAGACTCACGATGAGAAATTTATTGTTTGATAGTGGTTTTCGAAGTTTACAGAATCAGAATCTTGCTCTACGTAAGGTGGTAAGGTAGTGGAGGGTCCACGTGAAACATGAACTACAATGGCAGGCACGGTCCTAAACAGGAAGGAACAACACACCTACCTAGGTAGGTAGGTTATGCTCAGGGTGTTAACAACTTGTAGTTTTGATGGGATTCAAAGCCAAAGTGATTTCATTCCAGAAAATTTTCAAGTTAGCAAGTAGGCACCTTTTGGTCTGGCACAGACGCTTAAGGCACTTCTTCCCAGTCCTCTTCGTCGACAAGCATGAATAGCTCATCGGATTCGTCCTTGGCTGTTGTCATCCGCTCTTTTGAAACCCCCCTCTCGCATCCTGGGGGAATTATAATCAGATCAAAGGGGCTGTCATGACTATCAAGAGATAACCCCCATATTAAAACTCGATTGATCCTCTCACGGTAAAGACCCTTGTCATCCACGACATGAAAATCCTTAAGCAATTTCTTCTTTTCTTTTTTAGAAAGATCAAAGCCCCGACTTTGATAACAGCATCCACATTCCATAGTACAATGTCCAGCTCCAAGCTGCCTTGTCTTATCAATCTTGCGATTAACGCAACATCCACAGCTGCGGCCACAGCATCCTCCCCTCCTTACACAATCCTCGAACAGAACTCGATGCATATACCATAGAGGATGTGATCGCCATAGGTCAAATGTTCGTATCAGGGGCCCCTCCACAAATGAGTTTCGGACTTCCCACCACTGGCGTTCTAGCAACCAATACCTCTTGTTTAAAGTCTGGAGTTCGGCCTGTGTATCATTCCTATACAATGGCCATCTGCCTGTAGTTTCGGTTTTCTTAGAGAGGTATTGCTCTTCTTGGGTAGTACTTCGAAGCTCTTGTTCTATCCGGAGAAGCTCAACCGCTCGACCAATATAGCACGACCCTCTGATAAAGACGTTCCGCCGATACCGTTGAAGAGCATCGATATCTCCGCTCTTTTCAATATTGATTTCCTCTTGAGTTTTCTCTCTTGGCAGGGCCAGGTCAATTCCTGGTTGAGTCGGCTTGTCCGCAGATTGCATGTTGACTATTGTTGACCACAGAAGCTGACTGCTAGTAGATACTAGCTTATTTTCGTGTCAGGTATGGAAGATCGAGATATATTCATCTAGGTACTTTATGAGATATGGGAAGGTCATCCTTAAATTTGAGGTCTAGCTGATGAACGACTCATCCTGATGTCAGATGTTCTTCCTCTTTTGTTGTGAATTTGACACGGTACCTAAGAAGCGGGAAAATGGAATAATTACCTCTCCACTTGCCAACAATGCCCTCCCGATGTCACTACCTAAGTTTGACCACGCACACTATGTTCTAAGCGAGAGGGTTACTGTTTCGTAGTTGGGATAACACGAAGTAGTCTGCGATTGCATGTAAGACTGAATCTGCCTGTAGGGTGACTTCTAGAATGCAGGGTAATTGATAGTCGTGGTATGAGTACTACTTTAGTATGGATATTCATATAGGCGCGAACACATTGACCAGGATGTTTCTGAAGGTTTGGAAGAACCATTAGAATTATAAGCCTAGAGGATTATTATCAGCAACATGCATATTATGCTATAATAAGCACGGCGGGCCTTTGATCTCGAATGCCCCAAGTCACACCATGTGGCTTAACAAAACCCCTTGGTTCGACGCAGTTGCCCGCGACCGCAATACATAATCGTGTTTCTGTCAACAAAGGCTTATCTGTCATGAGTGGGAAGCACAATGGACCTAATAGGTAAAAGACATCTATGTTCTTACCCTCGGGCTTCGCTCTAGGCATAGTTCATTTGGGGCTGCGGGTTGGCGCGACTTGGGGAGCTCCAACCTTCGAAGATTGGAGGCCGCAACGATCATAACTAAGGCCACCAAATATCACATCAACTTGGAACGTATGGTTGCATTCTTGTAACTTAATGTCTAATTTTTTCATCCACCTCTAATAAAAGTTAGCTCAGGATTTACAATATCATTTTTGACGTACTGGGAGATCGGATGCTGGTTGGAACGCAAATATATATTTCTCACATTACTGCAACGTTTAACCCAAAGTTCAGTTATAATGTTAAACTAATATCCTACAATTTTAAGTATGAATAGCCAGAAGACACTTCTTTAGTTCTCGAATAAGCCTATATCAGATACCATGAGGCCAAAGTATGTATATTCTTAGTGACAAGATCCAGTACGATATCTGCTTGTCGGTTATATGGCTGTCAGTCGGATCACTAAGGTACCCAAGTATCGATTTTGCCTAAAAGCAAATCAAGTATAAAATTATTTTATTGCTATGTTCATGCACACCCTTGGAAGATTTTCTTGTAGGCGAAAAAAGCCCTGGTAGTTGGACGGCGTTGTATGGGCAGTCTTACATGGGACCTGACTAATGCTGTCTACGGGCGGGTCTAAGTAGGTAGGGCTGGCTTGGAAGGGGTTAAGCTTCCCTCGCAATCCGACTTGACAAATCTGATTTCATATCCCAAATTCCCACCATGGCAGATCTCAACCCGCCATTTACCGAGGAGACTGCGCAGAAAAAGGTCAAAGCAGCGCAGGATATGTGGAATACGAGGTACGTCTCGGGTTTCCTATCACTACGGCCCTTGACAGACCATGTGTTCAAAAGAAGGGCATTGAAGGTTTCATCCCTTGCATTCTTGCCGACTTGTATTGTTTGTCTGTGCGCCTCGGACAGATGCGAGCATACCTCAAACGAGAAGGGATTATCTTTCTTGAGATGGACTCTTGCTCTTTGCTTCGCGAGAATAAATGACGTAGTGATTTCATTCCCCGCTCTGACCATGTGCGATGTAGGGACCCTGCCCGAGTCGCTCAAGGATACACCCCAACATGTATCTGGCGTGTTCGAGACTCGTTTTTCACCGGGACAGAATCTATCGTCGCATTCTTGCAAGCGAAATGGAAACGTGAGCGTAGTTATCGACTTCGGAAAGAACTTTTCGCTTTCCGGGATGATCGCATCGCTGTGCAGTTTTGGTACGAGTTTCAGGACGCAGAAGATGGAATGCGCTGGAAGCGGTGCTATGGATTGGAAGATTGGACTTTTGATCAGACGGGAAAGATGCGCAAACGTATGATGAGTGGAAATGACGTTCTAATCGGACCGGAAGGTAATGGTGAAGGGCGATGGTTTGCAGATGAGGTTAATGTGAACGATGTACATATTAGTGAGCAGCATTGGTAATGTTACGATGCATACAGATGTATATGAATAGTTGAACTCGACCTGGGGGTGGGGATGTGGTTGTTGTTTTGATCACCATGGATATCAGAACGATATGCCGTGTTGATCTGGACTCTTAATTTGACCTCAAGAACCGGATATTAGAATATGAATGGCTTTGGATGTGGAATGTTCAATACAAATAGATCCCTGTACAGATAAAATAGCTAATAGCCCTGGTTGATTGATTTGTTATTATCCCCCTTCTTTGGGGGAATACCATCTCCCCCGTCGATCGCAATTGATGTTGACAATGTAAGCATTATACTGGTTTAGACTGTTGAGTACATATACTATTTGAGTCTGGACCTGAGATTGTGTTCTTTTTTTTATCTTAAAAGAAAGAAAGAAAGAAAGAAAGAAAGAAAGAAAGAAAGAAAGAAAGAAAGAAAAACAAGTTCATTCATAATAGGCGCCAGTCTCGGGGAGGTGTAAAGTGTGAATAGTGACATCTGGAATTTTGGACGGTTCTGCCTCGTCACCTCCACGCTAATAGGTCAAATACGACAAAAAGAGGCAAACATGCCATGGAGTCAAACAAGCAGTACGAAGTAAACAATAGAGTGCTGAGGACATTCCGATGGGAAGGAAGGAATCTCTCTCATTCCAGTCCAGCCGAAGCATGCAAGCCAACCTCTTGTCCTTCATGAACATTGACACTTCCCGATGGTTTGTTTCCTCTTGTGTTTTCATCTCAATTCCAGTCGTTAACGGTTTCTTGCTCAAGATCTTTTTTTCCTTTTTCCCGCATCTCCGTCGATGATGTGGTGTTGACCAGTCCTTGTCACTCTTTTTGTTTCTTTCCCTTTCCCAGAAGAGTTCTGGAGCCGATCTTTACACGTAACTTCTTTTCATTTGACACTCAAAGGAGTTGTACTTTTTGCGTTTGATCTAATTTTCTGTGCGTTGGGGGGGGGGGCCGATATCATTCCAAGGTTGTTGATGTTGGATGGTCAGCTAATGGGGATCTAGATTAACGACTAATCCACCCAAGCTTAAGGGGACGTGGAAAGAACAACGCCAACACGTCTTGCACCACCGCAACCATGGACCAGATAATGTCGGATGTTAATGACTCTCAGCAAAGGCGTCAGCCCTTGAGAGATGTGTCGAGCCGGATGAACAACTCCAAGTCGCCAAATATCGAGACACCGCGCTTGAGGATCCAGGATTCCGAGCACCTGAAGAGTCCGGACCGGATGTCTGTTCTTATGACTCCAACACCCCAAAGAAACAAGGAAAATGAGCGCCTCTCCGTGGCCACCGACCTGCAGCCCGACTCAGCCCGAAACTCCATCATGTCTGCGGCATCCATATTATCAACCAAAGGAAAAAGAAAAACACACGTGGGACCATGGCAGCTGGGACGAACACTGGGGAAGGGGGCCACTGGGCGAGTTAGACTGGCCAAGCATGCTGTCACCGGGCACACGGCCGCTATCAAGATCGTTTCCAAGAAGTCAGCTGCTATGGTTCAGAGTGAGAGTATCGCGGCGATGGACCGTAATATGGGAAACTTCCCTACCAACTCAGCCACCCGACAAATGCCCTGTGGAATTGAACGTGAAGTGGTTATCATGAAGTTGATTGAACATCCAAATGTGATCAGTCTCTATGATGTTTGGGAAAACCGGGGAGAATTGTTTGTGCACACCACCCTCGGAATTGGAAACACACTAACACAATAGCTAGGTACCTTGTGCTTGAACACGTCGAGGGTGGAGAGTTGTTCGATTATGTATCTAACAATGGTCCACTACCAGAAGAAGAGGCTGTGCGACTATTCCGACAGATCATCGCGGCCCTTGGGTATTGCCATCGTTTCAATATCTGTCACCGCGATTTGAAGCCCGAAAACATCTTGCTTGATTCAAACCATAATGTCAAGCTTGCTGATTTTGGTATGGCTGCACTGCAACCTGCTGGTCATTGGTTGAACACTTCATGTGGTAGCCCTCATTATGCAGCACCAGAGATCATTTATGGTCGAAAATACCGCGGCGACAGAGCTGATATGTGGAGCTGTGGTATTATTCTCTATGCCCTTTTGACTGGTTACTTGCCTTTTGATGGAGGGGATTTGGGAAGCACCCTGCGTCTTGTGAAGAAAGGAGACTACATCATTCCTCCCGAATTGAGCGATGAAGCAGCCGACCTCATCCAGCGTATCCTCCAAAAGCGTCCAGAAGATCGGATATCTATGCAAAATATTTGGTTGCATCCGTTGTTGACCAAATATGAAAAACTTCACAATGCCATGGTTGATCACTATGTTGGCCCTCCTCCTGCCCTGTCGGTGAATGACTGCGGTCCAACCCTGTCCAGTCGGCAGGACATTGATCTTGATATCCTTCGCAATCTGCAGACTTTGTGGCATGATGTTAAGGTCGACGACCTAATTCAAAGGCTTCTGTGCATCGAGTAAGTACCCCTGCTAATTCTCAGGACGAGCTCAATGACGCTAACAAATCACTCTCAGACCGACCCACGAGCGGATGTTCTATAACGCCTTGGCAAAATTCCGGGATGAGCAGCTGGAAAACTACCAAGGACAGCCTCTAGAGTACTCGGCTAGTGATTATCATCACATCTCCCGCCCCGGTGGTAGAGTTCGTCGAGGCCGCAGCCAGACGGGCCAGGGTAGTTCTAAGCATCGGGCTCAGTTCCCGTCTGTTAAAGAGTTCCCTCGCCGCCTCAGCTCCTTCAAGGAACCGATGTCCTCAGGTACTGTGGAGAGCTATGACCCATACCGGTCACCCAAGCATGGTGGCACAGGCTCCGAAGCACAATATGCAAATGTTACTGTGCACCGAGAGTCATCAGAAAACCCCCAAGCTATTCTATCATCGCCGAGGGTGAAGCCTCCCCCTTCCATTGCGGAGGAGCAAGAGCCAGAGGAGTCAGATGGGCCGGATGGCTCACCATTCACTGTTCTCCAGAAGCGTAAGCACGGGCCCAGCTCCATGAAGTCTTTCGTCTCCTCCAAGGTACCTCATTCCAGCTCCAGGGCTCGCGGAATGTCGACACACTCCATGGGCTATCGTCGCAACGTTTCTTTCCACCACGCTCGCAACCGGTCTCATGGATCTACATCGGCCAAACCCAAGAAGAGAAAGATTGCGACACCAACGCAGCAAAATGAGATTAAGCGGTCACCGAGCACCTGCAGCTTGCGACTTATGGCAGATGGCCTTGATCTCCCGGACATGCCAAGCAGCCCGCCCCTACCAGCACAGCCAACCGTGGTGCGAGCGAATGGTCCGAAGGTTAAGAGCTTGGGGCAAATCAGGAAAGTTCGCGATACAGACTACACATGGAAGGAGGACACTCGAAAAGTCTCCCATGAGCTCAGCCAGATCTGCGAGGAGGCATTCAATGGAAGCTCTGCTACAACCATTCGCACCACGAGCGGCGCATCTGGATACGAAACCCCGGGAACTCCAGTGTCAATGGCAAGCCCCGAGCAAGCTCAGCCTACTTCAACGATCGCGGTGTCTAATACTCCCCAGGAGTCATCCCGATCTTACAATATCAAGGAGCTCACCGAGACACGCCAAAAGCTCATTGAACACAGCCGTGGCCGAAAGGACAATGTCCCTGCCTATCTGTCTGGTGTCATCACTCATCTCGATCGCTTGATTGAAGAAGATCAGGTCCAGAACGGTACACGGAGAGAGTTGGATGTAGCACCTTCTCAAGATCCTTTCATCACTTCACCGAGCGAGACCTTCCTCCCTGCTATCAGTGAGGATGCCGCAAGCCCTGTCCGCGCACCCAGTGAGACCAGCCCTCGGCGTCACCAAAGGCCAAGGGCTTCCCTCGCTACATCCCAGGGCGGCGATGCTAAGGCAACCATTCGGATGGTCCCCCACAGCTCATTCCGCTCTATGGAGGAAGTCAAGCCTCTGACAATTCGGAAGAAAAACCACAGCAAGTTTGCTTCCTCCGATGTTCGTGAATTTGCTATGGGTGAGTCTGCGGGCAGCGATCGGAACTTTTCCGTTGGATCTCGACATGCCGGTCAACCTAGTGGGCTGGCTCCAATCGAAGAAATCCCACTGTCCCCTAAGAAAACAACAGCCCGGGCCTCCGAAGGGAAGAAATGGTCATGGTTCAAGCATCGCTCTCAGGGCTCTGATAATCCCCCCTGCTCTCCCACCCAAGGACAGCCACCTCATTGTTCCCAGTGGAGGCACGACTGTGCACAATCCGATTACCCTCGAGCCTGCTTCTCCTCCCAATGCAGAGAATACGGAGCGAGTCCCAAGACGGAAGACGTCTATGGATCGCTTTGGCGGTGGATTTTTCAAGAAACTCTTGACCAAGAAGTCCAACCAGAATATGCAAGAACCTCCTGCTAGTGAGTGCAACATCGCCAACTTCCGTCGAATATTCTAACCAATCTATAGGCAAGGAGACAGACATCCAAACCGTGCCAACCAAGGATAGTCGTTACTCTTCTTTGATGTGCAAGGGACTTGCAGACACCGACAGCTCCGTCGAAGCTGATGACCCTCCAAACTCATCCCGCCACAAGCGTCGCTCAATTGCCAACCACAACTGGTTTGCCCGGGTCTTCCAGATCAAGCCTGCTACCCAAGTGATTGCACTGAACACATCCAAGGTCAAGGGACGCAAGGAACTCTACAAGCTCCTTCGCGAGTGGAGGGATTTCGGCATGGAAGATGTGTACCTGGACAAGACCAACAGCATTGTTCACGGCCGTGTCAGCGAAGCAAATTGTGAGCTATTCATTTCATCCGATCCAACACTTATACTAACCGCCCTTTAGTCCTCCATCTTCGAGAGGTTGAGTTCACTGCTGAATTTTACACTGTCCTTGAGCACGGCCACCAAGCCAACCTCAGCTTGATTCGCTTCAAACAGGAGCGTGGCGCTGCTTCGTCTTTCAGCAAGGTCGTTGAGACTGTACAGAACACACTAGCGCGCCGTGGCATGGTTGTTGAAGACCCATCTCGTGCAAAGAAGATGGCGCGCGTTCTGGACTCTGTCCCTAACCACAAATAAGTTATTTCACGACGCATTTCCTTGATGTCCCTTCTATCTCACCATGAAGTATGTCCTTCAAATACTGTCAGCCAACTATGTTCTATCACTTTTCGACATTTCACTCGCAAAACACCTACACTAGCATGCTGCGTTCCAGCCCTGCAAAAGCACTGCCTTTTCATCTCATACCGTCCGGTCATTCACATCCACACTCGTTTTCATCTCATCCAAGACCCGGAAACGACACAGGCTTAGTATTGCAGGCCACATTCATACTTACATTTCTTTTTCTCCTCGATCATTTCTTGTCTGTCAGCCACTTTCTCTACTTGTTAATTATCCATTTCTTTCCAGCTTGTGTGTTATTTCTGGGTTCCTTCCCATTAGTCAATTCCAGCAGATTTCTCAATCCCTCGCTTCCCACTCCCTTTATTTCCTGTTTTTGCACTTCGATACCGTGGCATAATGCTTAATTTCGGCGAGTCGATATTTGTACACCATCCATTCCCTCGCTGCTCTAAATCACCGAAGGAAAATGTGTATTTAAACCGTGTCATTCAAGTGCTAGTAACTGCCCACGCATTGTACTATCCTCGACGTAGACCTTGTAGTCTCGAACCCTGTCCGGAGTAGGGCAAGTCACGTGGTAGGGTTTCGCATAGGTACCTCCGTAGGCGCCTGCCCCTGTCCGGCCTACATCGTACATAAGTACATACGCGGTCTAGGCAGCATGCTGGATGGGGTAGGTGCATGATGTCGCATGAAAAGAATGCAACACTCGAGCTCCATTATGCAGCCAAGACTCCCCCTTTCGCAGGGACAACCCATACAGCCAATAGTCCCAGTATCTAAGACCGAGAACCCGTTCAGCCCCTCTAACACTCCACTCTCGACAAGAAAAGAGGATAAGCGGGAAGTAAGGGAAGGCGAACCCCAGAATAAAGAGGCAACTAGGAAATGGCCCTTGCCCGGATCAGACCGGATCGGAGACCAGACCGGGTCTGCTGGATCTGCAAAGCCAGGGAGGAATACTCGGTATAATTCGCATCATAGAATTTCATCAGAAAGCGCTCAGAGATACAAGATCCCAACGGAAAGTGGAATAGCATGCGGCAATAACTGAATAGCAGAAAGAGTGATCAGACAACCTCCGGATATAAGTATAAGCAGATATTTGATAACGAAAAGACAGGCAACTGAAAGAAAATGAGCAACAAATATAAAAAGATCAAAACAGTTCCAACGAGAATAATCAAGGCAAAGGGAAGAGATGACACAGCCGACCCACGTCTTTTAGTCGCGTAGGCGAAAAAAACAGATGGCCACACATACATCGTAGAAGATGTAAAAGAGTAGTAAAGAGACGAATGCCTTCCCAGTAATATAAAATGAAATGAAGAACCCGAGGAAAGGACAAAAGCCGACAGCAGTGCAAAAACGCGATGAGTGAAAGCGAGACAAATTGCAAAAACAGATAGCCACCCGAAATTCAAATAACAATGACAATTTCTGCGGCCCGGTAGCGATGAAATGAATTCCTCGGAGAAGACAGCCGGAGAGAGTGATCTGATGGTGCGAGTCCAGAATGCATTCATGCTAGAATCGCGTGATATGCGAGGTAACCCAATTGAAAGTACATGAACTGCATGCACCTGGAAACCATGCCAAATCACACGCTGGGGAATCCAATTTTCGGAATTGCGATTATTCAGATATCGAAGCCGAGAAAAATCGGAAAAAAAAGACAAGTAAAAAATTCATATGCCGATAGAACCAGAGCCCATAAGCCTGGAAATCTCAGTATCAAGTTCAAATTCGTGCTCGTGAAGCTCGTGGGTTCGCGTTTTATGACCTTATAAATAGACCAGAGAGTGATGTTCTTGTCGCGTTCATCGTCCAGGTACTCGTCATTGTCGGGAATGTCATCCCGAACTCCCCTTGCAACCTAATGCGTCCATAACGGTCCGACGAGACCTCAAATCTTCCTTCGAAATTCCAGCACTCGACACATGGCTCTCGAGACGTGTGGCCAGCACACGGCCCATTCCGAATGATCCTCATTCCTCACCGGTCCCGCATCGCATTCTTCATGCGTTTCCTAGTTTCAACTAGGATGCCAAACAGCAACGTAGGAATTACTATTGCGGACCGCGGCGATTCAGCGCGTTGAGCATGTCACTATCGGTGCTGGAACGGCCTTGGGAGTCGCCGGGGTTCAGCATATCGCGCACGTTCAATCCACCTCGTTGCGAACCGCCGGGGGTAGAGCTTGGCGGCGGTGTCACCCCCCCTGGTTGAGGGGTGCCACTTGACTTGATTGGCGCGCTGCCAGGTTGAGCCTGGACTGGGGGCACGCTGCCCTGGTGGGGAGTCATAGGCGCCTGGTGGGGCTGCATAGGTGGGAAGGGCGAGCCGTGAGGTGAGGAGGAGGGGCGTGCATCGTAATTATAAGCCGATGGCGGCGAGGTGCGTCGATCGTGAGCAGGCGGAGGGGGATATGCGTAAGGGCTCGGCGTAGTGTGAGTTTGGTATCCTGGAGCAGACCCAGCGGGTGTCACGGGAGCCAGATTGGTCGGATCGGGGTACTCGAATCCCGAGTTTGAACCGCGACGGTGTCTCTACGCATCAAAACATCAGCTCAGATTTCTGTCTCGTCCATCCCTCTTACCAGAGGGGGAATGGCAGCCTTACCGGATCGGGCATGGTTGACGCAAGGGGCAGCGGGGCACCATCCATGGGAGGTCGTCCGTTTTGATAGTACATCCCTTGGGGCGGCGGCAAGGTGGTCTCAGGACCCTGTGGCTGCTGTTGAGGGGGCAGAGGTTGTCCGTGGGCGCCGTACAGGACAGGCGGTGCACCGCGACCCCCTGGTCCATTCTGTCCAGGTCGTAGATGAGGGTAGGCGGTGTGTGCAGGCACAAAGGCTTGGGTCTGCGAAGAGACCGGAGTGAACATGCAGTCCTGGTTGAATCGAACGCAGTTGCTACACCGTCCATCTGCGGAGGTCTCGAATCCCGAGCAACGAATCTGTCGGGTAGAAATTAGTGCATGGTAACTCGGACATGGGGAGGAATCTCTCCCCGTACCTTCCGGCGCCGACAGTACCGGCATGCAATGGCCGTTCGCTGTCGCGGAGCTGCTGCTTGGTAAGGCCCTTGTCCTGCTTGGGGTCCATATGCATCGGCGCGATAAGGACCCGGCGGAGGTGGGAGACGGTAGGGATCTTGCGCTCCGTGGATAGCATTCATGGCTTGTGGATGCGGATATCTTGGATCCGGATACTGCGCCGGGGAATACTGTGATGGGGCGTACTGTGGAGGAGGGGGATACTGCGATGGCGCGTATTGTGCGGGAGGGGGATATTGATAGGCACGGTCCTGGTCAGGTGGCGGAGGGTAGGAAGTCGGCGGATACTATGAAGCTATCAGCAACCGGAGCCATCGAAAAGTCACAGCGCTGGGAACTGGCTCCGAGACAGGACATACTGGGTAGGAAGCCTGGTCGCCCGGATTGTTCCACTGGGTGTCTCTAGGGTCTCTAGGATCTCTTGGGTCTCGAGGATCCTGGCGATTTGGATCACCCTGACGGCTAGGGTCGTGATCGTTGGGATTGCCCGACATTTGTGTTGTTGGGGGAAGAATAAGACAAGGTGAGTCAAGGATGCAGGGATGTGACGTCGAGTTGTAAAAAAGGGAGATCGAATCACACGGACAAAGTGAGCATAGCGCGGTCACGCAGGGGAAGGGGAGGGTAGATGCAGGTAGATCCCAAAAAGAACGGAAACAGAAAATAGGAAATAGGAAAGCAGAAGGGGAAAAAAAAAAAGGAAAAAAAGGGAAAAAGGAAAAAGAAAAAGAGAAAGCCTCGGTGATTATGACGTGAGCAGGTATATAAAGAAGTTGAAAACCCCACGACAAGATAAGCAGAGAAGAGAAGAAGAAAAAGAAGCTCAGATCGGAATGGGCAGAGAATAAAGGAAATAAAAGGAAATGAATTATTTGATTGGAAAAGCACAGGGGAATTTTTAGAGAACGGGGTGGAGCCCGGGCAGCGCGGGCTAAAGCGGCGCCAGTGACCCATAGACATGGAGGGGGGGATTACTGTACAGTGTATCTATACGCTCGTGGACGCCTTGTATGTAACAGGTTGTGTGTCCATGCCGAATACTTGCATGGATACACCGAGTACGATGACCTTACATTACGCTCTCATTTCGTCAAGTGAAACATGGGAGACAAGAACTTTGAACCATGGATTGCAATTTAGGGCACCAGATTTCCCGTTGCTGAGGAGCCGAGAACGGCGACCGCTCTTATTTTCTGATTTCGTTTTCTTTTCTTTTCTTTTCTTTTCTTTTTTATTTTTATTTTTATTATTATTATTTTCCTTTTTTTCTCCAACTAGCAGTAGCGCCCGAGAGTAAACTTTCCACGTTTTGCCACTCTACAGTGTTACCGAACAGTACCTACAGAATAATAGGAAGAGTTCTACATGATCAGATTCAATTGTCAGACTTGACATCATCAAGAATGTGGCAGGTGACCTCTCATTTGCATGGATCAATCCATGCACGTCAATTCCTCCGAGTGACCCTTGTTGCGTAACCCGTCCATGGACGAACGACCGCCTCGGACCGTAGTCGCACAACCGCAACCGGCCCCGCGGAACCAGGATCATTTTCCATGGCGATGGGCTCGGGTCGGGGCGACACATTCCCATGCGCATTGAGGTTGGTTTGATGTATTTTATTTTGTTTTATTCCAACCATTTAATGACAATATTATATAACTTTGTTGTGGTTTTTCTTGCCTTAACCAGGACTACCTAGTCCATCAAAGTACATGAAGCTACTGCATGTAGGTACTCTGAAAGAAAAATTTCAAGCGGTGAAAGCGTGGCGATCAGACTTCAGCTGAGGGAGTGGGGTTCAGCTGGACCACTCGCCACTCTTCAACACGAATGGAGCATCCATAGAAACCTTAGAAGACCATAGTTGGATAATGGAAGCATGGCGCGAAGTCTGTGGGAGGAAAAAGTGTGGCGAGAGCGGATCCCTTAATTTCTATGACTGAAATGAACCAGACTTTGGAGGGAAATAGGGAGAGAACGAAGGGGGTGGAGTGCCCTAAGTTCCCAGGGCTGTAGCACTGGATCCGGAAAGCCCATAATGAGCCAAGGTAACCTGCATTAGCGCTGCGCTGACAGGGCGGGTTCCTTGTCCAAGAGCCACAACCACGTTGTACGGGGGGCTATTTAGCGTACGCCCCCGTCACCGCCAATCCCTGATGAAGTTTTCAGCCCAAGTAATTTGCAATATACCGGAAATGTGGGTTCTGAGATATAATATGAATAATAGCAGATTGTCATAGCGACGGGGAAAAGGGAAAGGCGCCCACCTACGGAACCATGGAATGCATAATATACCTCGATACCTACCTAAGTAGGTAAATCGTAATAATACGAGTACTATTGCTCAGGGTTAACCTTGGAATCAATCAAGTTTCGGGGTACTTGTCCCACGGGCCGCTCCGGCCTTCCCGCCGATCTATGCATGTGTGCCATCTGGCAAAAATACCTCGGTTGTTACAGTACAGTATTTGTCTGCATTTCGAGTTTGCATATATCTTCTAGTCTATCACTAGACGACATCTATGTAGTTGCTCAAATATACATTATATGGTTATTGGAATATGTACCTACTAAAAATAGGTCCATGCATATTGTGTCCGGTTGGGACTCCGTTTTTATACATAAATATAGTACAGTGTGGGTAATACGGAGTAAACGGCATACAATAGAGTACCAATATAAGACAACCTTGGAATCCTTTGAGGCCACGTTTTTTGAACCCAATCGACTGCATTGCCGTCCGCGTCTTTCCGTTCCCCACTCTCAGGCGTGGTCTGTTCAGCTTTGTCCCTCTACTCTAGCGTACTCTCCGGAGACTCGCTAAGGTCCACCCGATCCAAAGATGCTGGCCACTCGATGCTGTTTGTCCTGGGGACGCGCTAGCTGTTCCCAAAACTAGCCCATCCGACAGGGGCTGAGCGCTGCTTGTCGAAACTGAAAGCCCAACGCTAGGGGACCCATTCCGGGCCTTTTTGCAGGCTGCGACGTTCCATCGTAAAGTTTTTATTATTTTTACACTATATCATATTTTGTACTTTTTTCTGGTTTCAACTTTCCATTTAGTGTAACTTTTTGTTTTGTTTTTTTTTTTTCCCCTTTTAAAATTCCCCTTAAGTTTTCATTTCGATTCTAAGGTTTCTATTAGCCATAGAACCCCCCTCCTTTATCCACACGGGAGCGCGTCTATCAGCAAGGATGGAGACGGGTCGGGCACTAATAGGCGCAGCCCGCATGTCGTTACAGTCACGGGAACACAATATGCACCAATGTAGTAATGGGTAAATAATAACAGGGTGGTCAAGGTCTGTGCTGGGGATCTGACGTGGCGAGTTTTTCCTGCACTGTGCCGGAACGAGGCAGTGCTTTCAAAGTCGGTGTACAACAAACTCGAACGTGCAGGTCGTGTGATGAGAGATGCCTGATGACTACCTGATCCTGGGAAAAGCATATGCGAGATCGACAAGTCATCATTAGCCGAGCCATTGATGTTTCTTTGCTCTTTTGTTCTTTGCTCTCTTGGGCTTGGACAAGTTCTTAATTATTATTTCTCTGTCTGTGATCCGCGTAAATGGTCGCATCTGATTGGCCCTTCCCATCTTGTCTACCTAGCTCGTCACATAGGTGAGACTGACTAGGATATCATGCTGCACGCTTGACCTCCCCAACTCTATTCGGGCGCCATTCGGGAGACAAAGCGAGTCAATCTCACCTTGCTTTTTCTGGATGCTGTTTGCCAAGTGATTTCTCGGGATCCTGCGTGGAGCTAGTGACTTTGACATTTAATTAATATATGCGGCTTAACCGATTTCTTTTTTTTGCTTTTTTCAAGTACCTTTCGCTTCTTTCGGCTTGTTTTTGACTTTTCGCATTTGAAACTACCTATGTGTTTTCGGCTAGATTGGTATTGTGTGTTGTGTGATTTGCATACAGATGCACCTAGGGCACAGTACAGCAACCTAACTCAACTGCAGGTGCCTCATAAAATTGACCGAGACTCTCTCAAGGTTTTAAAGGTCGATCCCCGCACGCCCAGGCATCGACCTTGATCCCTGGGTTTGGGTTGATTGGCTGTTCGAAGTCTCAACAAACATCATGCTTGTCGATGCAGCATGACTGAACAAACAAGACAAATTCTGACATGTGATTATTTCTACCCTAAACGTTTACATTAAGTGTATACCTAGGTATCTTGCGAACCCCTGGACGATAAAATACTTGGTATAGTTCGAGGATACAGACTTTGATTCCGGAGATATATCTAGGGAACAGCGATGACTATAATTAGCATTAATACACACAATTGATTATAGACCTACGGTGGCCATGGACGGTGAGCTCATAGCCCTAAATATATATCCCTTAAGCAGTCAAAGTAACGTTTCATACCCCGCAATACTCGAGTAGGTATATCTTATTCTCCATGTGTCTAGTGGTTTGAGGCCACCACCTTTGAGCTTTGTGCCCCAATTGTTTACAAAACCATGTATATGTCAACTTATTCTCTGAGCATACAATTGCGTACCTCGTATCGATTTTTAAATGCTACAGCCTTTGTGATTGGCAAACGACTTTGGCATACCATGACCCGGGGTCTTCGGGGACCAGTTCCTAATACTAGTGGGGATGTAAGTCTTGCGATTATACGTGGAAATCCATGACAGTATACTGACAGACAGAACATAGCCTTGGGTGTAGCTGTTCAATTATCTGCATCGCAGGCAGCCGAGTACCGAGTCGATACATGACCACCAAGACATGCTGGACTGATAACTGATACCCTTGGACCCTGCCAAAAATGAACAGCATCCAAAAAATAAAACTCCGCAATGCATACTCCGTACAAAAACATGCAGGATGCACTTTAAAGAAACAAAACAATACCACCCAGTCAAATAAATGGAGTCCATTCCAGAGAAGGAAGGTGCTCATCCCAAAGGGCCAAAATTTGGGACGGCGGAGTAAAACTATCCGGGCAATCCACATTGCCTGCAAGCCCAAGTTTAGCCTAGCGGGCATGCCCGACAACGGGCCGAATGCGGGCGCTTGCGGTGGCGATATCATGCGCGTCAACTGAGTACTTCACTGAATTTTGAAATTTCTGTATTCTCTTGTTTGCATAACTATGCTGTACATTCGGGATTTGGCTGGGGAGGAGAGGGTGATTGTAAAAAGGTTAAATTGCATATTGCACGCGAGGGGCTTCGCAGCCATTGGGTGCTGACGCGGGTAGCAGTATTGCGTCGAAGTGTCTAGAACTGTATATGTGCCATGCTGAGGGGGAAGGCAGTAGTAATGTCTCAATTTGGAGCATTGCCCGCCTGCTGTAGTCGTACGCAGTGTGCAGCGTGCAGCGTGCAGCAACTAGAGGTGATATGACCGCAGAGCGAGTGTTAGGTACGTTATTTGGCCCCGCGCCAGTATTGGGCCTGCAGTAGCAATCCAGGAAACGCGGCGGGGACTGACGAAAGAAGCCATGTGCAGGAGGCGTCAAGGTGGGGGATGAGATCCCGGTTTCAAGTCGAGAAGTTGCGAGACAAAAGACCCGAGCTAAAGGCAGATGTTGAATGGGAAAAATAAAATGGTGAAATTCGACAGGTAACAAATACGAACAACTTCATTCCACAATTCTCTTACCACACAAGCATGCCCAGAAGTCAAAGGGAAGGTAAAATAGGACTGATTGATCTCTCCCCCCCTCCTTCCCGAGGTCCCGTCCAATGCCAATTAGGCGCGGGTGATTTTCCCCAATCATGTCATTGATCGGGCATCACCACACCATTGAGATACGTCACCTGCTCGAGAAACGAGAAGCGGTCAGCGGTCAGCAATACAAAGTATACAGCATAAAGGTTATTGTCTGAACACCCTTCCAATCCTGTCAAAGCGGGAAGGGGGAAAAAACAACAATAGTAACACCAGCGCTGATTTGGGTGGGTAAAAAGGGACGGGTAACACCGCCAAAGTGGCTAGCTCAGAATGGAAAACAGACTAGTCAAGAGGGGGGCAAAACCGGCGGGAAAGGGAAATCGGGAATCGATAGATTGGACAAAGGCTTACGAAAGGCTCCATGACCCTAACCAAAGCAGCAATCTTCTCTTGTGCATCGTCTCCAGTGAGTTCATTGTCCGCAATGGGCTTTCCAATAGTGAAACTGCGTAGCCGAAGTAATTTGATGTTCTTGTTGTCTGCCTCGTAACCCTAGAAGGTGCCCAGGTGTGTCAGCGGTCAAGAAACCTTGGAATCCCTTGGATCAGACGTGGATCCTGGCGCAAGTGTGAACCATGGAACCAAACTCGACGGCGTGGGAATAAATCCCCTTCTAGCAAGTGCGATTCCCCCATTGAGATCAGACTACCAAATTGCTTTCCTGGGTTCCATGGTTCCATGGTTGCGTCCCGGGAGCGAAAATTGGCCTAAAACACGGGTTGGTCTTTCCCGTAACCCCGTGCGCGTATGTCTTCCACATCTCTTTCGACGTTTTGACAAGCATTTGGGATACTCGGATCTCTTGGATTCTCTCGAGCCGTCATGTACCAGTTTCCTTTCAGATCTGGGTGAGAAGCCGTGGTCGCGCCTATCAGCCCGACCAAGGCATCTCTTGGTCAACCAAAAGATTTGGTCTCCATGATCTCATCAGACCATTGCCGTCAAGCCTTTAAGATGGTACTGGTCGATGAGGATGGGAGTAAATTCCGTTTCCAAGACCAATCAATCCCGGTCGGACGATGGACGCAACCTCGGTAGCGAACCTTGTGCCCCCTGTCTTGAAGACCTTCGTGTCCCAGCCCATAAATAATAAACAAAACAGCTGACAATGCGACCAAAGCACAAGGCGATGACGGGGAGTAAGGTCTGGCTCAATGGGCAACATACTTCACATTGGGGTTAGGGGGAATAGAAAACAGAAAAATTCATACCTTGGGCTTCGTCTTGAGAGCAGACTCCTTATTGTGATGCGTAAAAGCATCCACAACCGCATCGTCATCGTCGGACACTCCCTTCAGAAACTCACGACGCATCCCCGGCGCCCGGAGTACCTCCTTCAAGCCAGCCGAGTTCTCGTCGATGTCCTCCCGCAGCAGTGCAAGTGGCTCTGACTCCGGATTCCACAGCCCGCAGCCTATACACAGCGTGGTATTAGCCGCAATGGATGAGAATCACGAAAGGAAAGGCAGGATAGCGACGGCAACAGTGGGAACCAGCCGGGGAACAACCTACCAACAAAACAAGAGCCTGGCTGGAAGTGGACATAGTATGCTGCGTACGGGCCCTTCTTACCAGTCCGAGACCTGCACCATGTTAGGTGACTTGTTTCTCCCAAAAAAGTCATCGAATATTAACACTTACCAGGCAGCAGAGAAATGCGTCTGTACATTTTGAATCAGCACAATCACCGCTGACAGCCCATAGTACCATACGCATACCCGCCACATACGTATACGTGCGACAGGGACATCGACAGGACCCGGGGAGGAAGATAGCCTACCTTGTATGGAAGCGGATTCTTGCTGAATCGAACATCCCTATGGATGCGGAATACCTGAGACAAATGGTTATGAGCGCCAGTCACAAACAAAATACAGGAGTATCCGCAAGCCTACCAAGTCCTTCACAGGAAGTTCCGGGATGGTAGCATCTACCTCTGCAATCTTCGGCGTGAGGGAATCAACGAATGTCTCAAAGTCCTTCTTTGCCGCTCGGTAATCCGGATCATGCGCTGCGCAAGTCAGCCAGCAACTCGATAACTGGGGTGTATGTGCACTTCTCACCTTTTAGCCATTGGCGGTCATTGTTGGTAGCTAGATCGATCAAAAACAGCCTGGTATTGGGATGCAGCGTCTCATCCTGGTACGGGATCTTCCCCGCCTCTCGAGCCTTGGGCTTTGCGATGATAACTTCTTGCCCGGGCTCTAGGCCCGCTCTAACACCCTCGCGCCAGAGCTCCTGGCCCTTTATAAGGTCGCTTCCGCTGCCGGTGCTGTGTCGTCGCTTCCCCCTCGCGCTGGGCTTTTTCCTCGCATCCTCGTCGGGGTCGGAAAGTTCTTCCGGCTCCGCATCCTCGGCGGGGGATTCCTCCTTTGCTTCCTCATACAAAGAGCCAGAGGACCCCCCCGCAGACGCATCGGACTCAGAGTCGGGCTCATCGGAGTCTTCCGGCTCGAAGTACTTGCTCTTGCTGGTCGTGGACTTTGCCTGGCGGAGGGACAGGTCGGCTTTTGACTTGACCCGTTTGACCCCCGGTTCGGCGGCGGACAGTCTGGCTGAAGCGCGTCGCTTTGACGCCATAGGCGCTTCAGGCGACGCAGGATCAGGCCGAGACGACCGTCGAGGCATACTTAGACAGATGAATTGAATGAAAACGATTGAACTTGACAGTGTCTTTCTCCCTCCTTCTTTTTCTATACGTTGAGTCAAAAATTTCCGATTTTTGTATTTGCCAACTTGGAAATCAAGAAAAGCAGAAAAGAAGCCAAAAATACTGTAGATGAAGACAAAAAGTGATAAATCGAATAAAACCAAAAGGGCCCGCATGCCTTTAAAACCGCCTGTAATATACGGCTCCGCTTTTAGTACTCCCTTACGTTTTTTTTTCCCGCTTCCCCCTCTCCATATGTACGTATGTATCTTTCGTATTTTGAGAAAAATAATATTTGAAAAGTGATGTGAAGAATGCTAAGTTGAAAACAGCTGTCTGGTCCAAACAACGAGTATACATTGTATACATTCAATGTTCCGATCTTCATCTGTAGCTGAACGAATCGACGAGGGATGAGACATGTATATCGGTGGTCGCTTTGCGCTGGCCTCTAGTATGAGCAGTTCTGCTCAACATAGAGCCGGCTTTACGAAGGTCGCAGAAGGTCATTGACTTCACTGAGAACCCCCCGAACCGCTTGTATGATGTCTCATCCTCTCCGATGTCGGGGACCTTTGAATGTCTCTTGTGTCTTTCAACGAGTCCCGAACCCATGAATATGGTCATGCAAAATCGGAGAATAGGCGTCCTTGCATGGTATATAGCGGTCGTAAGGTGTCCGAAATAGATGAGGATCATGCATTCGATCTAACACGCTCCTACCATGAGCATCTCAGTGGATCTCGTCGTCACCTTGACGGAGGCTGTTAATCTGCAACGTGAAGCGTGAGCTGCGTCTCGTTGTCATTGCTAATCCAACATAACCTCCCAGTCAACTCATCTGGTACCAACCAAAGCGCTTGGCTGAGTGGCAGTCATGCTCACACTCTCTCTTCAACCGTATTGTAGCTTGCGCTCGATGGTCTCTACCAAGGGCCGATGGTTGGCTGTCGACGATGAGAGCTCAGTTGGTCACAGATGCGGTCTGCCTTCCCACAACTTGGTCACGAACGTATGTTTTTGGATCCGCCGGCAAGTGTTGGTAGATGCTTCGTTAGGATTGACCTTACTGAGTGGTCAGACACAAGTATGTTTGATGGACCCATAGTTCTAAGATCAAAATCAAGAGACAGAAGGTAAATCAGGAGCGAATAACTCAGAAAAACGACGCCGATATGATCAAAGCAGACAGCGAGTAGGAGGTTAGTAAAGTATTGGCCTACTTCGGCAGTCACCCGGGAAACAAAGAGGTGACGCTGTGAGATTGCCCTGACCAACATGGCCTCAGTGTGCTGCCACCTAATCCCGACCAGTCTTACATTGACATCCTACTATATGCATGTTGCCGCATAGCCTACATAGTCTACAAACAGGCAAAACAACGCCCGCTTAAAGAAAACCTACCCAAAGCAATAAGAACAAGAACGCAAGAAGTAAAAGCAAACGCAAGAATTCAACGCAAAGAAATCTAGCTAGTCAACTAACTAAGAAGTGACATCGGAGCTAGAAAAAAATGAAACTCAAATGAGTTCCGATCACAGGGAGACCTCGCAAACTGGCCAAGCATATCCCGAAGGCAGCAGCCATGGATGGTCGATCTCCCTGGAAGTAAAAGAAAAAATCAACTCAAAGACAAAAAAAAAAAAGGGAAACAGTGGAGACAAGGGTTTTCTGAGTAGACCTGGTGGATGTCTCCATACATCCACGCAGGAAAAACCGGGAAGAGAAAAGACCAAGAAACAAAGAACCAGAGAAAACAGCAAGACAGTTACCGGTCTGATGGACCAGCACTCCTCTTTTGAGGAGTGCTGCTTAAGGGCTTCCACCACGTCCGATTACTTCTTTGCGGATCGGGTACCGCGGCCAGCAGCTCGGAGCTCATCAAACACCTGGCGATCGATGTTCGACAGGCGGGCGGCGTCGGAGCGAGAGCGATGGCTACTGGGAGCAATCGAAGGGCCAGGTCCGAAAGGATCAGAGGACGACCGAATGTTCTGAGCAGTCGCATGGGGAGCACGATACATGGGCTGGAAATCAGTCTGGCCCTGAGCTGAGCCAACCGCAGGTGCCTCCTGAGTTTGAGGCATGCGCCAGGTAACCGATGGCTTACGGGCCTTGGCTGTATCAGACCGTTGGTGCGGCGGAACGTACGGAGGAATTGATGCGCGAGGCCGGTGAGTGGGAGTGTCCAGCAGGTGTTGGTCAGCATCAAGTTGCTGAGAAAGACGACGGGGATTACCAGGGACATTCCGGTTAGTACCATGGTTACGGGGACCGCTAGTAATGTTGCTGACAGTTGAAACAGTTGAGGTTCCCTGAGGAGCAGGGCTGGGATTCACAGAGCCAGTGCGGGATTGTGAAATGGTGCGCTGGCTATCAACTGAGGCGACACTTTGAGTTGGCGACGAACCAGGAGCAGTGCCAATGGTCGAGACACTGGATTTTCTTCTGTGCATTTGCTGAAAGCCAGTGATAATGAACTTCCGAAAGACACTGGCTTCATAGATAATCGCATCTTTGAAGACCTTCTTACGGGCAACGTCGTCGTCCCACTCAAACCAGAACCTTCCGAAGATTCGCTCGATCTCCGGGTGTGTATGCTTGTTCGGCAAACCGTCATTCTCGGTGCGTAGAACAGAACCGTTGGACATGACATAGGCATAGTACTATACCGATTGGAGAATGAGTTAGCAATATTTCAGATGAAGACATAGTCTCAATCATATCTCATACCTGATAGGCGGCAGTACTCTGTCCAGGGATGTAGGTGAGAGTATCAAATGGGAAGTACAGGCACCAGTCATGGTCCAAAGACTCAATTGCTCTCTGCTCCTTCGAATGCCAAGCAAAACAGTATTTCATGCGTGGGTTGAAAGCCGGGCAAGAGATGCCTGCATGAACCAACTCGTTGAGAAGGCGAATATCCAATCCCACTGTGTTTCCTCTCTGCATGCGCTCTACCAGAGCCTTGATCAGAGCATTGAGAGTATGGAAAAGAGCATTCCGGTGATGAACAGTGTAAAGGTCGGTCGCGTACCACGGGAACTATAACATAGGACAAAGAATGTAAGTATACCATGGAAGGGCAAACGGAGATGTATAGACAATGAATGACTTACCTTCCAGAGTGTGGTAATGAACGACTCATAACAGCGTTGAGGAACCTTGCTAGCAAATGCACTCTGTAATATATCAGAAGATCAGCGACATGAAAAATGAAGAATATAAAAGCGAAGTCAGACGTACCCGGTGAGGTTGCTCAGCATGACGAGTCAGACAGAAGAGCTCCTCGTCAGTGAGGAAGCCATCAAAACCGGTAGACCAATTGTCTTTGTTGACAAGCTGGACAGGCTTTCCACCCTCCCATGAAATGCACTTCGCCCGGGGAAAGGCAGCTTTGAGTAGCTTGGCTGGGGTACTGAGTTCTATGTCAACATGGCGGCTGCCCATACGTGGGGCGCTGCCAGCATCATAGGCACGGCTGACTCTGTTAACAGTATCTTCAGCATCTTTATGTGTTGGAAACTCAACATAGCAGTCCATGGTCTTGCCAGTGGACCGTTCCATGATGATGTGAATGGGACATCCTTGAGTGGATGGGAGCAGGTTAGCACTGCGTCCAAGGAACGAGGCGACCTCCTGGCGAGTCACGGTGTACGGGATCTGGGTATTGTAACTACTCGTTAGTAACGAAATATTGAACGAAGCATCAGCGCAGGCAGAATATGGTGAAAAGTAAACTCACGTTAGAAATCATCAGAACACCATTACGAGAAGGTGGCTGCATCTCGGCAATGCTACCAAACGGGATGCACGATTGCTGAAGGAGCTCCTCGATCGAGAAATTCTCAAGACGCTCGAACTCCCCATGATTGGGGGTCACACCCATGTCAAATGGCCAACCCATGTTGGTGGCGTTGGGTGAAGATTTGTTAGGGTCGAAGACGTTTGCTGTAGTGAGATTATTATCAGTAAAATTCAAACAGTTTTGATGATGGTGTTACAGCCAGAAGATACTTACTGGGTTGGAACTGGTCAGCAAAGTCCACAGGATCGTGGTAGACTTGAGGTATGGTCTCAAGGGGAGACTGGTCGAATTGGGATTGAAAGCTGGGAGGATAGGCCTGGGGCACAAATTCAATAGCTCCAGGATTGTATCCAGATGCTAACTGAAGACGTTGATTTGCAGAAGGACGGATGGTGGAAGTGGAAGATGAACTCTGATGGTGGGAATAAATGAATGAGGATGGGGTTGAAGAAATGGGAGACTGAGAAACCTGAGCAGAAACTCGAGGAGGAATCTGAGGAGGAATCAGATCTGGAGGAACCTGAGCAAAATATCGAGCAGGAGCATGCGTGCCCAAATCAGAATCGGACGAAGATTTCTTGAGAGTAGGTGCGGATCCAGGTGAGTGACTCTTCGCGTCGCAGACAGGAGTGGTGGCAGTCTGTGAGTCTTGTCGGGTATTTTCATTGAGAGTCAATAAATCAAGGTCCGCAGCCAGGAGACTCATAGTGGCAGGCCAGTCGCCCATTTCGGGCATGTGCCCAGACGTGTTGTTCCTCATTTTAGGGCTGAGAACCGATATCAGACGAATAGATAGTGCGTGGAAACAAAGAATATTTTCGAGTGAAAGTGCGTGTGGGTAAGAAAAAGCTATTTATACGCGTGGAAATAAGGTACGTCGCGCGGGTACAGGTCGTCGGGGTAAAAAGGTACCTCAGTGACGCCAGACATCCTATAAAACCTAGATTTTGACCTCAATTTTCTCGATAAATTTATATGGTATGCTATATTTTTAATATTTTTAGATTAAAAATAATGAGCTAGAGTAGTATATATGTCGTTTTCTTCAACACCGTCATTGTGGTGATATTTAGAAAAATATTAATCCTCGAGGCTATCAGGACGCTGTCAAAGTACGTATTTATCACGACGCACTTTTCCCGCGATGATTCACTATGTCCACGCACCTGCTCCGCAATAACTGAAATTCCACACCCCTCTCGAAAGTATTTCCATTTCGTCCAGCTTTGAGTTAAGCATTTATTTACCACGCACTAATATACCCTATACCTGCTTTTCTCCACGCGTCCCACCCAGACAATATTTATTCTCCACGCACTCCTCCCTTGTCCAGTAGTCCACAGATACCTAGGTAATCGTCTCCCTGTCCTTGTTTGACTTTTTCCTTAGATTACGAATTATTGTCATTGTAAATAGACTTGGATTTACATAATAGACTGTTATTAGCATAAAACGCGTCCCCTCAATGATGTCCCTTGGCCCTGTTAGGTTGCTCTGAGCCATAGATCAAGGTTGTCTTGGAGATATGTATTATGTCACTGTTGTTGAGAACCTTGTTTCTTCTCCTTCATATATTATTTTATTGTTATGGAGGTAATTCCCGTCTTGATGGGAAGTACCAGGTCAGCAGTAGGCTAGCATACTCGGTGAGGCACTACGCCGGTGGATGGGTTACTTTGCTGCAAAAAGGAACGAATTAAACCTGGACAAAAGACATCGATCGACGGACATCGGTATGAGGTTCACTCTTAATCAATGCAAGCCTATGTTATCTGTACAGGAGTAGAAAGTGGGAAACACAGGACCATTCATTATTCGGAATCAACAAGAAAACGCTGGGCAATTTAATCGAACTAAACGACAGTCAGCAAGTGAGTCAATGGTAGACAATTCAATAAAAAACATACCGGTGTCAGGAAAGACTCGGCAACAAATCGAGCACGGGCATTCAACTAATGAACTGTTTAGTAACCTGCGACGGAAACGATGCATCCATACACATACGAAGAGCTTCATCTCCGAAATCTCCTTGTCCACCTCTTCCATGAATTCGATCACAAAATCAATTAGCTTGTGGGTAAGCATTTTTTCCGTGTGGAAGTTCGTAATGAGGAAACTGATGTCATATCCCTCCACTGGCTTCCGGCGCAAAATGAAGAACGATTCCGCTCGCTGGGTGAGGAACCGAGTAAATTTGTGGACAAGAATGTGCTCGATCTCGTCTGCCTGCTTGATTCTGATACTTATGCGTACAGAATTGTAGCTTGGCTCAATTTTCACCTTTTCATTTTCATTCCTGCTGATGTGCAGCCTGGAAAGCCATCAATACGCATGACCAATGCGACCTTGGGGAGAAATGAGGGTCAGACGTACGGGTTCAGTAGGATCTCGGGCGAAGAATTTGCCTCAACCTCTGGGCAGTTGCTGGTGGAAGTGAGTATATTAGCATACTTCATGTCAAACATTTGCAGCATGTCAACCTACTGCCGCTCCGATGTCTGAGAAGCGAAGTTGGAGATCGTAAGAGCCGCGGTCAAAGAGGACCGAACACTAGTAAAGTGTGAGCAAGCTTGCCGCTGAATAATTGTCAAAGGTCGAAACACACGCCTGGAGGTAGGGCCGGAGAGATTGACTCTGATAATCAATTAGTATAGAACGGGCTGGCTGATTGGAGCTGTACCCACCATGGTGAGGGGCGTTTGTCGAGGCCACGAGGATGCAATGGTCACAGAGGATAGGACGGCAGGGAGCTGGTTGAGAAGCAATTGAAATTAGCCCGTGGTGAGACCCTTCAACCCAAAGAAGTGAACGAGAAAGGCAGTTCTCTGGATAACAGGTTGTTCTAGGCAGAAGAGGAGTTGACGTCGGGGTGGGCGGTGATGATAGTGGTTGGGCGGTGAGAAAGCCCCCACGCTTCCTCATCCCAGGCTGTTTACCATTTGCCCCAGCAATCGTAAGCTCTTTCAAGCTCTTTATCTTTTTCACATCATCCATCCCTACAATTTATTGAAAATGGCAGCTATACCGAGTATGTATGGATGTATTGGCATCCCCTGCACCACTACTAACAGATACACAGTTATTGTCAAACACGCCGGCAAGCGCCACGAAGTCGAGCTCGATCCTACCTCGAACGGTGAAACTCTCAAGTACCAGCTCTTTTCCTTGACTGGCGTGGAACCAGACCGCCAAAAGGTTTTGGTCAAAGGTGGCCAGCTTAAAGATGATACACCTCTTTCGTCACTCAATGCCAAACCCGGGCAGATATTCATGATGATGGGCACCCCATCGGGAGGTCAAGGTTCTGCTGACCTTGGTCGGCCAAAGGAGGCCGTCAAATTCCTTGAAGACATGACTGAGGCTGAGGTGGCACGACAGGAGGGTGCCATCCCTGCCGGTTTACAGAACCTAGGGAACACATGCTACCTCAACTCTTCCCTACAAACCTTGCGGAGTGTCCCGGAGCTTCAGGAAGAGCTCATGCGGTATCGGCCAAGTGGGGGGAGCTGGACAGTCGAGTCTGTCAGACCTCAGCAGCTTTGGTATTGGTGGCCTTGGAGGTTCTCGGGATTTGGCCGCTTCTTTGCGAGATCTGTTCAAGCAAATGTCCGAGACCCAGGAGGGCATTCCTCCACTGATGTTCCTCAATGCTCTCCGAGCCGTCTTCCCTCAATTCGCCCAACGTGACCGAAATGGACAAGGATACTCCCAGCAGGATGCCGAGGAGGCTTTCTCCCAGATCTTGAACCAATTGCGGACCAAGTTGACCATCACCGAGGGTGAGGGAGAGTCTGCCACTACGACCTCATTCGTGGATAAATATCTCGCGGGTCAATTCGAATCTGTCACCGAGTGTGAGGATCCCGCCGCTAAGGAACTTGGGGAGCAACCCAGTCAAACTTCTGATGTTTTCTATAAACTTGATTGTCATATCGGAAAAGAAACGAACCACTTGCAGGATGGAATTTTGGCCGGCCTTGAAGAGCAGATTGAGAAAAACTCTCCTCTTTTGGAGCGCAACTCTGTGTACAAAAAGCGTTCTCGTATCGCACGACTGCCCAAGTACCTCACAGTTCACTTTGTCCGATTTTACTGGAAGCGCGAGACCCAGAAGAAGGCTAAGATCATGCGCAAAGTGACATTCCCTGCCGAATTGGACGTTGTGGAGTTTTGCACCGATGACCTCCGAAAGCAGCTCATCCCTATTCGTGACAAGGTTCGCGAAATCCGCAAGGAGGAGCTGGAAGTCGAACGTTCTCAGAAACGTCAAAGAGTTGCCGAAGAGCGTGCGGAGCGACAGGCAAAAGAGACCAACCTGGGCGAAAGCGTGGAGCCAATGCAGAAAAAGAAGGCTGCTGAGGAGAACAAGTCCAAAGTCAACGACAAGGATGGCGATAGCCAGATGGAGGAAACCTTCAAAACTGATGCTGAGTACGAAGCAGAAAAAGCCGAATCTATCCGCATCGCGAAGAGAGAGCTCCAAGAGCTCGTCAACCAACGGGGTGCTGGAGACAGCGGTACCAATCAGTCTGGTCTGTATGAGCTTCGTGCCGTGATTACCCACCAGGGTGCGAGCGCCGACAGCGGTCACTACACGGCATATGTCAAGAAACAGGAGCGGGATGATCCTCAGACAGGCAGCAAGCGCCGCGAGACGGATGACAAGTGGTGGTGGTTCAACGACGATACAGTTACTGAGGTTGAGGCACAGAAGATCGAGACCCTTTCGGGTGGTGGTAAGTGAACCGCATCCTACAATCCAAGATCATTTCTAATGACATATCTAGGGGAGTCACACTCCGCACTCATTTGCCTCTACCGTGCGATTGAGCTGCCCAAATCCGAGTAAATGGGTTTGCCTAAGCATCCGTTCACATTTGAAAGGAATCTGCAAATGTTGCCTCTAGATGAATAGAAACGATGAACATGAATGATGCTCGTCTCAAACGCCTTAACTGTTTCCAATTGATTGTCTTACGCCTTGCAAATACGCATTCTGTAGTCCTCGTCTATCTTTAGATTTCTTCCACCTGGAGACCTCGCGCCTGAGCAGTGACGACACATGACTAATGACAAGTACACGTGACCTGATTGAGCCTCGGCCCGGATTGCCCAAAGCTCCAATTAAATCAACATCCTAATTCTAGAGGAATGGCAATGTGACCACCATGACACATTACCGCAATATCCTCCAGTTGGCCCTTCGCCGGTACTCGATACAGACACGAACTTCTTGGCGACCAGCGGTCCGAAACGTCAGCACCGCGGCACAACCAAATGCCTCACGAGAACCATCGCGTTGGACGCGCCGTCTGATCTATGGTGGCATATTTGGAACCCTTGGCGTTAGTACAGGGAAATGGCTGGACAACAAAATTGCAGCGCCAGCGGTGCCTGGGTCGTTGGAAGATCAAATGGAGATTCAGGAAATCCAGCGGGTGTTTGATATTGGACTCCCCATTGTGCAGGAGCTGCGTCGTAACCCCGATTACGTCGAAAAGGATGTCTACGAAAACTTTTCGGATAAGCACAAAACTCATCGGCTGACGTCAGGCCCCTTGGCTGGCAGTAGGGGCTTGGGATTACAGGTTGGTCTCTCGTTTTCTCATTAGGGTCCGAGGCATGTCCATCTTACATGAATGCCGGACCTTTTGACTGCCGAACCTCGGGATCCCGCTTTGTCTAACTATTCTCATATTTGACAGAAAGTTTTCTGGAATGACAAAGAGAAGAAACTCATTAGCGTGGTCTTCTTGGGAC